GTACCGTAAGCGCCTGGGCTAACTGCCTACTGTATCTCCCCAGACGCCGTTCGTCTCGTCTTATCGGTACGACTGTGGAGATGGAACCGTATGTTACTGGTGTTCGTTTGAACGAACGGTTTCTGTTTAACGCGACGCTATATACGTATCTTACTGTAGAGTGGTAGAGGTCCAGTGGTTAAGCTTTGCCGGATCTTCCGCCCCGGACTGGTCTAGTCACTACCGGAGCGGGGCCAGCTTACCATTGAGCAATGCTGATGCTGATGGCTTCAGTTTCATGGAGACAGTAAGAGTCCTGCTAATTTGGTCTCTTTTTCCTTTCGGTTGTCATCATCCAACCGTCTGCACGTCACCCTACTGTATGTACAAAACGGATACTCTACAGAACGAGTATACCGCTCCTCTCCCTCAGCTGCAGAAACGAGAGACACCTTACCTTTTCTCCAACCCCGCGCCATTGGGAACCCCCTCTTTCCAAGCCACAAAGTACGATCGTGACCTTAGACTAACACCAGTTAACTGACGACTCTACCAAACTCGTGAGACTCGGCCTTAGCTACATCGGGACAAAGTAAGAGCTCCCTTCTCGGCCGACATCAAGAACCCGATGCTACATGTGCATGGGGAATTCTCCAGAACCTGCTTTATCGGACGTTTCGGAAAGGAATCTCATGTGATGAATTATGGGAATGTTTCCTCCGGTTTGCTCTGCCTTGCAGTGTCCAAGCTGTTCTGTCTGTTATTACTAGCGAGGGTAGGGTCATGGTTTATCGTGCTGCTGCATGATTTGAGTACTATGACAGACTCCATCCCAAACATCGACTCATGGTGCCGGGAAGCTTTGGCTCTTGGAATATGGCGTCGTCTAATTTGCATGATAGCATAGCATTCAATCTAGACCTTTTCAGCTGCCAAGGCTGAATCAGTTCATTGCATTCTTATTCTGTTTGACTATATTACTGCAATCCAACTAATTGGTCTTGTAATGGTCAGAATGATAACTCCATTGCGAGCTTCCTACAGCAAACTCACTACTACTGCTTCCCCTCCCTCCTCCTCCTCCTCCTCCTCCTCTTCTGGGTGGTGGTACCCCCCCTCGCACCCGTTATCATGGACTCGCTAAGCAACGGTAACCCCCCACCACCTTGGTAGAAGATCCTGGTTCCTTGGCTACCAACCACTAATCGCAATCGCAGGGGGAAACTAGAGAGGCTTCCTCCTCAACACCAAAGTGAAAGGCAATGTGTCTGGAAATGGCTTCCCAGTGGTTTAATATCCCCGCTGATCTACCCCTTGCTTCCCTCCAACTTCTCTTACCCTGTCAGTCGGTCAGATAAGGCCCGGTGAACCAAGCCGGATTGGCTTTGTTGAAACCGGCATACCATACAGAGGAAGTTACTCTCCCAAGTCTTTTCTCTCGAGTCGAGTCGTCTATTGTTGCTTCTGCTTTCCTTCAAACATGGATAGTCCAAAAGCTCCACATCACTACCAAGACTTTTTTAAATATGGGAATATTGTTGTATTGGCACTTTTGACTGGACCGTACTGTAGATACAAACTCAAGGTAGCTACCATGTTTTGCTCGTTCGAGATGGTTGCACACCACCATCTTGAGGCTCGGCCCTCTGATCAGCAAAACTTGTTCTGTTATGGATAGTTTACCTCTGTTCTCGTCCAGGCACAGGGACTTGGAATCTTTTCTAAACTTGGTTTATCTATTCCTGGCTGCACATCCATTTTTACAGTAATTCTCAACTCAACAATTGAACGCCTTTTCCCCCAGACATCCCCTTAAAACTCCTCTCCACGGGGAAATTCTTTTCTTTCTCGTTTGCTACGAAAAATGACTGTTCTATGACGTACCGCTGCAGAGGAAACATGATCACCACCATCGAAGTCTAGTATGCGAATCGGCCTTTAACAAAGACAATAGGTTGGATTGAAGTGGGCCAAAGCTCTTCTACCGGGGGTGCACGGTTATGGTATTCGCTTCAGTTCACTGTCAATTTCAACGCCAAGCTTCGGTCTTCCCAAGGTATCATTGTTGCTGTGTTAGTGCGAGTAGGTAGGCCCCCCTTGTCCATGGCGGCCGAGCGAGGGACCCATTCTAACGATGATCGTACAAGAGCCTCTAACGTAGATTTCACACTTAAGATGGAGCTCAATCCACTTTGTAACCCCCTGGCATGAGCCGCAGGTCTTTTAATTATATTGTTTGGGTTTAGTTGGAAGGTGATAGGAGTCACGGAAGAGTCAGAGAGGAATAGAATAGGCGCCCGACATGACATGACATGACATGCAGCATAGTATACAAAGAGGAGCCTTGTTCAGCTTCATTTGTGATGAGAGGGTTTGGACGGCTTAGTGGTAGTGGTTCCCCATACACAGCAATATCCCTCATCCTTATCCCTTTTCGCTCGTCTTCCTACGTAATTGTTGCTATTCGTGATACCTCAACGCTTCAATATTTCACGCAAGAGCGGGAGAATGGAGAAGTTGCGCCCCTCCCCCTCAAGCCCTCCAACGTTACTCTACTGCACAGAGTAGTAGACGCGGAGTTAGTTGAGAGCGAACGCGGAGGTGGAGAGTTTTTAGTTTTTGTTGGTGGGCAGCCAGCATCACATCGTGTGAGAAGTGAGCCACCACCACAAGCAATCAATCCGCCACACCAATCTCATTCTCTCTCAACGGGCGGGCGCCTCACTATTGTATGTACTATGGTACATTTGCACTGCAACCTTTGGAGTATGGACTCGAAGCTTCTTCACCGCCTCAGCCATGCATCTCTGCTCTGCAGTCTTCATGAATCGCTGTGAGGTACAGTACAGTTTACATGCATGCTCCTGAGACACTTCCCGCTGTGTCTTGCTCATATCGTGCATTTCTTGCATGTCAAATGACTCCTTGTAATCAATTTTGCAGTACGAGGTGCAGGGCAGTGCTTATCTATCTCCTTGTAAACTCAAAGACCGTCAGACATAGGGTAGCCACAGCTTGAGATCTCATGTATACCACCTTTAGTGCATACACAAGTCTTCATTGCAACAACGGCTCATGCTCGATGACAAATCTGCTTTCTTCAGTACCCCAGATTTTCACCGTTGCTTTCGCTTCACTTTGCCCCCCCAATGCACAGTCGGAGTGTCGGCCGGTGAAGAGCTAGGTTTCGTCAAGTGTGTATCTGACCAAGTTCTAGATCTTGAGGTTCACACCCATATCAACGGCCCGGGCCATATGACTTCTCACAGAGGCCGAACTCGCGAGTGTATCTCTTGTATTACCTTGATAGATAACGAGTTTCTGATTAATTGCCGTAGAACACTGGTGAGGTAAGCATTGTCGGGTGGCGGCTCACGACCGTTTACCGTGGCGGCGTGGGAGACACTCTCGGGTCTAGATCTAGGGTATGTATCTTGTAGGTGGCGCTGGTGTTTTGAACGACCACAATTGATGTCCGGTGAAGGCAAGCCAATAACATAATGTGGTCAATGGTGATCTTTCTTTACTATCATCATCTCATGCACCCCGGATTTCGACCGCATCATCAAGAATATTCTCGACTTCATCATGTTGAAGAATGTCACATTCGCAGACCGATTCGACCGGGAACATAGCATCCGAATTACCCATCTCGAAGACCATACAGCTCTGAACCCGAGGCACCGTTACCATGATCGGACGCATGGCTTGGGTAGTACCGACACGAGGCTAGAAGCGGCTATTTCGTTGTCAGAGGTGGCATACAAGCTGCAACGATATATACATATGCTGTGTCACTCGACATCCCTGACGCTTTGAACTGTCATTACTCATTGGCATTTTTGCTGACCGGTTGAGTTTCACTACCTTCTGCAACAAAACGTGTTGAAGGAGGGGCTGACGTTGGTGTCAATATCACATGGTTTGTGTCGTGACCTGATGCCCAACCCGAGCAAAGTCCGCGGGTAACATGATCTTGCCACTGCGCTGTGCATATGCCTGGAACTTAGCAGGAGGCAATGAGCCTGGTTATACATGACTGATTTGAAAGGTACCGTAACGTTACTAGGTGTACAAAGGACCTGGAGGTTCGGATGGACGGCATTGGAGGTCTTGGAAATATGATGAGGCAAGGAGGAAGTCATTGTGCATAGTGTTTCTGAAAAGGACACGCTCATACTGATAGAAAATGACACGACCTAGGTAGCTGTGTAGTCTAGTATTCTATGAGCTGTATAGCCAGCTGAATTGACAATCGGATATCGGGAAACATGCTAACAGAATTCTTTCTCGTAGACCATCAACCTTGGAGATCACGGCAGTTTGCTGTCCTTGATATTATTTAACAGGCTCAGATAAGTCCAACGTGATGATAGTATTATAGTTCAGAGACCAAGGTATGGGTGAGGACGACTGTATCCGGAATAAAGATCCTGTATGATCCCTTGTTCCTATACCAGGACGTGCCAATGGCTCTAAACACTCGTCAAGCATTGCCGACTTTGCACGCCAATTGAGAAGGCAGAGCCCAAACCCTTCAAGTCAGGGGCTCAAGAATATGTTAATGACATTTAATGTATCAAGCGATCAGCACCTGTTGCTCATGAGGGTACTTCAAGATGAGCGTCAGAATTGGTGTTGCAGTGAGCTGGGCATAATCTGACAGGACATTCTGCATGTTGGCGTAGGCATTGTGATCCACACTAAGGACTTTTCACGCACCCATACATAGAGTAAAGAGGACTGTTAACAGAATTCTAATAACTAAATGTCCGCGATGTTTTTGCAGTTAATTGAAGTGATTCTCTTCACTTACAGTGATTGACTGCTGTTCTAAGTGGACCTCAAAAGCTGACGTCACATGCCACCTCAGCTCCCCCACCAGATCAAGCTCAACTCAGCCCAGTTCCTTTCAGCTCAAGCTCCATCAAGGCGTCCCAGCCCAACATCACCAAAATAACCTTATTCTTCCTTAGCCTCCTATCAACCAGAGCCTATTCCTACAGGTTGCTACCGCCGAAATGTCCTCCCGTGGAGTCCCAGAAGTCCTCTTCAAAAAAGTAGACGAATACGTCGACTCCCTCGCCCCTCAGATCCAACCCCGCATCACCGACGAGCTCGAAACCTTTCAGCAAAAGACCATCGACAGTCTCGAAGACAAGGTTGTCGACGCCTTTCGCTCGCTGTTCAACAAAGACAAGAACCCTTCTGGTTCAAGGAGCTTGGACGATAATGCGCCTGATGCCTATGGTGGACAGTCGTTGCCTTTTGCAGACGAGATTGCCAAGCTCACGCGTAGCTTTACTAAGAACATTGATGAGGCGAGTGATGATCTAAGGGATATTTTCGATATCACAGAGGGACAGGGACAGAGTCGGGGTGGAGGCGACGAGACAAGGTCGCGCGGTGGAGGAGATTCGTCTCGTGGGGGTGGTGGTGGTGGTGCTAAGGGCTTCCTGTCATTTGCTATCGACGCCGTGCAGGACCATCTCGAGAACAACAGCGGCAAAGGCTCTGGAGGTCAAGGCGGCTTTGAGCTTGATGGCCTTCTAGGCGTCCTCAGCGGCACCGTCAAAGACGCAGCGCGCAACCCCGAAGAGAAAGCCCGTCTCATCAGCCCCGAGATCAAAGAACAAGTCGGCCTCAAGCTCCGCGAACAACACGCCCCCATCGCCGAACAATTCACACGCATCGCTCTCGACCACATCAAGCGCTGGCTTCGCGGAAACACGAGTACAAGGGATCTGGGAGACGGTGTCAAGGGCGAGATCGAGGACCAGGTCAAGGATCTCGTCAAGGGACTTGGAGGACTGTTTGGGAACAAGAAGTCTAATGAGGGTGCTTCGAGGGGCTTTGGGGATGATGGTGGTGATCGTGCTCGTGCTGATGGGGATGGGGATAGTGGTGGTTTCTCAAAGGTCATTAGTGACAAACTCAGCACAGGAATTGCGCGCGTTCACAGAGAAGTCCGCATTGAGTTCCGCAAGATCCTTGGTGGTATCGAGAAGCAACTCTTTGAACTCCTCCCCGATCAATTCCAGCGTCCTCTGGAGAAGATCCTCGGCGGCAACCCCTTCGACTCCCAGCTCGACCGCGATGCAGGACCGGGGCACTCGGCCGACCGCGGCTTCGGCGACGACATCAAAGCGAAGCTCGTCAACAAGATCCGCGGTCTTGTCCGCAAGGTCCAAGAGACACTACGCGAGAGCATTCTAGGTGTCGTCAACGGAGGACACCGCAAGTTTGAGCGCCAGAGTTGGTTCTTTGTGCAGAACATGGTGGAGATGAAGGTGCAGAAGTATCTACCCAAGGTCAAGATCTCTGTGCCTGATGATATCGGTAACGAGGGTGTTAGTGTTGGAGATCCTTCTGCTGCGAACCTTGGTGGTGCGAACCAGCCTGTGCCGGCTTCGCAGGGAGGTTCGGGAGGGTATGGGGCTCCGGCACAGCAGCCGTATAATCCTCCTTCGCAGTTCCAGGAGGGTCATCGACCGAATCAGAGTCAAGACTACAACAGGCCGCAGGGCCATGATGACTATAGGCCCCAAGGCAACGATAGTTACAGACCCCCAGGCAACGATAGCTACAGACCTCAGGGAAATGACGGCCACCGACCCCAAGGAAATGATAGCTACCGACCTCAAAGCAACGATGGCTACCGACCCCAAGGACAGGGTGACTACCGACCCCAAGGGCACGACGAGTACCGACCACAGCACAACCAATCTCATCAAGAATACAGACCTTCGCACCAAGAAGGATACCAGCAGGATCAGTACAGGCCTCAACAGCACCAAGAGTACCGCCCCGATCAGTATCCTCCTCCGCCCCAGCAGCATCAATCTGGTGGCTACAACCAAGGCTACCAGCAAGACCAAGGATATGGACAGAACCGAGGGCACAACCCAGACCAAGGCTATGGTCAGGGTCAAGGATACGGCAACAACCCTCGCTACTAGGAACGTCTATTTGGTTCACGTTACAGACGGTGATAGGCATGGCTGTTAAAGAGCGAGGGGATACCTACAGAAGCATTGTACCGAGGGTGAGGATAGTGAGATAGATTGACGAATAACGACCAACCTAAGCAAGCCTGCCGGTTCATCCGTATCTAGTTATCTCTTCCCTCGACGCATTGATTCCAGGGATTGCATGTCTCCATCGCCGACCCTATCCCACTTCTCTAGACGAGCCCAGAACCCCTTGATTCCGCACAATACCGAGACCCTGGATGATCAACCCCACAGCCAAGCATGTAATATGTCGTGATACCATCAGATCATAGACACAATCTTCTTCAACCCTAGTCTAGTCCCTCTAGTAGTGCATTGAACTTGAACGGTCTACTGGGATTCAGGGTCCAATGCACCATGTGAAAAACTCAACCTCTACACCGTCCCTTTCTTCAGGGTCTAATGCAAAGACCCTGCATCACGAAGATCTTTTTCGTCTGGAGGGTATCATATCACATGGCTTCTTGGTCCTGTACTTGGCGTGGTCTGATTCTTCGTGAGGGAACATGATATGATATGGCACGTGCAGCGTCGTTTCGTCAGAACGGCATGATTTTGGAATGGGAATTCGATTAACCTCGGTAGTCGAGGTCTTGGGTCTTTACATGAGGGTGATGTGCATAGTTTCTGACGTCGGGTCTGGACCTGGATACGCGTATGGGCTGAGATGATCTGATAGATAGAACGGCCTTGTTAGATCCACGGTGTTCTGGAAGAGGGGTTTCAGGATCCTGACAATGGAGGCTTGTTCTGGGGGTGGGATGAGGGGAGCTTGTGTATCATCCCGTCTAGATACGGGGGAAGGTGGTGAGAAGGTTATGATGAAGTTATGCAGTGAAGATCTGGCTTATCGTGATATTGCTGCAGAGCGAATGTTGAAGTGCATCTTGGGAGAACGGAGGACGATATGACGTTGGAGGCTAGGTAGACTGAGTCTGTTACTTGACGGCATCGTAACACTTCCGCCTGCTATAGATGGTCTGACAAGGCTTCATAGACTTGCTACATGTGAAGGATAATTGCAGGTCTAGAGCACTCTCATTATGACGGAGCCGTGGCGGTTTATCTTCCAAGATATTGCAGGCTTTGCCATGCGCTGCTCGTGTAGGTGACATGTATACATTTCCAATCTGATGCTGACTGTCTTTGTTCTATTGTATTATCTTATTCTGTCTATCAATAGATTGCCCAAACTCCAGAACCCAATCTCAGTCAACCACCAACGCCAATATCCAACAACAGCCATACTATCTAGCAACCCACAAACCACCATTCCCATAAACCTGATCCCTCATCTCTTGCCCCTCACTCCTAACACCAACCCAATGCGAAGGAATCCTATCCAACCCACCCTGCACAACACCCGTCGCATCCCCCAACCTCTCCTTAAACCCCCTATCACTCTTCGCAGCCCTCGTCGCAGAAAGATTCACTTCAGGACCCCAAGCATCCCGCGCAAGACTCGCAGTCGTAGTCATGACATTGCGCGAATGCTCCTCCAGAATCTCTTCACTGGATAGTGTGGGGGAAAAGGCATGTAGGTAGCCCATTAGCATGATCTTCATCTTCATGTCGAAGAATAAAGTGTCTTCGAAATCGTGCAGGATGTGCACTATTACTTTGTTTCGTTGGACGACGCCGGGTGGTGCGTTGCGGAGGGGGGCTATTGTTACTATTGCTTCGTGCCAGTCGTCGTCGAAATCTTCGGTTTTTTGGGCGGGTGTGGGAATCACGCGTGCCCATGCTGCGAAGACACCGCCCATGCGCATCTTTACATCGTCTCCGACCTCAGTTAGATTTGCGGTGGGAATACCGAATTCTCTCGTCGATATTCCTGTTCCGCGAACTACTTTGCCGGCGAATTTGTAAGGAAATGGTGCTTCGGGACCCTCGTCGCTGCCGATTACTTCTAGCGGCGCATCGAGTGCTGTACCGCTGAGTAAAGGGTCATATCGACCTGCCTTGTTATTCTTCCAGCTCTCACTAACAGCGTTGCCGAGACCTGACTTCTGATACGCCGTAGTAGCAACTTTCTTAATCGCCGCGTTACTCGGCGTGAGTCGTTTAGCACCCTGTTCTACCACAACGCCTGCAACACCAGTGTACTTCTTCGCAACCTGCGATCCAATAGTGGTAGCCATCTTGATACCCATTTCCAGAGGCATAGTACTCAAACTGGACCCTCGAACGGTGCTGACGTCTGTGGAAGTACTGGCAATGCGAAACACGGGACTTCCGCAGAGGACTTTCTTGTTATCTTCTCCTGCGCAGACGACGAGGCGGAAATAGCCGTCTGTTGCGGCTGCGGGGATGCGCACGATGTGTGTTTCCCTAGGAACGTGATTCTTCAATTTTCCTGAAGCTTTCTTGACAAAACGTGTAAAGTCACGTTGTATACCGCGCTCTTCTGCCTCAGGGAGGTGTTCGACGTTTGCTCTTGTAGCAGGTGTGACGTTTAGCCACGTCCCTGTCGTTCCCATAAGCGCTTTGAGACTCATGCCCATGTTTCCGGAGAAGCCTTTTTGTTGCATCCATAACGTTCTGGTCGGTGGTAGAGGTTCATCGGAGAGGATAGTAATCGGTACGGATGTAGAAGGTCCTCTGTACCAGACTAGTGCATGAGAATGACGGATGATGCTGAAATGCTTATTTGACTCTGCGGGGTGCGATATCAAGCCTCCTGCAAAGTATTGGGCTTCGCCGAGTGCTGTCTTCCATTTTGATGAGTCTTTTTGTTGGTCTTGTGGATGGGTTGATAGTGCTGCTGAGAGAGCTGACGAGCTCTTCACGCGACGGATCTCATGCGGTGGCGCATCGCTTGGGAATGTAGGAGAAAGGCCTGGCGATAATGAAGCTGGAGAGGGAAGGTCGTCGACTACAAAGTCGACTTGGTGAGTTCCCTTGGGGTCTAAGAAACCTGATTGTTGCGGAGCGTGGGCGCTGGTTAGGTTTGTTGCTGAGCGGACTGGTCTGAGAGGACGGGGTGGAGGGGGAGGGAGGAGAGATGGGTTGTATGATGGGACTGGGGTTGATGGTGTTGAGGCGGGATTGTATGGTGGGAGATTGTAGCTTGAAGCTGGGTTGTAAGAGCTTGGAGAGGGAGCGTATGTCGGTGATGCAGCTGGAGGGTTATACGATGTTGAAGGGCGGATATCCAAGTTCGAAGGCGGATTATATGCGCTTGGAGTAGCGTAAGAGCTGGAAGCAGGGTTGTATGAGGCTGGCCCAGGGTTGTACGAGCTCGGAGATGGCGCGAATGTTGGCGAAGCGGCTGGAGGATTGTAAGAAGTCGAAGGTCGGTCATACGAGTTTGAACCAGTATAAGAATTGGAAGGGTTATAGCTCTCAAAAGTAGGAGTCCTCAAAGCCGACGGCGACGGCGATGGCGCCGGAGATGGCGCTGGGGAAGCTTGCGGCGGAGGTGCATATGCGGAGCCGAATTGCGACGGAGGATAAGCACTGTACACGGGCGGCGGAGTCGGCGGCGCTACGGGCTTACGCAGGAACTGCGGAGGAGGTTCCGGTCGTTTCTCAAAGTAATGGCTCATTTTTCTTTCCCTTCCTTTGAAGATGTGTAATAAAAGGAAAAGTGTTTTGTTGGAGAAAGATCAAGAATATTTGTTCAGGGAGAAACGTTGGGAATGTGGCCAATTGTAGAAATTGCACCGTGTGACTTTCAGGGGTTAATATTAACACCGTATCCAGACAAATAATGTTTTCTCTAAGTCTCGAATTTCGATATGGGGAAGCGAGATTGTTTATTTATAGATTGGATGTCACTCATTTATTTATGCTTATTTTTAATCAGATCTGTCATTCCTCATCTAGACAGCTGAAGTTTTTATCTAGACAGCTGTTTAAGCTGCAGACACCAAAGCTTCCATCTCATCCAACTCTCTAGGAACATCAGTAAGATTCTCATGTCCCGTCTCAGTGACAAGAATGTTATCCTCAATACTATTGATAGTAATTAGTAAACCAGGTTCATTTCAATAGCGCGACGGTGACTTACCGGACTCCACCGACATCCCAGTACTGGTCTAGGACTTCCTTGTTGATGAATTTGCTGTGCGCGGGGTCTTCGAGATAAGGATCGATGATGAATTTGCAAAAGTAGATCTGAAAGGTGAGTCAATTGCTGTCATCAATATGTTTTGTTGGAGATGGGTGCTTACACCAGGCTCAACGGTAACGACACTGCCAGCGGGCAGCTTTCCTCGCACGCGCAAGTATCGGAACAACTTATCCTTGTCGGCAAAGTTGGGGTTGCCACCGGTATCGTGGGTGTCCATACCAAGGTAGTGACCCAGACCGTGAGGAAGGAAAGCAGCGCTTGTGCGAGCCTTGAGGATCTCATCCTTGTCGCCCTTAAGAATACCCGCCTCGAGAAGACCGTCAATGGCGATCTGGTGGGCTAGTACGTGGACGTCGTCCCAGAGAACACCTTCCTTGAGGACGTCTATGCAAGCCTTTTGCATCTTGAGAACCGTTTCGTAGATGTGGCGCGACTCTTTGGTGAATTTGCCCGAGAGGGGGAATGTTCGTGTCTGGGATTGTTAGAGAGGTTCAACGTTGAAAGGGCGCACTTACGATATCGGCGGCGTAGTTGTTGTATTCGCAACCAGCGTCCATCAAGAGGTTAAGCTTTCCCTCTGTAGGAGCATCGTTTCCAACATAGTGCAGCGTAGCAGCAGCCCTTCCAGCCGCAGAAATAGGATCATACGACATCTTCTTACATCCATGTGCAAAGCATCGCTCCATAAACACGGCCTCAAGCTCCTGCTCGTTCTTAGCAGCCTTGGCCTTTGCAAAGACAGCACGGTGTCCGATGCCAGAGACGTAGTTTGCCTTTCGCAGCATAGCAATCTCGTACTCATCCTTGACGACACGGGATACCTCGATAGCGTTCTTGAGAACCTCAAAGTTCTTGTTGTCGAAGCCGATGAAGGAGACGTGGTCGGAGATTTGGTTCGCGATGGCAAAGGCGGAGGATTTGGGGTTTTCGGCGCCGAGGTGGACGAGGGTTGCGTTGAGTTCGGTGGTGAGCTTTACTTCGTCCACATCGTATTGTGTCAGGGCCTCGTCGATGCTGACGGGGAGGCCGGACCAGATTACGTCGTCGGGGTTGATGGGAGGGATGAAGAGGATTGATTTGGAGGATTGGATGTCGTAGATGAAGTGGCAGTCGGGAAGGTTGCAGCCGGTGAGGTAGTAAAAGTATCGTCGCTGGCTGTTTGAAGATTAGAGGGTGGTCTAGAAATAAGGACATCGGACGCACCGGAAGGGTTGGGGCTCGTCGCTGTCTTCCATCATGCGAGTCATTTGACTCTCGAGGTAGATTATACCGTTCGCATCGGGGATGTCCTTTCGGATGAGGTCGACGACGCGTTTGGCGTGGTCTTTGCCTGGGTATTTGCCCTTGAGGACAGCATCGTAGTTTTCAGCGACCATCTTTACAGGTGTATTCGAGAACGGTCGTCGTTGCGCGTAAGTCGTAGGTGTAGCGAATCTCTGTCGTGAAGTCGTAGAGATTCCTCGTGTAGCTTTCAAGGAAGAAAAACAAATAGCAGTGGGGGATCTTGAAAGACACCGAGATAGAGATAGCGACAACCCCGCTATGGGCCTCGGAGTCTTTGTTATGACGGAAGCCATCAACGAAACAGGAAGCTAGTGGTTGCAGTTCACTAATCGCCTGCCCGTTACAGGTGGCTTTCAGGGTCTTGGAAGTGGGGGTTTTCCCTGCGCAAACCGCTGACAGCCGGACCTCCACTAAGAATACGATGATGGATGGAAATAAAATCGGATGATGGAAGATTCCATGCCTCGGTATGGATCCAAGACGGATCATTCTTATTCCTTAGTAGTCAATGGGTAATGAAATATATTATAAGCTGCAAGCTATGTACATCTGGGCCAAATAAACAAAGAGGTTATCGTTAAATGTCAATTGAGTTACTCAGAAAGAAAGTCGAAGATAGCATCGTAAGTAAAAGTGTGAGAGTATGCAAAGTTCAGTCCATGGCCAGCACCTGGAACAACAGTTGTGTTGAACCGCGAGGCTTGAGTGAAGAATCTCTTGGAAAAGTCGAGCAATGAAGGAAGGTCTTCGTCTACACTGGTGGTAGAGTAGCAGTTGTCGCCGCAGAAAGGAATATCGCGTGCTAGAAGATATCAGAATATGTTCCGGAGTTAATTGGTGTGAGTGAGTAACTTACATCCAGTCACGATTTGGACTGGACCGGTGTATGTGTTGTTCACACCAGCAGGTCCACCCAACGTCAACAGCTCACCAGGCGTAACAGGCTGAGCTTTCTTATACGCCTCCTCCAACATCTCAGGATCAAAATCCCCCTCAGAGAAGAAGTTTGTATGCACGCTCACAGTTGAAGCTGTAGCGACATAGCCAGGGGGATACTTGCCCTTGGCAGGCGAGTCTGTAACAGGGATAAAATTATTGCTAACAGCGAACCAAGGCAAATAGGCAGTAGCCTGAGTAAAGCCGGTAAGAACAATAGCATCAGTAAGTTCAGGAGCCTCATTCGCGAGAGCGTAGCTGATAATTGAACCGAACGAGTGGCCTAGGTGTACGACCTTGGAGTATCCGCTGCAGCCGCAGCCGGGAAGGGAGCCTTCGCGGGCCTTGTGAGTTAGGGCTTTGAGAGCGGCGATTTCGATGTTGACTTGGATTTCGTTAAGAGGATCACCCTTGGATGAAGCGCCGATGCCGAGACGGTCCCATGTTAGGGTTGAGTAGCCGTGTTGATCAACAGCGCGGGCGACGTAGCTGTAGTTGTAGTTCTTGAAGGGAAAGTCCCAGTAACTCCTATCAAACCCGATACCGTGGGTCATGATCTGAAGTTCATGGCCAGGACCGGCGTCGGGTTCGCAGTATGTTGCTGCGAGATCGTAGGTACCGGTGACATTCTTTTTCTGCTCAAGTCAGCTTCCCTCCCATACCTTAGTAGCTGGGATCACTTACACCCTTGGCGATAGTAAGAGGATAAGGTTCACCACCCTGTCTAGCAAGATTGATAATAAAATTCGTAACATCAATCTTTGACAGAGGAGTCTCAATGCCGAACTCTGTATTCTCGGAGGTGAGAGATACAGGGACAGTAATGTTTGTGCACTTGCGTGCCGAAGCAGCAGTGAGAAGGGAAAAGAGAGCCAGAGATTTGAACATTTTGACTGGGAAGAAGCGAAGAGAAGAAATGTATGATGAATTGAGTCCGTTATTCCCAGATGGCGATCATCCGGGGACTTTATATGAGACGAGACATCACTGGAAGGATGGCTAGAGAGAGAGGGAAGCATGTCTCGAAATTACAAGTTGAGCGTCATCCGCTGATCGACTCTACGCAAACGGGCGAGCCTAGACTGCATTGGAATAGCGGCAGCATGTCTGTATACTAATTTGTATCATCCCGGTAGTTGGAGTTGTTTCCTCTCTGGTAGTGTCCATGACGCCCGGATTAGATCGCATATCGTACTCCACATTTTCCGGCTCTTGCTGTTTGCAGCGGTCCGACCACCATTGGGCACGACGCTACCATGCGAAACTTATGTTAGTCTTGTTTGCAGTAGCTCGGAAAGGCCCGGTAGCACAAAGTTGACCAACCGGAGAATAACAACACTCGGACACTAACGTGCGGGCTGGCTATTGAGATCTTCCCTCTGGTACCCTTTGGTAGAAGGGCCTTTCCGCAAGACGGTATAAGCCGTATCTTGCTCGCGACGAACGGCATCTTTGAGATTACTGAGTCCACTCTATGCAAAGCGGGAGTTTTTAGTCATGACTCCTATTTGGAATCCCTTGCAGAGAATATATGCGCGATGTCCTTGTTTCTTACTTGCCACTTTATGTTCAGCTACTGTGGTATCCCGCTTCGGTGAGATGTTCGTGCATGCATGTAAGACAGAACAACACAACAGAGGCAACTTTAACTAACAAAGACACCATGGATCAAGGTAGTATAGATTAAAAAAAATGACAAATTACCTGACAGTGAATCTGGACCGTTGCAGCCGAGATCCGCAACAAGAGCTACCCCTTGCATCGGATTGTGATAGGCATGACTATCAACTGAGACAAACACACTGACCGACTAAGAAAGGTACGCGGGGTGTTCTAGCGTCGCTAAGCGGAATTGCCCCATGTATGTAAGGATAAGCAGAGCCTTACAAATAATGAGTGTGTGTGATAAGTCAGAGTCGTAGTAAGATTACCGGTTTGTTTCCGCAGGATGCGCGATGGGTAAATGACAGGACGGCAGTACCACCGAAGATAACAGTGCCAATGAGGATGACAGTATCAATGCGTATCTCGCTTGTCTTGTACTTTGAATATATTTGGAATAGTGACTCTCGGCAGTGGCTCATCTGATCTGAATCACGGGCTGGATTGTTTGAGGTTTAAACGGAATATCTGAGACCCGACTCACCTCGTAAAGAGGCCATTGAGAGAGGGACAATTAAGACCGAGACGGTTCAATTGAGGCTTGTGCCGCTATGCGCTTCTTGGTCTTTGACATTAAAAAAGACAAACGGTCTGATCAATTGAGCAAACGGTGCCAGGCTGTGGCACAAAGTGTCAAAGCTATCGTGGGTTCGACTGGTATCACGCAAGCAAGGAGCATGGATACAAACACAGACAATACCAGCTGGGCGTTTCTTATGTTACATCGAGCATGGGAACAAGGATATTGATTGACATGTCAATATCCTGGAGCTCTTTTTTCGCAAGCGCTGACAGCGGCAAGAAAGATCGCAGTCTCTCAATTGCAAATCACCTCCCAGTGCTCCGCCCACACAGCAGCCATCTGTTGAAGTCGCAAACTCGCCATCAATCTCCAATGGACAATTAAAACAGCACTTCCGTCGCGCATTAATAAGAAGTCTCATCATGGTCACGGTCGTCTGTCTCTTGTACCGCATTACTTTCTCGGACTTCAACTTCAACACAAGCGTAATTGGTTTAGTGGTAAAATTCTCCGTTGCCAGTCGAGTTCCTCAGGAACCAACAAGTATCGGGGAGCCCTGGGTTCGATTCCCAGATTACGCAGTACTCGCCTTTGTCAGGCGACAATTCCTTTTTGATGTTTTTGAGGTCATTCAGATTTTGTTGTATGGTTGGGAGGTGGCTTGCAATTGAGAAAGTTGGTAGGTTTTGTAAGGTCGACTGGGCGGGCGGTTTTCTACAGGCTGTGCCCACTGGAATTCTCCACTACAGCACTTACACGCCAATTCTGCCAATCCGCACCTCACTGACAACATCAATCCAAATAAATTTTTTCCTAAACTGTTCAACATGTTGTTTCTTATATCTCTGTTTCGAGAGGAAATCTTCCTATTATTGCCAATTGTGGCTTCGTCACTATGCGGGAGGCCGACCAGCTGAATGCCCCTCCTCAGCCGCTTTCAACTCCTCCTTCTCGGTATCACAGCACCAACTCCCCATCGTAACATCTTCCAAACCTCCCAAATGAATGCATTCCATCTTAAAATTCATCGCCATGAAGATCCTTAATAGCATAACCAGACGCATCCGCTCCTCAGCCTTTCACCGCACACACTACACAGGCTCTCTCCTCTTCAATCTAGCATCCTTCATTCTCCCCGCCCTCTACGGCACGCTCTCCAAATTATGGGTCTCCAATATTGACTCTTCAAAGGTTGTTCTTACAGATGCATTCACGTACATGAACACCGCTTCTGAGGCTGTGAATGAGGGTTTACCGAGAGCTGCGTGGGTTATTATTGGTGATAAAGCTTCTAGGTCGCTTGCGAAGCGTTTGCAGCTTACACATACTCTTATGCTGTTTCAATCAGTGCTGGGCTTGATATTGAGTATCATCTTTGTCGCAGCTGCAGAGGCTTTCGCTAGAGGCTTCGTCCCCGAGGAAATAAGAGATGTGAGCCTCACATATGTCAGGATCACATCGTTCACGGTCTTTGCTGGGACCTTGGAAACAGCTGTGTCAACAGCGACGAGAGCTTTGGACAAGCCCGATATCCCGCTGGCAATCAGCAGCATCAAGTTCGCCGTCAATATCATCCTAGACTTCCTCATTATCTCCAAATTCCACGTCGGAAACTTCACGCCTACGGTGAATATGCAGGGTACTATACAGCTCGTCTGCAACCTCGTCGCTGCCATCGCCGGCCTTGTGTATTTCTTGTGGTCGAATACATACTCCTTCGTCAAACATACACCGCGCGAGCCGCAAGATAAACTACGCCCAAGTTTCGATGCGCTCAAAGTCCTTCTTCCACCTGGCCTTATCTTCTTCACCGAGTCAGCTGTGAGAAATGCATTGTATCTTTGGCTTGTTAGTACTATTGTTGCGTTGGGCGCGGTGTATGCTACTGCCTGGGGCGTCTTCAATACTATCCGCTGGGGACTGATCATGGTCCCCGTTCAAGCACTTGAAGCTACAGCGTTGCAATTTATTGGACATAATTGGGGAGATTGGCGACGACGGATGGATATCAGCACGCGCAAACCTCGAGCTTCGATCAAGGATTTACAGAACATCACACGTCCAGCACTGAGGTCTCTCACGTTGGCTCTCATCTTCGAAGTCCCCATCGCGATATTCCTAACACTCTTCGGCGCCAAGCCTTTCGCAAGGTATATAAGCGGTTCAGACGAAGTCGCCGATGTGACAGCCTACATGTGGGAGAGTCTGGACTGGTGTTATATCTTTTACGCCATGTCAACACAACTTGCGACGATTCTGTTGGCGACGCGACCGAAGTGGTATTTGTATCAGAGTTTGGCGAGTAATCTGCTGTATGTTTTGCCGTGGGCCATTGTGTGTCAGGTTAGTAATTTGAATGATGGGAATGCGTGGTGGTATTACAAGTTTGTGTTTGGGGGGAGTCTTGTTTTTAGTTTTGCGGATATTGTTGTTGTTGATGCGGTTTGGGGGTGGTGTTTGTATTATGGGAGGATGAAGTTGGAGGCTTTTAGGGAGTGATTAAATGTGTTTATTGTTTTTTAATGAGTTTGTCTGGCACACTGCCTTGCCTTTGTCGCCATATGCAATTGTTTTGTTGTAGGAGGGACAGGTCAAATGAAGGCTGCCATTAGAATGTGTATAACACAATTGGGCTACGTTGAGGTACTCTTCAAAAAGACTCAAGATCAACCAGCGCGAAATAATGGCGATTGAGTTTGTCCAATACATGCATGTAGTAAGCCGCCGATGCGCATTCCTGCATAGCCGTTGAACCCAAGGAATGAGGCTTCATGGCTTATGGTCCTTGGCTTCCAGAACATTGACCATGCGGGCCTCGATGACGTGCATTTCCATCATTGCAACTGTGGACGAAACATTCAGACCCGCCATTACTTCATATGGAGACATTCAATCCAGGCTTGTACTGTAGCCGAAGAGCACAGGTCACGTATGGGTCGCGAGAGTTCAGGGTCAACCGATTGCACAAACGAGGGTATTTGTTCGCCAATTAATACATATTAAAATATCCAAATTCTTTTGTCGCCCATTATATAACCACCATCCAAATTATTGACATGTAGAAAGATGCAAAGTCGCAAACTGCTTAAAGCTGGAAACCGAAAGCGAAAGAAGAGAAAAGCAGAGCACCGACAGCGACACCCATGGTGCTGATACCGCTCTTGGCAGCAGAAGAAGGCGCATCAGTCTCGGTGGAAGAAGAATCGGCCGAAGAAGCAGTGCCGGTAGCAGTAGAAGTACCAGTAGAGCTGCTCTCATCATCATCATCCTTATCATCATCGTCCTTGCTGGAGACGACGCTGGCCTGGGCGGTAGCAGGAACCTTGGCGTCCTCGGTCTTGGTCACCTTCTTGCTGCCGCTGCAGAAGACGTCGGTGTTGCCAGCTCCCTCCTTGAAGAGACACTCGCTGAGGGCGTCGGTGGACTGGTCGATGGCGACGCAGTAGATGCCGCAGTCATCGTAGTAGCTGACGATCTGGGCGTCGCCGCAGCACTTTTCCATCATGGAGATGTGGTCCTTGGAGTAGGGCATGGCGCAGGTGTTGTCCTGGTTGGGCTGGTTGTACAGCTGGGCTGCGCAGGCGGTGCTGCTGCTAGCAGCGGAGGCGGAGCTGACAGAGGTAGACATTTTGGCGGAAATGAATAGTATTAATTAAAAGCGACTGTAGATGGTTTGGATAACGAATGTGAGGTGGTGATGCGAAAAGAGATGGGAAAAGAGAGAAATTCGAGTCTGTACGCGTCGGCTAGAGGCGAGTTTTTGTCTCGGTTGGCGCATTAAGGGGTTAATCCGGGGTTTTTACTGTACCTGGGCCTATCACCTGTAAATCCAAATTTAGCAGACTTTGCCTTCTGGGTTTAGTGGCTCCCCGGGCTCGTATCACTCCCAGGATGTGGGAACGCGCCAAGGGACACTAGAGGACCCAGTTGCTAGGCAACTTGGGAAAGGATCAGAGTCACTGAGATGTTGGCAACGGTTATGGCGGATGTTGGTATAGAACTCTAAGGGTCTTTTATAGCTTTCTGTTGAGGGTGTTGATGATGGCAGTTGAGGCAGTTACTGTATCGTATGTATGGATATGTGAGAAGTTGATAAAGTGAAGAGACTTATTAATGACATAACTGTGGAACCAATTTGCCAAGAGGTGAGATCAGATCAGGTGGGAAATTGGTTGCATCATGCACAGACGTTGAAAATTTATATGGAGGCTTAATTGATGCTGATATCAAGAAGGCCAGTTGACGCAGCCTGTCGCCATTGAATGTAGTCACAGAGATACAATGACATCGACAGGTAGTTAGACTGGAAGCTATTCTCTTAAGGAGTACCTGACGGAAGAATTATTTGTGTACTATGCGGCAGAGGGTGCTCATGGTCATCTGCATGGGTCGTCGTATGGCTGCTGGTGGAGATATCGATCGGCTAGCTGGCGAGCTGACAGCTGAAGCGAAGTCAAAGCATAGGCCAGGCCCATGACCCTACTCTGTACAAACTCAGTGACTCTTTTACAGGTATACAGGGTATGCTGCTGGCCACCAAAACACAAGACAGATTGAACAAGATTCTCGTTTGCGATCAGTATCTGCTCTTTGTCAAGACACCAGACCAAGCGGCGCAATCGCTTCGGCTCAGCTCCCAAGTCAGTGATGAACCATCACCGAGATCGAGGTGCAAACACAGGCAAGCATTCAGGTCACAGTCACAAGCAAGCACGAAAAGTTTTGATCAAATATTAAATTGAGTAGATTACCCATTAACCCTCCAATGCGTACTAAGTTTTCCAACCACAACGAAGCCAGACACCATCAAATTACTCCCCCCAAAATGCTATTCCTCTATGCAGAAGAAAGAAAGAAATGAAGTCGCTATCAGATGCTAGTTGCGCTTAGAGAAGAGCAGCGGCAACGGCAGCAAGGAAAGCAAGACCGCTGACAGCCTGCTTACCAGCACCGTTGACGATGGTGGGCTCGCAGTGGTCGCCAGAGCAAGGAGCCTCGCCCTTGGAGCCAGAGTCGGAAGATCCGCCGTTGTTCTGGCCCTTGGAGCCGGAGCCTTCGGTGGTGCAGTGGTCGCCGACACAAGGAGTCTCGCCCTTGGAACCGGAGTCGGAAGAGCCGCCGTTGTTGCCAGAGCCGCCGTTGTTGCTGCCCTTGGAGCCGGTCTCCTCGCAGTGGTCGCCGACACAAGGAGTCTCACCCTTGGAGCCAGAGTCGGAAGAGCCGCAGTGGTCGCCAACGCAAGGAGTCTCACCCTTGGAACCAGAGTCAGAGCCGCCGTTGTTGCCACCCTTAGAGCCAGAGTCCTCACAGTGGTCACCGACGCAAGGAGGAGTAGGCTTGGACTCGTGCTCAATAGCAGGGCACTCAGGGTGGGAGCAAGCAGGAATCTCAGGCATCTTGGGGTGCTCAGGAGTACCGTAGCTGTTCTCCCAAGGCTTGTAGATAACCTGACCGTGCTCGCAAGACTCGCAGTCAACGGGAGTGTAGCAGACATCGTAGTTGTACCAGTCATCGCACTGCTCGGGCTTGTAGACCTGCTTGCCGTTGCAGCTTCCGTTGGAGCAGTAGTGAGGAACATATTGAGAGCCACCCTTGCAGTCACAGGCCTCAGAGATGTAGACGTACTCGCCATCGCACTCCTCACCGGGGTAGGGCTTGAAGACGTAGACGATGCGGCCGCCCTTGCCAGTCTCGGGGTAGCACTGGCCGTTGTAGCACTCGTAGATGGCGGTCACGGTCTTGGTCTCGGTTGTGGAAGCGTCGGAGATGGTGGTTGTGAAGGTGGTGGTGATGGTGTCCTGGTCAGTGACGGTAGCAGTGAGGATATCGGTGAGGGTAACAGAGCCGCCGAGAGAGACGTAGACAGTGAGGAGGACGGTGTTGGGGATGGCGGATTGACGACGGCTGAAGCGGTTCATGCGGTCGAGAGGAGCATCACCACCGCAGAACTCAGAGTCATCACCGGGGCACTCGATGTCACACTGGTCAATGTCGACACGGCTGGTGTTGTCAGAGTCGATCTCGTCACCACAGTAGCAGTCAGTGTCGCGAACACCGAAGTATCCACGGCCATCACAGTTGCTGGCGCAGCGGTCCAGGTCCATGGAGCCGGAGGACTCAGAAAGCTCAAAAGTAGGGAAACCGTTGTTGGAACCGACACAGCCGAAGAGAGCAAAGTTACCGATGGAACCAGGGAAGCCAGCAGGAGAAGTAGCGGTGGCAATAGGAGCGGTCTCGGTACCGGTAGCAGTGACAGTCTCACCCTCAGAGTTGGTGAGAGCACCCTCGGAGTTGGTAGCAGCGGTGTCGGTAGGGATGATGGTCTCGCCTTCAGAGTTGGTGATAGCGCCCTCAGAGTTGGTAGGGAAGAAAGTGAGAGTCTCAGTGCCGGTAGGCTCTCCCTCAGCGTTGGTCAGAGTAGAGTCGGTGACGATGGGATCAGTACCACCACCGTTGCCACCACCGTTACCAGTGCCGTCGTCAGCAGCGACCTTGACATTAGCAACGGTCAGAGCAACTGGGTTATCACCACAGATGTTGTTGAACTTCAGGACGGGATCCTGAGCGCCGGCCTCAGCTCCATTGGTGGACTTGCCAACAAGACCGTCGGTGGTCTCAAGGTCCTCAATGAAGACCCGCTGACCATCGACAGTGACTTCGAGTTGACAGTCAGTGGCGGCACGCTTACCGTTGTTCTCAAGGGCCTCAACAAGGATGGAGAACAAGATCTGGATCAAGTCGCCGAGGGAGATACCATCAGGGAGGCCGCCTCCAACAGAGAAGGTAGCAACACCGTTGGCGATACCACTGAGCAGGACAGCGACGCTACCGTCGGGAAGGGTGGTCAACGAAGCACCAGGTCCGAGATCGGCATCGGCAAGATCGACGGGAGCAGGAGGACCAGCAGACGAGCTAGGGATAGCAGTCTCAGTGCCAGTGGCAGTGGAAAGCTCAGTAACAGGAGTACTGCTGTTGGTGAAGCGCTGAGCAGCAACACTCGAGGCCAAAGCCAGGAGCAGACCGGGAGTGAAACGCATTGTTGTTGAAGGTTGATTAAAGCCAAAAATGAACTTTTTGTTGTAAAGTGCAGATTATAAAGAGTGAATTGAGTTGGAAAGCGAATGTTGTTGTTGTTGTAAAAGAATGGACTGAGCCTCGATGAGAAGATGAGAGTGAGGATGAGTGAGAAGTGATTTGGGGAGGAAGTTGTTACATCTTATATACAAGAATTCGGTACTATCGAGTTGGATATTGGACTACTGTTCACGATATTCACTAACAACGGTTGCAGTGTATGGGATTCCAACCGCCCTGCATGCGACATTCCTGACGTGATGGCTAGCCTGGTAATGGTATAGACACGCAAGGGCAGCACCAAACTTACCCACTATACGACGATAGTTGGCCAAATGTCTCACCAACTCAGGTACGAGATTCTGGATTCGGCATCAACGAATGTAATTTTTGTACCTGTCTATTCTGCTTGCAGACTAATTCCTAAAGTTGTAACCCGCTCCAAGGAACCGGATGCATGGAAGCGGCCGTTGACTCCTGGCAGTTCTCCCTTCAATCAGGGACCTCAAGACTCACGATAATAGTGCGATGTACATTTTCTTACCAGTTTCCCGGTGCTTTACTATGTTCCTGCCTTCCGCAGGCCAAGGCTCGTGAGCCGACTAGATGGGCCAACCTTGCGGTCCACATACGTAGTGAATAATCACATACTCCAAACTTACTCAACCAACACAACGTTTCCACTCACAATTACAATCCCTCTTGGCAACGGCGGTACTCGAGATTCATGCTGTGGCAACAAAAAGCAACCAGCCGAACTCCTCACCTCAGACATTTATTGTCACTTGTCAAGCGAAACTTGGGTAGCCGAAACAGGTTCTTTCACCACTGAAAACGGACTGGATTCGACAGGACGCGTATGGAGTGTCTCACGTGCTTCGTCCGTCTTGGCTGAGACATTGGATGCTTGTCTGTGGTTGACTGGCTGACGATGCTTGCGGCTGAAATGTTTGCAGCGCAGGAATTCCAGGTGGATGGTAAACTGGATACTCATGCCCGCAACGAATGATCGGCTGTTTCATAAATGTTGTCTGAGGTATGATGTAGGGAGTTTGGGTTGCTGGGCTGTGTTGTAGACATGAGATCAGATCTTGTTCATGTTATTCATAGATGAACTTGATCGATAAGCTCATTTCCAGTAAAGATGTGATTGAGATTTGCTTGATAGGAATTCAATTTAATCTTCCCTCTAATTGAATTTGCATGTGGCGGTAAATGCACTGCCCTTGATAACCCAATAATCCGGGTGGGCAATTGGAAGTAGTGCTACCCTATATGATTGTGACTCGGCCGAGACTAACGATCTCAACGTTAGATCCCCAAAAATAGAAGGTTTGCAGTTCAAACGCTCGTCAACGATCTCAACGAAGAAAGTTTAGAATTGAATTCAAGTATAGCATCCAGCTTCCCAACGACGAAACATCATCGTACCAAACCACGATTCTGCAGAATCACTCCCTGTACTGCATCGCTCGGACCTTTTCCAATAAACTAGTTGACGCCGTCGCAGCAACGACATTCCCCTTGCAACTCCAGGAATGAGAAGATCCGCGTTTTTATCCGCCTCAACTGTGTAGCCTTACTCGTAAAAGCACAAAAGTTGGCCGATCACATGACCACAAGCCAGCAGCGGATAATGACATGCTGCTGGAATGGAGAAGTGGACAAGCTTTTTGCTGTTGCGGGTGCGGCGGCACGGCGGTTGAGACATATCCAGGGTTGGGGTTGGCTGGACTACCCCCTTTGTCTGGACTACCTATGATGTGGAATGAGGATGTCACGAAAAGAATATAGCCGTCACCGCAAGTAAAAGGGTCTCTGTTTTTGAATACTTGGCCTAGCGGTTTTATTCTCAGGAGGTAATTCATGAGACATGAGGAAATAGCTTTTGGTTTCGCGGAGGGATTAGGTACGTGCCGATGGGTTAGAAGAGCTTGGAAAAGGAGAAAGGAGATAGCAAGAATGACGTTCGAATTACATTGAAAGAGGACCTCCCTGATATTCCTCATTCTTGGACACCCTTATCGTACCATCTCATCTAAAGTCACCGTGAGCAGCATTTATTCTCTCTTCTGATGATTTGTTCCCTAAGACCAAATTCGAAATCTTGGAAATACCACGGCTGCAGGGCTACCTGAACTCTGCGGAACCATATCCTTGGCCAAGACCCGCGAAGGCGCCCTCAACCTGCAAGAAAGGCGATATATCATCCTTTGGGTATTCTATTTGAGAGTAAGCTGACATTGTTAGTAAGTTTTGTAGCCTTGATCTATGTTGTGGTAAGATATTATCATCTATCCAAACATGGCCGGTTTATCTTTACCACAGTTTCCAGGACACAAGACTGTTATCTTATACAAGACATTGTCACCCAAAACCCCGTGATATCGCGCATAGTGTACTAACAATAAACTCTGTTACATTACGTGCAACTTCGTAATTTATCCCTAATGCGTCATGGTATCGAATCCTTAAATCCTTCTCCGGCTTATATCACTATTCATCCAGCCTATCCGAAATATCTAACTGGTCACAACCCCATCTCCAACACTTGATCTTACCTACCAATCCTTCTGCATCAGCACTAATCACGTTTTACCATTAAAAGTAACCACGCATTCGGTTTTGGCTGATTCCTTTCCCTCTTTGTACGCGGTTATATCGGATTCTGTGCTTATCCCGTAGGATCCTACGGAACTAGTGCTTATTTCCATCACCTCCCTCGGACTTTTTGGAAGTGATCCAATTCGTCAATAGACCGAAGTATATAATAGCGATGTGGGATATCTACAGGATTAATAATTCCGCTTTGCCAGTCCTTTACATGGGAAACTCAGTCTATCTTCTATATAACTCCCGCCAAAGACGGTCTGATTTGCTGTTTTGTCGAGTGCAGTATATTTCAAAAAGTCGGAATAGACTTGTTGAACACATAATCTTCTTCAAAAATACTCCTTTGTTGCTTCTATCACTACATTATTAATCATGGCCATAGGACATCCCAAACGCCCCAGGACGAAAGTCGCAGATCTTCCGTCCAGCTTTCCCAACGTCCCAACCTTTGAAGGCGAAGACACCCTCGATTCCTCTAAAGTCGCCACAGACTTCATCAAAGACTTCTCGGATGCCATCACCAGTTCAGACTGGGAGAAGCTAGCGAGTCTCTTCGTCGAAGACTCGTGGTGGAGAGATTCTCTTACCCTCACATTTGACAAACGCACCATCCATGGAAGAGATGCGATCATCTCAGCATGGAAGACACTTGCTGAAGACCACAAGCGTAATCCGTCTGATGTTTCGGCTGATAAGGAGGGCATGTGGGGGATGGGACCGCAGTACATGCGCCTTGCGCCTACGCTTGCTTGTCTGGATGTTCCCTTTAGTTTTTACACAGATAACCCACGTTCCAAGTGTGTTGGACAAGCTAAGCTCATACCTGTTGATGGAAAGTGGCTTATCTGGATCTTGAGCACAGCTGTTCAGGAGCTCGTTGACCATCCCTTCGAACAACTACCCCGACAGTCACCGTCTCTCATCGACAGCTCTCAACGCGGCAAACCATCAGCTCAAGGTCTTCCCAATGTCTCCGGTATCCTAGACGTCGTTGTCGTCGGCGGAAGCTGCAGCGGTCTTGGCAACACCATCATGCTCGACTCCGCAGGCGCTGATGTCGCTGTCTTTGACACAGAGCTTGAGGCAGGTGGTAACTGGTCTACCTCACGCTACTCGAGCGTTATTCTTCATCACAATAATTTGATGGTGCAACTGCCCATGTTTCCCATTCTCAAGGAAGGATATCCTGAGTACATGGGTGGTAAGGATCTGACGAGATACATGTCTTCTGCTGTGGAGCAGCTCAAGCTTCCTTTCTTCGGAGGTATTGAGGTCGTACGAAGTTCGTGGGATGAAGGTGCCCAGCATTGGACGATTGACCTGAAGGATATACAGTCTGGCGATACTTCCACGATTAAAGCAAAGAATCTTGTTCTATCTAACGGCTTTCTCATTTCAAAAGCAAACCCGAACGTTCCATCCCTTGAAAATCGAGAAGCCTTCAAAGGACCTATCGAGCACACATCAGAATATCACGACGCTACTCAATACAAAGACCTCGATGTAATCGTCGTTGGTACCGGCAACTCAGCTCACGATGTCGCCAAAGATCTTGCTCTCAACGGCACAAAGAGCGTAACTATGCTCCAGCGCAGTCCTACAACACTCTTTGACTTTGAAGTCTTCTTTCCCATCATCTCGATGCGTTATCAAGGCCAAATGCCCGTCGAAGCAGCAGACTTTCTAGAAAACTCTATGCCATTGGCAGTTATGCGAGATATGGCCAATGGCCTAACTGCATCGCTGAATCAAGTCATGGAGCCAAGACATAAGTTGCTTGAAGAAAAGGGGTATCAAGTCGAAAAGCAAGTCTGTCTTATTTGTCGTGCGTATGAAGAGCGTGGACGTGCGTTCTATGTGGATCAAGAAAGGGTTTTTGATATGGTGCTCGAGGATAAGATTCGTATTGCTAGAGGTGAAGCAAAGGGGTTGACGAATGAGGGACTCGTTGTTTACGATAAGGATACCGGCGAGGAAAAGACGATTCCTGCTGGTGGTATTGTTCTTGCTACTGGGTATAAGGATGAGGATTTACCTGCGAAGTATGCTGAGGCTGGTTTCGTCGACAAGGACTCGGCTGCCAGACTGGAGAATGTGAGTACGTTGGCTGTTGACGAGGAAGGCGAGTCACCTGGCTATGTGACCTATTCTGGTCGTAAGTTTTCATCTAACTTTTCTGTGCGTATGAAAGACTGCTTGCTAATGGTTTCAGATCCACACCTTTACTTCGCCGGTATTGGATTCTACATGTGTCGCTGGATCGTAAGTTTGACCTCGTTGCATGAGCGTCCATTGATTGCTAATATGCTGTAGGGTCGGTATATCAGTGTACAGGTTGTGGCTGATGTGAAGGGCAAGTTCCCTGAGCGCTATGCGCGGGATTAAGGAGTACAAAGTCAATTACCGTGGTAGTCGGGATGGAGCTGGGTGGATGTCCTTTCATTTGACCGATGCTTTCCTTTGCTGTATGAGTATAAAGTCAATGAGCAAATCAATTATTCACTACTGAAATACTCGGGAATGGCAGATGACATTTATCAATTTGCTCTTTGGCAAAGGCATGTCTGCAGGGTAATGCCAATGATAACCCCTTTAGCGACTATGAATTTGGTATTGACTCTAACCGAGAAAACAAGGGCAACAGTAACGGTTTTCAGGGAATATCTGCTAATAAGTTACGTAAAGAACAACTTGGGCTGGGTTACGTCGTCGCAGTGTGCCACGAGGACTCGGACTTATCAAGGTAGAAGGATAACATTAACTGCAAGCAGAAGCGCAACTCTCAAGACCTGAATTGAAACTAAAGGATCAACATTTAAATCACAGCCAAGAATAACGAGTCAGTTCATCATCTCAATCTGTAACACGTCCAGGCCTAGAACAATAGAAGCGCCTCGCCAAGATGAGCCTATTTCAAGCGCTTAGCGAAGATGCCGCACTCAAGTAAGGAGACGATAGTCGTTTCACTTTCTTCCTTTTTACGCCACATTGATATTAATAACGACAGCTAGATGATCTACCGGGAATTTGCATTGCGTGATGTACATGGCGTTCAAGCGGCAAGCCACGTAGCTGTCTCTGATAATTCTGATTCAAACTTGTTACACTCACAAGGATGCTACTCGGCGATATTTTCATGGTTAGCTTAAGCGCATTTTTGTCAATTGCTCCAACTTCCAAGTAACGAAGATGCTGTGACTCGGGCATTAATCATTATTAATTCTTACTCGATCGCCTCGATCGTAGTCCACATCTCGTAAAGAAAACCTGTCAAGACGAAAGAAAACCTGTCAAGAAGAGGAACAACATTTATCCTCTGCGCAAGAATCAGTTAATTTCGCCTAAGATATGACGTTCCTCGGCCGATCAGTCTCAATGCGCGTATAACCGCTATCGAATGCGAAGTGTTGACATAAAATGAGCCATTTTCCTTCTTATCCATTACTAAATCTCTTGGATGGCGGTTTGCTATCATAGGGTCAATTTCACTGGGACCAAGGGGATCCTAGCTTAGGTCCCAGTGTCCTTGGGCCTATCCACTGCGAGCGACATCCATGGCACGGGTAAGTCGGAGTTGCACGTGTTTTTGGTCGGTCTGCTGCAAGCCAAGTAAGCCACAGACAAGGGAAAGACACGCTGTGTGAGAAAGGGGAAGGAGTCTAGAATGTCTGTTGGTTGCACGATCAAACAGGGGTTCTCTGCATTTTTATTTAAACGTGCAGTGATGATCATGAAAATAGCAGCATGATTATCCCATGTGTTTGAAGTTCAGCTTGATGAGAACAAAGCTAATGCCATGTCGTCAGAATTTAGCCTTGAATGGCATTTATATGGATCATTAACGGGACCTCGACGTAATGAATAGAGAGACGTTTCGGGCTTTTATCTCGTAGCCCAGTGAAACGGGCGGGCTTAGCATGCCGTTGGACTCGCAGTGGTTTCTCGGCCCGATTGAAAGACTGTGATTATTGCCGTATTGATCATCTTCAAGGAACGGGGAGATGGGGAATTGGCATGGGGGGTGGATAAGGGTTGAGCTTCGGTATCGCTCAAAGAAGGAATAATGATCGAGCTGGATATCCGGGTCCCTGTTATTACCATAGCTCGGCCTTAGCTGCAGGAGGCCATCGATTACGAGTATTCCAGTGTCATGAATTGTTCAGTGTCTATTAAAGGAGGTAGAAGAACAGTAAAGCAGGAGTAATTGACCTCATTCTGACCCTCTTCAGCACGGGACAAGACCTAAACATTCGGAAGGGGAATTAAAGTGTCTAGTTGCCCACGGGGGAGGGGAATAGCTAATCGTTCTGTTACGTACTGAAAAACAACATTAAATCGTGGAGAGAGACGAGTCTCAGGCCATGCCCGTAACGTGTCTGTTCGCGTTGGGGCGGGTCTCCGGTAAGAGGAGCCGTTCAAGTTCAGCTCCCCCCTGAAGAATTGAAGAAAAACCCACGAGGGCTTCACGGAGTCTGTCCGTTTATTTTCTAGCGTCTTGGTAGTTAAATATGGATCATCTCCTGTCTTCTAGAGCGTGTGGAATTGCAACCAATAGATGAGTGATGGTGAGAAGATACGTACACTCTTAGATAACCGAGCTTTTCCCAGAGCAGAAAAAAAACCCAATGGATCCCAAACCCTGGAGGAGAACAGGGTTAGACGAAGGAAGAGAGGGGGAAGGGAAGCGAAAAAAAGACAGGCAATGCCCCCTGAGTCAAACCCTTTGACCTCCTGAAGGTTTGACCAAGCTTTGAACCCTTTTTTTCTTTCTGTCCCTCAATTGTCTCTTCAATTGTTCTTGTTGGATACCTTGGCTACGTACCAGGCCCAGTTTATTCCCTCCTCTTGTGATCCTAGACCTGATCTGATCTGATTCGATACGTGCACCGACCGATACGATACCCTCCTCCTATATACGAATACTACTACACAATGTCCGGCCTCGACGCACCCGAAGTTGCCGCAGCCTACGACGCCGTGCGCGACGACAAGGATAGCACAAACTGGCTGCTAATCTCGTACGCCTCCGCCGTCGGCAACAAGCTGTCGCTCACCAAGACGGGCACGGGCGGTCTAGCAGAGCTTGTCAACGAACTCGACGATGGACAAGTCCAGTACGGTTACGTGCGCGTCGAGTACGCCAACGATAAGGAGAGCACGCGAGTCAAGTTTATACTGGTTGTCTGGATTGGAGAGAATACAAAGGTTATGCGCAAGGCGCGCGTGAGCATTGAGAGCGGCGATGTTAAGAGGCAGCTTTCGCATCATAGTATTGCTGTTACGACGGGGGATAAGTCTGAGTTGGAGGAGAAGGATATTGTTGTTAGGTTGAGAAAGGCTGGTGGTGCTGATTACAATGGAGGACGGGGTTAAGAGTCACGAGGATATCACGACTGCACGGCACACATATACCTATCATACATACATACAGCTGCAACAGCATGCAAGGAACGGCCCGTCATGACAAGCGTATCAATTGATCAACACAACATCCGCATCTTAACCGATCACGTGTCCCGGTAAAGACTTCAATGTCGCCGGACTTCTTAGATAGGAATAAGGCCAGAAGCTATCCAAGGTGAAGGGTGCAATTGTGCATGTTTATCTTGTTTCATCCTAGATGACTGACGATAGCTTCAACTCAAACCCCAGAAGATGCACGTTATAATGCGACACCAAAATCATGGCAGACTGGGATGGGTTGTTGATACCCTGACGATCACATACAGGATATTCACCAAAATAGGTAAAGTAAAGCTGAGAGATCGTCACGAAACCCGGCATTCGGCTTGTTTGATTGAGTTTGTCTGTCAGTCAATTGACCTGCATGAGCATCCCTCTGTTTCACATGCACCTTCAGCCACCTATAGCTATACTCGGTACACAGATACTCGGTCTCTGGTGGTTTAATTAACCTGAAAGCTTGGCCCAATACCTGAACAGTTCTTCTTCTTCTACCGTTCAACTGTAACGTAGCCTGCAGCAGCAACCAATATCCTATCAGAGTACCTCAGTGCTGAGAGTAGCTTAATCTACCTTCCACTTCCAGCTTGATGCCGAAACCTTGTGTCGGCCTGGCCGCCTTGTGGTTCCACTCTTTTCATGACGTAGCAGCCTATCATCTTCACCTCTTGAATCGCGCGAGCTCTTTTCCTTTTCAGCCCGCGTGCGCTAGACGAGATGGCATTTACGGGTTGGACCTATCAGTGAAGAGCTTGTGGTTGTACGGGCTTGGGTATCTCTGTACGGCAAGCTACTGATTGCGGTAGACTACTGAGCACATGGCTGTGGTTAAGAGAGGAAAGCATCGGTACTGAGTGAGACAAGTACAGGTACAGGTTAGTCAAGAGTCTTGAGAGCATGAACCATTGCCATCACAACTGATGCTTCTAGACCCTCGATTTAATGCTGTTGGTTCCAACAGTCAGTCAGACTACTGTATCATCAATCTTCCCCGTCCCTTGCTCTCATCGTCCTAGGTACCCTTAACTGCTAGGTAGTCCTGGCTTACTGTAACTGTCTAGACTGGGTCTTGGCTTCTATGGAACCCGCAACATCCCACTCTAAAACCACTCTTTTCCACTTTTGGACGCGTCTCGGGGGAGGGACTTGATTCCCTGCTTGATTGCCACCCATTACATAGCCTGGAGGGGGCCCCCCATGTTTCCCGATAATCCGCTACTCCAAATTTCTTCAAGGCCCCGTCCGTCACTTTTCAATTCCCCAGATTCAATCCGACCCTCTCTTTGTCTTTGTCTTGTGTTTTTAAATCCCCTCCTCCTCCCTCTCCCTTCCCTTTCCCTTTCGTCAACCCCCCCCTCGTCTATCTCTCCAAGCCGCCATCATGTCCAAACACGACTCGGGCAGCACAAGCACAGGTGCAATGGATCCAGTCGTCGAGCAAAAGCCTCGTCGAGGCTCAAAGGCTTCCGTCGGCAACAATGAAGCTGCCGATCAGCTCCTCGAGAACCTGGGCTACAAGGCTGAGCTGTCGCGAAACCGCTCTACCTTCCAGGTCGCCTTCATGTCCTTCGTCCTCGCTTCCATTCCCTACGGTCTCGCTACCACCCTGGCCTATCCTCTTGTCGGCGGTGGTCCCGTCAACGTTATCTGGGGTTGGGTCGCCGTCTCTCTCATTATTGTCTGTGTAGCTGCGTCTCTTGGTGAAATCACCAGTGTCTATCCTACAGCTGGAGGTACATTCCTCCCCTCCCATTGGAGCCATGTCTCTTGTGTCTCTGTCCCCGTGAATTAAACTGATTGTATCGTGATTAGGCGTCTACTACCAAGCTTTCATGCTCTCCCCTCCTCGATGGCGTCGCATTGCAAGCTGGATCTGCGGTTGGCTGTACATCGTTGGAAACATCACCATCACTCTCGCCGTCAACTTCGGAACCGCCCTCTTCATCGTCTCTTGCGTCAATGTCTTCGAGTCGAGCCCCGGCGTCGGCGTCATGTCCGGCGAGCCCTACCAGGTCTTCCTTGTCTTCTTGGGTCTGACCATCCTGTGCAACGCCGTCTCTTCGCTCGGAAACAAGTGGCTTCCATGGATTGACACCGCCGCCGTCTTCTGGACCTTTGCCGGTGTTATCGCTATTGTCGTTTGCGTCCTCGCTATCGCCAAGGAGGGTCGTCGTGATGCTGCCTTCGTCTTTGGCCACTTTGAGGTTAACTCTGGATGGCCTTCTAAGGGCTGGTCTTTCATGGTCGGTCTTCTCCATGCTGCTTACGCCACTTCTTCCACTGGCATGATCATTTCCATGTGTGAGGAGGTTCAGAACCCCTCGACTCAGGTCCCCAAGGCCATGGTCGCTACCATCTTCATCAACACCTTCGCTGGTCTCCTCTTCGTCGTTCCTTTGATGTTCGTCCTCCCCGACATGCAGCAGGTCGTCCTCTCAGCCCAGCCCGTGCCCTTCATCATCAAGAGCGCTGTCGGCAGCTCTGGTGGTGCCTTCGGTCTTCTGTTCCCTCTCATCATCCTCGCCATCATCTGCGGTATCGGCTGCACAACTGCCAGTTCTCGATGCACTTGGGCTTTCGCTCGTGACGGTGCCATTCCCGGTGCCAAGTGGTGGTCCAAGGTCAACACTTCTCTCGATGTTCCTCTGAATGCCATGATGCTCTGCATGGTTGTCGAAATTATCCTCGGTATCCTCTACTTCGGTTCATCGGCTGCCTTCAACGCTTTCTCTGGTGTTGGTGTCATTTGCTTGACTGCTTCTTACGCTACTCCAATTGCCATCAGTCTTTTCACTGGCCGCAAGCAGGTCAAGACTGGAAAGTTCTACCTTGGCAAGTTCGGTGCCGCTGCCAACTGGATCGCTCTCGGTAAGTCATCTGTCTCTAACTATAGTATATCTCGCTAACTTTCTCAGGCTGGTCTCTCCTCGCCATGCCTCTCTTCTGCATGCCCTCCGCTCTCCCCGTTACCCCCGAAACCGTCAACTACGCCCCCGTCGTCTTCGTCTTCGCGTGCCTGGTTTCTGGAATCTGGTACTGGGCTTGGGGCCACAAGAACTACGCTGGTCCTCCCACCCACGAGGATTAAAAACTGTTTTTTCTTAAAGCGAGCAGCATCTAGATGCCTTGACATTTATTCGACATTTTCCCTCATATCAGTCTAGTATATACGTGTGAGGATTTTAGTCGTGCTCTGTGCTTGATACCCAATACCTAGCTTTAGATAGGATGATCTCAGTATTAGCTAGGAAGATATTCATAATTCACATTTTCAAAATGCCATTGCGATGCGAGACAATTGATTGTGTCTCTCAGATCTGAGATGACGATACAGCATGCTTGACTCTGGTTGGTAGTTGGTTAAACGTCCAGAGGCGCAAAGGTTTCGCATGGGAAAACACTCACTCAGCCATCCTCTTTATTCCCACAACTCAATTGGTGAACCACTGATGCTCGCGTGACTAACGGTCAGAGACATACCTTAAATTGGGTATCACATGGGAACGAGGTAAAGCCATGTACCTACCAAACTTCTTTCAGCTTACTACGCCGCGTGCCCATAAGCGAATACGTCGAAGCCAATGAAGTACCTTGTCCTTCCATGACTGCTTAGTGGCTGTCGATTGTAGGGTTGCACGTAAGGTGGCAGATGACAGCGTTGTGCATTGAGGGTGTGGTGTCAATCTGACGGATGTTACGAGACTCGATCTGTATTGGAATTTGAAAACACCAAGCCTATTATACTGAAATTTGCTATGCACAGGAATGACCTTTGAATCATCCATCAACTTTGGAGATGACAGGACTTGTAGTCTTTTCCTTCGTCTCCCCAACACTGACTCCATCACACTCAACACTCGCACTCTCCTCATCCTCCCTAACCTCAGTGCGATCATATCCACCATTCTGCAATCCCTGATTCCGTCTCGACCACCAAAGCATGCCCAGTTGTACAAAAACAGACCCAAACGAAAACGCAGTCGTAAGCGGAAATCCAATAGGATACTCCGGCGCATCCGCAACCCTAAAAGCACGAAGAGGAATAGTCGCATGCCCAACATAAACGATCATGACCGTCAGCGCAACCACAATAGCTCTGGCTTCGGGCTCTTTGCGCATTAGTTCGGCGAACCATGCCATCAGTGCTGGACTTCCTGCGTTGACGGCGTATGTCATGAAATAAAATCCCATAACGATCTTATGGTCGGACGGCCAGGCGCAGAGCACACTTAGCATTATACCGAGCATCGTGGCGCAACCGCAACTGATCTGCCATCGCCAGTGTTTCCAGTCTGATAATCCGTTCAGGATTAGGTTGGTGCAGATTTGCATCGCGTAGCCGCCCAGTGGGAGGATGTTGACCTGGTATGTACTGTACATCCTGTTCCCAGCACTATCCTTCAGACTTTCGATATAAAGAACGAAGTAAGAATTCGCTCGATGCGCCCACGCATTCATTGCGAACGCAGCAAGGAAGAAGAAGGTAACAGGATGCGTAATCAACTTCCTCAATTTGCTCTTCAACACATCCGCAGGAATCAACTTTGAAGTCTTGGCTCCAAAATCGCCCATACGCTCCCTCGACAATTCCTTCTCTGCCTCAGTCAACCACTTCGCCCTCGTGTAGGCAGGTGTATCAGGAATGACAAAGAATCCCACAATGCCTTGCGCGATAGTGATGATGCCAGAGACGATAAACAGCCACTGCCAACCAGCTATGCCGTGAGCGCCGTTAAGATTCTTATACAGCGCTGCTTGGAGGGCACCGAGAAACATGGCGCCTGCTACGTCGGAGACATTGAAGCAGGCGATTCGGAGCGCGAGTTCTTTGGGGGTGTACCAGTTGAAGATTAGGGAGACGACTGAGGGCCAGAAGACGGCGGAGAAAAGGCCGAGGAAGAAGCGGAGGGCGTAGATTGTTGTTGCATTTTTGGCTTGGCATGTCCTATATGTGTGAGTTTATATATACCACATATAGGCTAGACTGAACTTACACCAAGACGAAAAGTCCCCAGATAATCTCACAAGTCGGTAGAAAAAGAGACGGTCGAACCTATAAAGTCAGCAACGCCATACCGTTATCAATAATTCCTTCACTCACCCTCGTCTGAGCCAACTGGCCAGGAACAAGTCCAATAGCATATCCGATCGAGAAAAAGGTATTAAACATAACCAACTCATTTCCATATAATCCCAACGCCTCTCTCATACCAGAAACGTAAGCCTGCGTTGTAGCCGATTGATCCATCTCTTTCATAATACCAGCGATGAACGTCCATGTGAGAAGAAGGCAGTCGAGTTTGAGAATTAAGACATGGCGAGGATTGCGAAAATAGGGGATCGCTTTGGAGATGTGTTTGAAGATGCCTGTCTGAGGAGGGTGAGATACCTCGGCTGGAGACACCTGGACTGGCGCTTCGGTGGTGGTGGTTGCCATCTTTACGACTATCTCACATCCAACGAATGGTAGCAATATGTAAACAAAGTCAACCTGTATCCTTTTTCGAAAAACTCAAATAGTCAAGATGAAACAGGAGTTATATACAAGGGCCATCCCACCCCAGTATCTCATACCGGCGATAGCACATCAAGATAGGCATTTAGCGGGCCTGTGAGAGCTCGCGTCATTTGCCGCGCAAACAACGACATTATCCCAAACGGGAAATATCCGTCGGGCCAAGGCCGGACATCTGCATTTAAGCTTAAGTTGTTTATCACGACATTGATACTGTACCATTTCTGATCTGCGCTTATCTGCCGGGGAGATCGCGATAGATTATCTAGATGGGGAAGTTTTATATCTTTTTGCCTTCGAGATGTGGTCTTGCTTGACAATGGGCGTAGAAGCGGGGAAGTTCAAACTTGATAGAAGGTATTGTGTGATATCACGGGGTTTGGATAGATACGATGCATTGTGTAAGAGTCCTAACGAGTTGGGTCTTTTAGACAGGGTCTGTGGATTGCAATGCAAGCCGGGGCAGGATTACAGGATAATATGGCATAACATGGAGTCTTGGTTATCATTTATAAGGCGAAGACTGAGCAGAAGGTTCATCGAGCTGAAAGCCCACCTTTTGAACGGATATCAATATACAAAGTAACAGCGGTAACTAACAATCATCCTCAATATTACATTCTGGTTAAGATGCGCTGCAAGTTTATATTCATGTTATTAGGTGAGTTAAGAAACTTTCCGCCTTTAACCCGTAAGTCTGAAAGGAAGGGTTGGTCTTATAATGCAACATTTAGGAATTTAGATCTAGGAGCATTTAGTTATGAGATACTGTAGAAGCTATTTTCCCAAATGATCAGATTCAATAAAGTCAAACATATTTGAGAATACATCTGGTAGGTCAGTTTATCTCTTGGGTGTTGGGGTTGACTTATACCTTACCTATATCTTATTCTCATTCGAATTTAACTTGAGGGACACCTAGCCTGTCTCCGAACGTATGTACACTGCGATCAATTATCATCTGACTTCACATAAAGCAAAAGATCGTTAATATTGGTTTGTTCATCTGTGTATATCGCAGGACCTGCTCCTCAGAAAAACTCAGTAGACCCTTGAGTCATTGAAATCGAGCGACAGCTAAGATACTGCTGAGTGGCTGCTTGTATATATTACGATTTATAATACGTCCAGAGACAGAGGAATGGACAGTTTCCAGTATCAGATATGTCATCCTGAATGGATAGGCAACAGGGCCTGAGCATTAAAACCTGTTCCTATTTGGTTCCTCCTATGTCCTGGTGTCTCCATGTCCAGCTTTCGATATATTGAATGGAAGTTGCTGTTATGGTCAAATACACCTTATCGAAGCCTTGAGTTCACCCATGCCTGTAGCTTTTCAAGACTCAGGCTGTCCTCTCCTTCCCGTCAGCCGCTTCCACCAGTCGTCTAAATGCGTTGATATAGTCTTATGTTTATCATCATCGATATGTTGATCTAGCTTTGGCGAAGCTGACTCTCCCCACGGGTAGAATGTTTGGATCAGCCCCGCGTGCAATGAGCAATTTAACCATGGCAAGTCTGGGCTTCTTGACAGCATAGTATAGGGCAGTTCTGTTTCCGGAATCCGTTCCATTGATGTCGTGTCCCATTTTTAACAGAAGTTCCACCAACGGAGTACTGCTCAAGGTAACAGCTTGCCGAAGGCCTGTCAAGGCCTGGCAGCAGCACGACTTCGTAAACGTCAAGTCACGATCACCCATCCATCCGTGAAACCAGGTTTCTGCAGTATTGCGGTTGTTGTCTAGAAGCATCTGTGTCTCGCAATCGAGCAGGGCACGGATGGTAGCTAGATCTCGACGAACCACGGCCAGATGCAGAGCAGACCAACCATCGTTGTCTTGCTGCGTGGCAATGCTTGGATCGTATTCCAGGAGGAGTTTAACGACATCCGAATGACCCATGTATGCCGCGTGGTGTAACGCAGTCCAACCGTGACTTGTTAACCCAAGGATCTCCAAGCGACCCAGCTGGAGGGTTAAATTCACAATCGAAGCATGGCCTCCGTTCGCAGCGCAATGCAACGGCGACATGCCGTGAGGGCTGATAGCACAGACTTCAGCACCGCTCTCTCGCAGTAATCTTACAATGTCTAGATGGCCCTGTTCTGCCGCATAATGTATCGCAGACCAACCATCGTCATCACGGCGGTTTGGATCATAACCATTGTCGAGGAGCAGCCTAACAATACCCGTCTCACCAGAAGCTGCCGCTTCCTGCAACTGAGTGCCAGACACGAATCTAACACGTTCGATAATCTTCTCAGCAATCACGATCCTTCCCAATCGGGCTGCCCAGGTCAACGCAGAATCCATATCCGCAGAGGTCGCAGCGATGTCCTCAAACAACAGTCGATTAGTCGCACTTTCTTTTCCAGTAATCACAGCCCAAGAGATTGGTGTAATTCCAGAGTGGTCGATGATATGTGGATCCGCACCGTGATTGACCAAGACTTCTATGCATTGCATCCATTCCATTTCCGCGGCGTAGTGCAGAGCTGTTTGTCCATTTTCGTCCCTGAGATTGACCTTCATACCGCTCTGAACAAGAGCTTCAATTAACTCTGAATCTCCAGACTCCACCGCTTGGCGAAGCTTGGACATCCTCAAATTGTCCTTGTCGTCAAGATTGAGCTTTGTCACGCCGTGACTGATTTGTCCGTCACGGTGATCCACATTGTTTCCTGCAATATCAACATTATCTTTGCTGTCTGGAAAGTCGAATGAATCATCGTCCAGTATACTACACATTGATGCACGTGTAATTCCAAATGACCCTGTGGTGACTTCGTCTTCTGGAGGTTGGTCGCTATCGATGTTCTCCACGTTCTCGTCACCGTCAGTTGGTAGCTTCTGCAGTGCAAGTAGAGCAATCTCCTTCATATGACCGGCGACATGTGACTCGAGAGCATCGGTCGAGAAGATAGTACTAGACCCCGCCTTTTCTGCGGGCTGGAAATCGTCTCCATATGGGCATTCTAGCACCTTATCGATGACTGCTCTCCGCGCGGCGTTGCTCAGGGCTGCGATGTACGTTTCAGGCACGCCGTGCTCTTCAATGGAATGCTTTCGGTATGCAATTTCTTCTTCAAATACTATGGGATCGTGAGATGGGGCTCTGCACTTCCAGGTCTGTCCGTGAGCAGTTTCCATGTGATTGGACCAGGCCTTTGATGTTTCGAATGTGAGAGGTTTGATATTGTGGCCGTGATGACATGCTTCCAGACATTGAGAAAAAACACAGATGAAAGGCTCTAGGTCTCCGATGACATGGTTCCTTACTGATATTAGCTGGGATCGCAAGGAATGAACGATTTGCTTACTGCCACAGCGATGACTTTGCGATATTCTTGAACTCTATAATAACACCGCAGTACGGACACTGCTGCGTCGGCGGCAGGGGAGGGAACGACAATTTGTTATTGACGAGGATAGATTTAGCACGAGGCATCTCAGTCTCGGGCTCGGCGTAGAGGGTTGCTACTGCGGTCTGTCGAGCAGTAGTTGCATTGGTTGCTGGCGCCGGAGACGGGGACTGGATCTTGCTGACTGTCAGGGGTTTTGGCAACGGGTTGTCCGCAAATCGTACTTTCGGGTTGCTCTCGGCCACTTTAGCAACTGTAACAGGAGCTGGAATCGGGTTTGGCTTCTGGACATTCAAGTCGATGCGGCGTCGGTGAGAGTGCTGATAATACAGCCGTCGAAGTCGTAGGGCGTTGGCTTCAACCAGAGTGGAGCAGAGGGCCTTCGGAGCCTCCGGAAATCGGAATTCAATATAGCATTTGGTGTAAAGACGCAATTCCTCTATTGCTTTGTTTGCCTCCTCATCGTCCTTGTATAATTCGATCTTCCGTGCTCGGTTAGCTTTGGCAGACTTCCGAATGGCGTTGGATAAACGGAAAAGCCGTGTTATTGTTCCGCCTATTGTCTCGGTTATCTTAAGAAGGTTCCCTTCTTCTGAATCGATGTCACTGTCCGAGTCGTTTGAGTAGTCGTCGCCTGTAACTTCCAAATCACCATGCACCGAGAGACGCCGCCTCTTTCTACTGGGAGTTTGTGGCGGTCGCTGGTCGATTGGTTTCACTGAGTCCGGGCTCTTGTTAGCCTTGCTATTCGATTGAGTCGAATGTGGCATGGGTATCGGGTATCACTCACAGGATAGCAGGGTATCGCAAATAAGATTCAAGAGTTCGTGTACGATATCCGCAGCTGTAGGGCTGAATCGAAGTCTGTAGTCCAAGGAAACGTTGGGCGGGCCGTAAACATCCATATTTGAAGTCCACAAAGAAAACCTTGCCAGCTGGTCGTCCATGATAGTGGGATCTGGTACGCTCTCCGGCATAGTCATATATTTGTTAAGAAGATATTGGCATTGTGCCGCATGCTCTGCAATTGTCGGTCCCGGGTCATCTCGTAGAAAGACATCGTCCATGGGTTCTCCGGAGGGCTGTAGTCCTTCCATGATGAAGTGACGCGATTCAATGCGACGAATCAACGAACTTACAAGTCAGTGGACTCATGTACGGCCATAAGACAGAACTGATAGGGTCCGTTTGACATGTCCGAACTTTTGGCTCTGTTCCCTCCCCGCTCCCCTCAGCATTCTCGTACCGGGGTCTGGCGGAAGTACTGTAGACTCGTTACAGCGATCATATCCCCTGTCTTCGACACAGCCTGACAGGGCTTCGGGCGCTCAAGACCCTGCTAGAGCAGGTCGCTGTAGACTGAGGCAATGTGACCTGATATTGGTTGCATTCGGGTTTAAGTCAGGCAGGATCCTGACTGGTAGCTGAGATTTTGGATTGGGCAGAGTTTGGTATTGGAAGCGACTGAGTATTGCTGTCCTCTTTATTTCGTCAATACCAACACTTTGAGCCGTAACCAACATGTCACGTCACAGGGAATGCTGGGCGCGTCGTATTCGAGATGTCCGAGCCACACATGCGTGAATGATGCAGTCGACTTGTAGTCAACTTGCAGCTACGCAAGATTCTGATTTGGTCCAGGTAAGCGCTGCTCTCAGAAGGATGCGAATGGATGTGCGCTTGTAGAAAGCGCCAATTCTGTAGAGGACAATTTGACCGCTATGACAATGGATCCTATCTGGCTGGGGGAATGGGTACATACCCCTGCAGTGTTTCAAGCAGTGCGCGATTGCGCATAATTACTGATATGATCAGTGGTCACAAGCCCTGCCGCCAATTGACTCATGTTCCTGTGGACAAGCAACCCGGAGGGACCGTTAAAGTCTTCAGCTTTGATGTACGACAATGGGTGACGACGATGATCCCCGAGGCTTTTTCCAATCCGTGCTTGGAATATTTACTCGGATCCGGCCACAGAAGTCAGCAAAGCCTCAGTCACTGAAAACACGGCGACAAGAGGCTTGGTTACGTGCAGATGCATTTTCGCAACAGGATGATCTTGACGGAGCGGACCCAGAAAGCGTCGAAAGGACTTTGCGTGCATGCGAACGCTATGTCCAAGACGACTATGACCAGGAGATAGACTCTGTTAGTATTTTTCTTATACAAGAAACTCCATGTCCCCGATCCCTCGGCCCCTCAGTCCCCATCTACTAACGAGACATGTAAAGAATTCCCGACAACCTGGACTTGAGCGGTATCCAGGACTTTGCCACATGGTTAACAATCCAACGGCCGATCCGTATGCCGAGCCTCGAACATCTACCCATCGAAGAAAAAGACAACGACGATGCGATGATATATTGGATACATTCGGAAATTTGCAGCAAGAAAGCAAGAGGCGTCAAGTTCCATATCGTCAAGAGTCAAGCCATGAGCCCAGCTCCCAAGACCCCGATGCCGACTTTGCAATGCTGATGAGGCGGCATTTGATGACCTTGGACGACGCATTGCGAATGCATTGGGTTTGTGTTTGCCAAAAGTGCTCGGGCCTGACTGTGGGACTATCACTGCCGCGACACACAAGGGGTCTCGAGGCTGAGGCCAGCTTCGAAGTCTTCTTTGGCGTGCGGTCCGTACCAGCTACTACATTACAAGAAGGCAAAATCACCGTCAAGTAAGCCACCGAAGGCTTCTATGCGTCTTGTTCTTACTAAAACCTCCCACACAGAGACTTACGCAATAGCACATCCAGGTGTGCATCTGAGCCCATACTTAGCCATCCACCTGAATTTGCTCATATATGCCGGAGCATCACAGAGTCCCTCGGTCAGCGAAACTGCCTACACTTGGCTCTGGAGAATGGAATATTCCAGCGCCTTCGACCGCAACTGAAAAGCTTTGGCAGTGACCGAGTATCTCGAACGATACCCTTGTTAGCATTGTTCAATCGCCAAAAAGAATTACTTCGTGGTGAATCGGTACTGCCACTGAAGGGGAAGCGGATTTTGGCTCTTACTCTGGCCTCGGCACTCCTCCAATTCTTGGAGACACCCTGGTTACAGTTCTCCTTCGATCATTCGAAAATCCAGTTCTTCGAGCCAATGAAGGATGGAGAGCTCCCTGATATCACAAAACCTTTCCTGTCTCTGGAGCATGTTCCGACTGTCTCAGCTCGCACTACACATACTTCAGAAGGCTCTGATTCTCTGAAACATATCGTTCATCCAAATGCCAGTGTGCTAGCCCTGGGTATACTCCTATGCGAACTTCACTACTGCATACCCGTGGAGCTAATGTCGAAGCGTTCAAATGCTGAAAAAGGCGTCAATGACGATATGTATACCTGTCTCGATAAACTTGAAGATTTGGAAGATGACGCTGGCGTTGACTACTACCTCGCTACAAAAGCATGCCTTACTGGTGATTACTATCCTACTGGAGAATGCGCAGGTTTTGAGGATGTTAGTGTTCAACGACTCTTCTATCAAAATGTTGTCAAACGACTAGAGGCCGTCGTATCCAAGTCATGGGGCATTCGATTGGACAACCTGGGCTCGTTTGACTCCCGGCAAAATACCTCTTGCTGGGGCTCCATCGGCCGGGAGGTTGTCCGACTACATACGAGCGAAGTTTCAAGGGCCAGTCCGTATCGCTCAATATCTAACACAATACCGACGAGCTATCCAACCCTACAGTCAGAAGCTTATTCATTAGCGAAACCTTCTTCGGCATGTCAAATTCAAGGACATTGCAATCCACCATCAAAGACGAGCTTGGCCTTTTTTGATGCAAGTCATCAGATGGGTTCTGAAAAAGAGTAAAGTGTATACCATCTGTTACAAGACTTATCACTAATAATCTATCAGAAGCCCACTTTCAGAACGATCGATGGAAAATCTACTTTCCTCTATCTATCAATTTGTAGATCTTGATGTCGACCACGTCGAGCCAGTACGAATAGCAATTTTGGATTCGGGACTGGATAACGAAAACCCATTCCTTTTCGAAGACCAGCAATTGCCGAAGCCGAGAGTCAAGGAAGTGAGGAGTTTCATTAACGGAACAGAGCCACACGAAGTGCGAGACGAAATCGGACACGGCACTCATGCTTTGGGACTTCTGCTCAAAGTGGCACCATGCGCAGAGATATATGTCGCTAGAATTGCGCGAGGGGAAACTCTGGATTCGAATACTTACGATGATATTGCAAACGCAATCAATTACTCTGTCGAACAATGGGATGCAGACATTATATCGATGTCATTCGGGATTCGAGAACAGCACGAGGGAATGAGCCGAGCTATATCAAATGCCTTGAGCAAGCGGACGCTTTTGTTCGCGGCTGCGTCGAACGATGGAGCAAATCTTTCCAGAGCCTTCCCAGCAAAATGTCGCGGCGTTTTCTGTATTCACTCGACCGATGGAAATGGTAACCCTTCGTCTTTCAACCCAACGGCTAGTGAAACAGACGTCAACTTTAGTCTTCTTGGAGAGAGAGTCTCCTCTCGCTGGCCGGCTGGTATGAATGGACACGATCAGAGCGTCAACGTTATGTCAGGGACCTCGGTTGCAACACCCATCGAGGCAGCATTGGCCGCATCGGTCCTATCATTTGTTCGGCAGCAGGATCAAAACGTTGCTGTGGAAAGTGATCGCCTGGGGCCGTGGTTAAAGATTGACAGCTCTATGGATGCAGTCTTCAAGGAGATGGCCGCAAAGCGAGGGGCGGGTTACGACTGTATCACGCCTGACATACTCTTTACTAAGGGCTCAACGAGGGAATTTGTTTATGCAAGAATTGAACATATCAAAAAGAACATTTATAGACATTGATAGAAACCTCAATTAAGCAAAAAACCTTCTATTAACGACTGGGGCTTCCTACTGAAGCCATGTAATATAGTGAATTCTTTAAGCTCGAACACAATAGACGTCCCCATGCCCAGTTTCATCGAGAGCAAGCTCAGAAGTCTCAAGTTCAGCTCCATCCACTTCTTCAACCAACACACATTCATCATCATCCTTCTTTCCACCAAATTTCATCAAAGCGCCCTCAGTATACTCCTCAAGCTTGACTCTCCGCCCAAACCTCAACCTCTTCACAGAGAACGCAAAGACGAACTCAGACTCACGATTGGACTCCGTTGTATCACCATTCGTGCGAGTCCAATGACCTTTCGGGCCAAAGGTTGTGCCCAGGGATGGAATGTCGACACCAATATTACCTTTGACCGTAGTTGTTTGTGACGTAGAGTATTTGATCTGGGCACCCTTGACGATCTTGAGGCCCGTGACCATGAAGAGCTCATTCACGAGCTTGAGCTTCTGTCTGAGTTCTCTCAGCCAATTCTGCACAGCCGGTGCCTTGATAGCCTCTTCCACATACGCCTATGTCGGTTCGAATGCCAGAGTCGTCAATTTGTCAAAGGCGAACGTGCTTTCTGTTCTGTTGCTGTGCTCAAAGTCCGCCTCTGGGCCGAGTGATAGTCCACCGGTAGCCACTTGCAAGAACTGTGCGTAGACACCAAGAGACTGCCCTCTCTCATCTGAAACAGTCTTCTTCCAATCTGTTTCCTCGGACGGCGGAAATGTATCGGTCACGGGAACAATACTGCCTCTGTTCATAGGGTATTGTGGTGCTGACGTAGAGCGGATGATTGACCCGAGGCATAATGTGCCTGTTGGTGGTGGAGGAATAATATTGGATGTCGGGCAAAGGAAATATGTCTTGGTGAATGACATCTTTGAAATGAAAGGTGAAGCCGAGTTTCTCTGGGACTGAACTGAGTTGTCGAGTGACAAGATTAAGACTGTCGAGCAAGAGACTCGATTTCTGGTAGGCGCGTTACAACGAATCAAGATATGCCACATCAAGGAAATCTGTCACTTCTGCCTGGCCCAATCCCTGATAGAAGCAATAGCACTCTTTTGTGTCTCTGTGCTTGCATTGTTTGGAACCAACCGTCCACTGCAGGGCGGGGATGCCAGGCGCTTACCTGCATTATCCGCTGGGTCCAACTCCACTACGACAATACCCTGGCAGGCTGTACTGTAGGCTGTAAGAGATGGGGGTGTTGATCTAGAACAGTCTTCTCTAACTCGGCTGTAATGGCTCAGCCGACTGTAATCCCAACGGTTGAAGGTCTCGCTAGGTGCAGGTCACTAAACCTCATCACTATTCATGTTTACTGAGACCAAGAATTACACACGGCGCAAATTTGCGACTATGTAGTTTGTAGTAAATTTAAGAAGAATCCTTCTTTCAAGAGAAAGGTTTTTGATATGACAAACGAAAGTAATTGTAACAAAGGAAAGAAGTTAAATTTGAACCCCCAATCCCCTTCCATCTGTTAGGCTGTAGATGCGGATAGCTTGAGTCCACTGACTTACAGAGCAATATCAGGGTTGAACTCCAAAGCCATCCAAACATCAAGGTTAGGTCCACTGCCAGCCTGCCACTTGTGGTAAGGGTACGAAACAGCATTCTCCTTGTTTCGCACAGCATTGCCATACGAATCACGGTACCACATTCCACCATGCTCATAGAGACGTGGGAGCGCGACATGGTCGAAGTCCTTCTCGCTGGTAGCCTTGGTCTTGCCATCCTTGAGACGAGACATGCCACCGTTGCCAGTACCAGGAGAAAGACAGATGTGAATCTCCTCGAAGATATCGCCGGAGTGGTTGTGTACGCCACAGTCAACGTTGGTGCCTGCCATGGATGTTAGTGAGATGATGTTATGAAGGGATGGGTAGACTTACCAGCTGTCCAGAACTGCATGTGTGCAATCTCAGTCTTATCATCCGCGAAACGGAAGTGGAAACCAGTCATGTTCCAGAAATCCTTGCCCTTGAAGGCCCCTCCGAACCAAAGATCCTCGACCTTCTTGAACTTGAGAGCCTCGAGACCAAGACCGAGCTTGTTAAGTTCAAAGGTGGTCTTAACAGGGACATCTTCGGTCTTGGCCCACTCGCCGTCCTGGCCGGTAGGGACAAGACGAAGAACGATAGCACCGTTATCACCGGCGTTGAAAGTGGAGTCTTTGCTGGTAACGGGTGTAATGGCAGGGAAGCCCGAGTTACCCAGTGGTTTGCGAGTATCATCTCCGTTATGGATCGAGCCGTACAGAACCTTAATACCGTCTTCCTTCTGAAGCTGAATCTTCCCACCTTTGGGGTGAAGTTCGATGCTGATAGCGTAGTTGGCCACCTCGATGAGCGGAAGCTTTTGCGATTGCTGGACTTCATGAGGTCGAGCAAGGTACACAAGACCCTCGTTATCCCAAGCAGTGGGAACGATAGGAGCTTGGGTTGGAGTCTCGGAGGCGTACACGGTTTTGTTGAGGTGAAGAGTTGTTACGGGCTTGGGCTCTTCGTAGTACTGCTTGACATTGTAGCCGATGGAGACGAGGTCGAGTTTGCCGGCGCCGCCGAAGTTGCTGGGGTTTGTTAGTGGAGTCTTGGTGACGGGATGTTGGGGACTTACCCGATAGCAATACGGGCGGAGGATTCGTCGGCGATGCGCCATTTGGCGAAGATACCCTTTTCGAGATCGATGGGCTTGTAGTACATGATGCCCTAGACTAGTCAGATTGTAGTTCACAAGAGGAATTGGGAGTGTACCTACCTTCAGTGGGTGAGGACCCTGGGCAGGCTGGACGATTTGTCAGTATAGTCTCGTGGCTTCGACCGAGGGATTACTTACAGGTATAGATTCGTCCTTATCATCGCGATCAAGAGGCCCAAAGAGCGCAAGCAGGAACTCATCGTTACCATCGCCTACCATGGTTAGCACAATCCCTCTTGGTCCTTCGCTTCAACTCACCATCAAAGTCAGCACAAACAATGTAATGACCCGGTCCATCACCCCTCTTAAGTCTCTGGTTAGGCGTTCCATAAGTATCAAGCACATGCCTCTTCCACTCGACATTCTTAAGACCACGGTTGGTCTTGGTGTAAACACACGCCGAAATTCCATGGAAAGGATCTAAAGTGGCAATGTAAGCGAAAGGATCATCACCGAACTTGCCAACGTCCGCGCAGCCAGATCCCCAGTGGTCGCCGGAGCCGGGGGACAGAGAGTTGGGGAGTTGGCGGGGCTCTTTCGGTTCGCCGATGCCGATTATGTCGCGCTTCCAGACGTTGTCTTCGTAGTGGAGCCAGGTTGTTCCTTCGCGGGAGGAGATGATCATTGAGTCGAGACCGTCTGGGCCGTCGAACCTGACATTGTTAGTGGTTGTGTGGCTTGTGGGATGGGGGATTTACTTCTTTTGGGTTACTTCGTGGATGACGGTGAAGTGCTCGTCGTCGATGATGCTTCGGGGCCACTCGGTACTAAACAGTCAGCTTGAGTAAGCTCTTTGGAGGTATAGTATCTTACGCGTCGAAAACGTTCTCAGGTGCCTGGAATCGGATGATAGGGATAGGAGTAACCTAACTCGGGTCAGCAACACCGTTATCGACTCATGGCCAGAATTGGAGACTTGCCTTATCAGCCTCACCACGAACAACAGAAGCAGCAACCACCTCAAGGAACGACCTATCCACATTAGCCTACAGGCACAACACCACTCATCCTCAGATACACTTACTTCTGAGTAAAGTAACCAGCCTTCATACGATGCATAGCAGGCCATCGTCCAATCTTCCTCTCCTTCCACTTCCCATCACCAAGCTTATCACGACCAGGGTTCTCAAGCCAAGTGACCCAACCGCCCGCCATATCACACTTGAGCATGAAAGGGCCGTAGGTATGGCAGATGATGAGATCCATGAGGCCATTCTTGGTGATGTCACAGGCTACGACGGCGACGGGGCTATCGAACTTGCCGATGAGATGCTTGGTCCATGCTGAATACTTAGCAAGAAGGTAGAGGTGGGAAAGTGGAAGGGAAACTTACGCTGAGTTACCTCGGGGTTGTGATACCCGTTGGTACCAGCTTTCTCAGAAGCGGCGTGGACGGCGATGGGGTTGTCGATGAATTCGATCTCGCCGGAGACCAAGCCGGAACTAGGATATTGTGAGCTGGATATTTGAACGGGAAGAGAGGACTTACGTGATGATACCGGGAACGGGGTCTTCCTTGTCAAAGTGAAAGGTCTCAACCCAGTAGCCGTCTGAGCGCTTGTCTTCGATGATGTTAGAACCGAAGGAAGGCTCAGCGATGGTGGGAGGAGACATGATAACGATCTTGTAAGTTGTAGTGTTAAATGAATGAATGAATGAATGAATGTGATGTTTGATGAAGATATATAGAGATGCTGTGGTGAAGATATTTATACAGGTTACTCGCCTTCAATTACCACCAAAGATCACATGTAAGATATCCATCGAAGTCCAAGCTGCGTCTCGTCGTCCTGGCAGACAGCTCACTACATTTGCAACTATCTCAAATGAAGTCTTTGTCTTCTCAGCCGCACTGCAAAGAGTAACGACCTGATCGTGGAGAAACGCTTGCATGCCAAAATCCTGAAACCACCATCAGCCAAAATACCATATGAGGTAGAGCATCGCCAGTCTGAGCCCATGACATGGTACCGGATACATCGCTGATTGGTTGTCAATGTACTCAATGTTTCGCGGTCGCGGAGCATTTCTTCACTTCCCACCAGTTCGTCTCAGATCCCCTCTTTTGCAGAATGTCGCTATGACCATGGCGTTACTCCTAGCCTTCCGGAACATTTATTTTTATTGCAGAACACGAAAGGGTCCCTTGAAGATCTTCAGCCGCAACCCTACCTGGATTAGGATACTGTGCTACCAAGCGCTGACAGTCCGATACCGAAGACCCTGAGACATGTCAGACCAATCGGAGGGAAAGCTTGGCTTGAAGATGTGTCTGAGGGCCTCGGTTTCGAGACTTTGAGGCTTAGTGGAAATGACATATCCCTTTGCTTCTGGCTCAGTTCTTTCCGGTTTCGCCGTTGACACCCAGTATGGTAACGCTTCAACGTAAGAACCGGCAGTGCGGTATGCGCCACGGTACGAGCCGACATTAGCTCGTGAAATTAGTGCGACAATTCTGAAGGGTCCAACAGCGAAGAAAGTATCCCTTTGTGATCTGTTTTGAGCCCGATGCCCGAGCGGGATGTGAATGGTCGTCAATTGAGCTAGATTCCATTTACCTTGGATTGCAGGTAGCTTATGTTCGCTGAGCATCCTTCCGGTATCATATACACGCCTGCACCTGTTGTCTCTTGGTCTGAAGAAAATTGACGTTTCTGAGACCTGCATCGGTATTTGTCTCAACGCGGTACGGGTCACAAACAGTCACATACCAACGCACCTTCAGCTCTCGAAGCAGAGACATCAAATGTATTCATAGCAACATCCGAAGTCATTTTCCTCTCAAAATAATCAGATATTAAAACATCTTCCCTCGGTGAATCCCCCACGTCAATCCCAACTTGGTGAGTGAGTGCTTCTGTCTTTCAGAAATGAGTGAGTGCCTACAATTCCTCACTTCCCTTTCCAGCAACTCCGCTTATACGCCGCCAACTACAACCCCTCCCTGCAAAAACTCGTAATTCTTAGCGTGCGATGCATTCAGCTTCCTCCATCCGGCAGTTTCACGTCCATTAATCAATAATGTTAGTCACTTCATTACCTGAAATCCACAGCTGCATATGTAAGTGAGACGAACCACAGCAACATCAATCAGAAGTACAGAATTAGTTACACGACATGGTAAGCTGAACAACCCAAACATTCTTGCATCAAGTATTAATACAGACCTTTCTTCTCTCAATATTCATGTTCTTCATCACTCACTCACACTCACTTATCTATTTACTTACTTGAACTACCTTCATCATGGGTTGGGCAGAAGACGTCAAGATTCGCGATCCCTACAATTTTGTCAAATCCGATGACTTCTTCCAAAGCATTGACAATGGCTCTACCAAGATCAATCGTCCCAAATCAATCAGCTTCAAGGAAAGTGATCAGCTTATGAGCGATGGAACTAAGAATCCTGCTTGTAGCCACGGCCGCGTCTTTCGCTTCAACGATAATTCACTTCTGTTGATTCAATTCGTTCGTCCCAAGGTTTGGCAGATCCGATTTGATCCGCATAATGAGAAGAGTGAGGACTTTACCGATTTCAACACGTAAGTTATTTACCTGATTGAGAAGTGGTACTGGGCTAATGGCGGTAGTCGAACTATTATCAAGGATACCCTTAGCTCGCTTATCAAGACCCTCGATGGTCTCGAGAAGGTGTCCTGGGACGTTGAAGTCCTCGAAGACCCGCAATACATCGTCTTCCAATCCGTGCTCAACCCCAACACTCCCAATCGTCAGGTCCAGCTTCAGATCTACATCCAGCGCGACCCTTTCCAGATCACCGTCGTTCGTGTCCTCGAAAGTCAGCCACCTGCCGAGAAGCTGCCTCAGCTCCAAAAGAAGGCTATCCATGCCGACAAGATCGACTTGCATGAGACAAAGGGTGCCCAGGCGGCCATCATTTGGAAGACTCGACCCAAGGGATTGATGTACACTGAGCGTGCGACTGTCTTTGCAGTCGAGAAATCTGTTACTGCGGACTTTATGGGTTTTGGTGAGCAGGGTGGTAAGCATCTGTTCAAGAAGAAGACGTACATGAACTATTTCAGTAAGTCACACACCGATTAATGACCTGTATTCAGAAGATGCTGACTATTGCAGACTTCGACAACATGCGATACCAGAACGTCTACGGTAAAGGCCCTCTCGATGACCGTGAGCCTCTGTACCACTCCGAACCCTTCTGGATCGAAGTCGACTCCCACCCAGGCTACCGCTCTCAAGTCTCCACCTTCATCGACAACTACTCGCATATCTGCGTCGACGTAGGCGTCAAAGATGCCGGCGCAATTCGCGTGGCAACTCGCTTCAACGCCTTCCGCGCCATCATGGTCGCTGGAGACAGCATGCAAGATCTCGTCTCAACCTACACTTCCATCGTCGGAAAGCCGCGTCTCAAGCCAAGATACGTCCTTGGCTACCACCAAGCGTGCTACGGCTACGACAGCCAGGAGTCTGTTCTTGAGTCTGTTGCTGAGTACCGCAAGCATGACTTTCCTATTGATGGTATGCATATCGATGTTGATATGCAAGATGATTATCGCACTTTCACTATTGACAAGCGTGATAACCATTTCCCTGATCCTGTCAAGATGTTCAAGACTCTTCGTGAGCAGGGTGTCAAGTGCAGTACCAATATTACACCGTACATCAGCTCCATGCCCAGCGACAGTTACAAGACTCTCAATGAGGGTCTTGAGAAGGGCCATTTCATCAAGGATGATCGCGATCTTGATCCTACGGCTCCTAACTATTGGGACCACCGTTATGTGGGCTGGTCTGTCGGAAACCAGATCTTCTTCGATCCCAACACGAAGAAGCCTGAATACTACCAGCCGGATGAGTCCAAGTTTGTGGATACCTTCAACACTCAAAAGCCTTTTCACGGTGGCGTTTACTATGGTTGGGGAAATGGTCATCCTGGACACTATCCCAACTTGAACAACAAGGAGGTTCGCAAGTGGTGGGGAGAGCAGTATAAGTATCTGTTTGAGTGTGGTCTGGACTTTGTCTGGCAGGATATGACTGGTCCATGTATTGCTGAAGAGTATGGGGATATGAAAGGGTAAGTCGCCACCACTCTCACTCTCGCTCATTGCCAATAATAATGTGTCTAGTCTTCCTTTCCGTCTCAACCTCGACTCGGACGGCTGGTCCAAAGATGCGGACAAGTCAATCCGTAAAAAGGCCATCGAGATCTGGTCCCTCTACAGCTACAACCTTCACAAAGCAACATACCACGGCCTGAATAACATCCATAATATCTCCGACAGCCTCGAATGGCGTAAGGACCGTCGCAACTTCATCATCGGACGCGGTTCTTTCGTGGGCAGCCATCGCTACGCAGGTCTCTGGACCGGCGACAACGCGTCTACATGGGAATTCCTCGACATCTCGGTCGCCCAAGTGCTCGCCCTCGGAATGTCGGGTATCACCATCTCAGGCCAGGATGTTGGCGGTTTTGAGTTTGTCCCGAATGAACGTGACTTTGTCAACCCCGAGTTGCTCATTCGTTGGTATTCTGCTTACTCGCTTCTGCCGTGGTTCCGAAACCACTACACTAAGCGACGTGACTGGATCGATGGACCCAGGAAGGGGACTATGAGGAAGGATGGTAAGCTGTTCCAGGAGCCTTATGCTTATCAGAAGCATTATGAGCAGAATGGTTGGAAGTATCAAGGTCGTGAGAATATGCTTTACAGGGCAGTTCTTCCTGTTTGCAAGTACTTGATTAGACTCCGATACAGTCTCATGCAGCTCATGTATGATGCTATGTTTGAGAACATGATTACTGGTCTGCCCATCGCCAGAGCGATGGTCATCACCGATGATATCGACCGTAGTCTCTTCAACGCCGATGTAAGTGCCCCGTCACTATACCCATACTCAACTAACTCTTGCTCTTTAGAACCAATGGTACACTCGCAGCCAGTACATGGTCCGCAACGACCTCCTCGTCGCTCCAGCGCTCATGGAGGAATCCAAGCGCGCTACTCGCAAGCTCTACCTCCCCTACCCCGACAAGTGGTTCCCCATGAACCTTCGACCCGACGATCTCGGTGTTCCTCTCAACAAGGCCGCCAACGGAGGAGACCACATCGAGTACGACTGCCGCATCAGCGCTGATGATGCTCAAATCCCTTACATCACTCCTATGTACATCCGAGAAGGTGGTATTATTCCCAAGATCGCTGTTCGAAACTACATTCCCGATCCTTCTCTTCCTGCTCAGGATCCTAACCCTATTACTCTTCACGTCTACCCTGGAAAGGACAACGTAAGTATCTTCTGAGCTTCTAGTATAGGAATGGTGACTAACTGATTAGGACTACGAAATGTTCCTCGATGACGGTATCTCTCGCGACTCAGCCCCTATCGACGGTCACAGACCCAAGGTCAACGGCAAAGCCACCGACGAAAAGGCCGCCAACAAGTACTGCAAGGTCCTGATCACTCAACGATCTGCACCTATGAACGATGCCACCGGCGTCAAGTACATGCGCAGCATCGAAATCAAGGCCCCCTTCAACGGCTTCGGCGATCTTTCTCGAATCGTCGGCAAGGAGTACACTATCGCTCTCTGGCACGAACCTACTGTCGACATCAACACTCCTCAGGTCAAATCTGAGAACAGAGCTGTTACTTCGCGAACTGATGCTAATGCGAGAGTTACTCTTGTTACCCTGCCTGTCGATCTTGCGCATACTGAGAAGGGTGTTGCTTTCAGCTTGACTTATGCTGAGATGCCGTGAGGTATATGTGGTGGATTTCTTTTGTAATATTCCATTCTCCCTGACTTTTGGATGTTTTCTCGGATAATGGTTTTGTGTGACTAATTGCACGGAGGAAACTTAATAATAAACCCAAATTGTCGTTGCGCTTGGTGCGATGCACCTTCGTAGAGGTGACTGTTACGGATGGAGGCTCAACCTGCGAGTTTTCACTGGGCTCGTTTGTCTGTATGCTTTAAATGGTTTCCGTCTTGAGAAAACTTAAATGATGTATGGAGGGAGGCCGTTGTGCGTGATGAGCTGTTGTCGTAGTCGATGTTGTATGGAAGAAAGTGAAAACCCCGGAAAGCATTGAGTCTTACGTTCACCTTGAACCATTTTTTCTACCGGGGTAGAGGATCTAGGCAAGGTGAGAAAAAACTCTCTTGTGGAAACACCAGAGTCATAGTGCTTCCAACTTATAGTTCATTGGAAGCAACGTTTTCCTAATTGCCAGTGGGTTTAAACTTCCCGCTATGCAGTTATGAAGCTTAACACAACGGCATTAGTGAGGCAATATGAAGTCGAATAGAAAGTCAATCAAAACCCCAAAGTAAATCCACGATCTCGTCTTCTCTGTGTAGTATAAATACAAATCAACCTGCTCATCTTTCCCTTTCCATTTCACTTCTTTTCCCATTCATTCTACATCTCTCAGTTCAGAGTCGCTTTCATCCAGGCCTCATTTATATTCCAAACTTCTTACCACCTGCAAAGGTATAAAGCCTTGACAAGATGGAATACACCCACTTTGAAGTCGTGACCACAGCGTCATTCACCAGAGTGACGATAACCATAACCCCAAGCATGACCGCCACATCACCTGCCCCCAATCATCGGCCCGATCTCGAACATCGACAGAAGGACAATCCCAAACATACGAGATCTCTCAAACCTACCCATCCACTCCACAAGCTCTCACCAGAGCTCAAGATGTGTATCTTTGACCATCTTGACCCTATCGACAGCACAGCCCTCGGCCTGTCATCTCGACATATGTACCGCACTTACCGCCGCAGATTCCCCAACCCTCTCCTCCTCGGCCACATAGGAGAAGGCGTTTGGGCACTCGATTGGAACGATCGGGTTCCTGAATCTGGACCAAATTCACGTCGCCCATTATGCTGGAAGTGTGGCACGTGCCCTTGTAGGCTGCATCGCCATATTCAAGATCTTGTTGGTCGTGATGCTCTCAATAGGCAAAACAGACGGCGGTGGGAAAAGATGGGTCGTCCTAGAGAGTGTAAGGGAAAATGCGCTATGGGTGACATGCTGTTTGAGCGTGGTACTCGACGCCCTTGTGGATGCTATGGAGAGAGACCAGGCTCTTATTAATAGGTCTACTGCTTCTTGGAAGCCTACTTTAGACAGCCTTCACCTATCTACACATAACAACTAGCAACTGCTTGTACAGGGACAGCTAAAACAGCTAAGCAGTAGGTCAGCTAGAGCTTGCTTACTCACTTCATACCTACTCACTCTACAGGATGGAGATTGAGCTGCAATGAAAAACCTCTATATTCTTACAATTGGATACTACATCGTTTCTTTTATATTCCTCTTTCCCAATCCTCGTCTACACAACTTCCTGGGCATCATACAGAGGTATACAGCCTATATCGATAAGCGCTATCAATGTCTCTTTGCGATCGAATGAGATCATTCTTCATAGTCAGCCTCAAATATATGGCTTGTATGGCGAAGGGACATATCTAGATCTATGTAAAGAAGTTGCTTGCGTGGCCTTTGACGAAGCTGAGGCTGTGAGGTGGAGAAAGATTGAGTCAGTGGACATGGGGGAGTTATATTTTTGTTACTGTAGTTGAAGTAGCATGCGAGCACCGAGTATTATATCACTGTCTTTGTGACTACGACAGTAATTTATCTTTGTCTCTTTTGTTTTTACCTCAATTGATTCGACCCCTTATGTGTTCACATCCTTACTTCTCATTTTGCGTAGAATCACGATATGTCATGCCAAACCCACTCAAGCCCACTTTGTAGCTTGTCTTGTGGAGAGCCGTGTACCTATCAGATGCGGGCTTGTAGATCGTGGAGCCCTGTCTGGCCCACCTCGATTATGAATCTCGGAACCCTGTCGAACATCTCCACAACCTTTGGGCCACATCAATGATCGTCGGGCGTGCGCGCATCACTGTTTAGACGCGCGTCAAACTCACAGTGGGTCTCTCTGGAATATCGTCAAGAACTTGAACATCTGGATTTGGATGATGACGACGACTACATCAAAACACGATCATGAAGTTATTGAGATAATAGAAATGGTATCAATTGAAACTCTGCACAGATTGATCACTCGGCAATTCAGGTTGAATTAATAAGTACTTGATGAGGAACAGGAGCAGAGGAAGAGCGAACGAGCAAAAGATTGTGAGATAACATTGTACCTTGTCAAATATATAGGAAATCACACTCTAGAGACTTTTCATCGTGTATTCTAATCTCTACACAAGCCACTACAACTTGGTCAGTCGATCTATTTCTCTCAGAGGTAGCTTGTGATGATCAATACATACCCTGTAGATACGCTTTTCGTAAATTCCCTGACAAAACCCATGAAGTGGTTGACGATTTTGGGTCGATTTATAGCTGTGAGCGTGCTCTTAGTGCTGTCGTAAAAGCCACTTATCCTCCTCTAATGCCTCTGCAACGACCATCCACTTACAACCACACTTCCGAGATTTCCGTTGTCGGATCCCTACGCCTTCAGTAGGTTTGGGTTCTCCGAATCGGTCGCATTGGAATGAATACCTGAGCTTCCGGCCTTTATACGAGTAAGTATTCCGACGAACAATACCAAACCCATGCCCCTTTGCGAAGGTATTTACACATTCGAAGAGAGCCTCGGCTGATGGTGCTGCATCGCCTGGGATCGGTGGATTTGGGATGGGATCTGGGGTAGGCGACGAGGACTGTTCGACAGGAGAAGATCTGACTACCCGAGGGGGTGCTTGGGGGGATTAGACAGATCGGCCTCGGGGCGGAGAGTATGGCGGGGGCGATTCGTAGGCATCTGAGTTGAGTGGTGACCAGCCCCATCTCTCTCGCCACTGGCGTACTCGTTCGTACGACCGGGCAAGCTCAATAGTCAGTCTCTTCTCCTCCCCGATAACCTCGCGTACCAACTTCAAAACGGATTCAAACTCGGCCCTTGTTGCAATTGGGGGTCGTTGGGTGGATTGTGGTGGAGAGGAGGACAGTGGTAGATCGGTTTCAGGGCCTGGTATGGGTGTTCTAATTCGCTGCGATCGTGTTTGTCCGGATGGGAAATTATTCGAAAGGTGTATCTCGTGATCGAAACGGAGCTCCCATGATGGCTCATGGAGCCCCTGGGATCCGTGAGGCTGTGGAAAGTTTGAAAAAGCCTGTGGTAAGATGCGAAGAGGTTTCCAAGCGCATCTTCGTCGCCGTCACCATAGTACTGGTCGATACTTGTCGCGGTGCTGGTAGCTGACTGTGGTCTATCCGTAAGCAGTGGTGGGCTACACTCGGGTAGTCGGGTCTGTCGCTGTCATTTTCGAGGACGTAATTGATCGCTCGGGCTCGGCCTTCGGGTTCGGCGCCTTGAATTGCTCTCTGAGTTATGAGTAGGCTCTGGTTCAGACATAATGGAAGGTTATAATCGTCAAGGGCTGAGAAACTAGTAATGGATAGTTAATTATCTGATGGAGAGCGTTACGTCAGTCATTAAGGGATGAAAACTATAGGTACAAATTAGAGTTGTCGGCAGAACCGAGATGTGCTAACAAATGTGGGCCTTAGCGAATCAGATGCCACAAAAGTCATGCCCGTGTAGCCAAAATGTCATGCCCGTATAGCAATTCCCATATATATATATACTAACTATAACTAGAAATGAGCTTGGGCGGAGAGGTCTGGCTGATATACGAGGTAGGTGCTTCAGGCACCTTTAATAAGAACTTCCTAATTAAGATACTATGCTGGATATAAATTAGATACATCACCACTTCTCGGAGATGAATTTCAGACGTAAAAGTCTATCCCGTGAGCAGATCTGAGCTAAAGCTAAAGACATACTAGCACTCCGAGTGGACAGAGAGAAATCTCCAGCCAAAGCGAACAATGCGTGTAATTAAGATGTCAAGGTTGATATATAATATATAACATAGAAGAATATAACAAAAGGTTTTACCTTCAAGCCTTTTTAACATTATTGCCTTTTCTCTTAGGAACCCGAAAAGCCCAATAAAGTCCAAGAGCTGCGCTAATATTGAATAAGATAAATACCCAGACAAGTCCAAAGTCCCTCCAGCGTGTATCATAGCTGAGGTCAAACTGCGCCAAAAAGTCATTTGTGGTACCAATAGGGCAATAACCGCACTCATCGTGAGCGGTGGGATCCAGCACACGTCCACCGGCTGCTTCAGCAAAAGGTCCGAGAAACTCGCCACAGCTCATGTTGCCCACAGATGGTGGCACAATGTGGAGGACCTCATAATCGGCGCAAGTGACATTGTTGTTCGCCACCGCAGTCGACATGATACCGCCTACTAGATAGGTTGCTGGACTGGCCCGGTACATAAATGTCCAGAAACCGGGGAGGTCGGCTCGAGGGACACCAATACCACAAAACAGAATACACAGCATCCAAAGCAAGCTTGTAAGGACACCCGCCGTCTCAGGGAGGTCAATCCATACGATAGCAAAGTGTGCGAACGTACTGGTAAAAAGGAGGTAGACCCAGAGAAAGAGAAAGACAAGGAATCCACGAATAGCCTCGTCGTCTGGGGTGGTATTTCGGACAAACCCAACTGGGTAGTACCAGCAGAAATACATAATCACAGCCATTACCGTGTTCCAAAAGAGCTCCATCAGGATATTCGCCATGATGTATGTCATCCAACGGTAAATCTTGGACGGCCGCTCACGAGATTCGTATAAGTTGCGCTGTGGCACAAACATGGGCATGATTTGTTCGTTGATGTTGATGAAGAGGACAAGAAACATGAAGATAGCCCAAAGCTGGTTCTGAAGACCTTGGATAGAGTTATTCGCACTATAGCTGAAGCCCAGGTAGAGGGACTGTATCGAATGTCAGCCTCAGGTCAAAAGTCTATTTTGTTATTGTGACTTACCGACAGCGCGATCAAGGCCGTCTTTGACCACATATACACGGGAGACCTCCAGAAGTGCTTCGAAACACGTATCATCACTTCACGGAACTGGGTTGAGAAGGAAGCAACAAACTCTTGATGCTGAGATTTATCTTCGACAGCACTCACGTTACTCCTGGAGGAACCAAGGGCTCGCAGACGAGACAGTTCTTTCTTGGTCTCTTGGTACTCAGGAGAATTGCACCAAACCTGATGCCAGTCGATGCCCTCCGAACCATCTTGCGGAGGTTTGATGACTTCAAGCATCCACTCGGCTGGGTTGGCGTCCGCTGGAATGGAGGGTGCCCCATTTCTCTCGAAGTATTCGATCAAGCTCGATGCGTTATCGCCCAAGTCTAAGAGAGGTCAATATCGTTCGAGTACTTGCGTGTGCATGCAGCCAGGGAGGCAGTCACGTACCACCAAAAAAGACAGTTTTACCTCCTGGAGCAATCAGGAGGAGACGATCGAACTGGTTGAAGAGGATAGCTGATGGCTGATGAATGGTGCAGAGAACGGCCTGGCCGCTATTGGCAAGCTTTCTAATAAGCACCGAGATAGCCCATGACGTTTGGGAGTCTAGTCCAGATGTTGGTTCGTCGAAGAAGACTAGAAGTTGAGGTCTAGCAGCTAGCTCCACGCCGATAGTAAGCCGCTTTCGCTGTTCAACGTTGAGACCTTCGCCCGGCACACCAATGACGGCGCCAGCATAGTCTTGCATCTCCAAGACATCAATGACGTAGTCAACATATCGTAATTTCTCTTCCCGGGGGATTTCAGATGACTGCCGAAGGATTGCGCTGAACTCCAAGGCCTCTCGGACCGTCATTGTACTGAGGTGGATATCCTGCTGCTGTACGTATCCTACCTGGTATTGGAATGTTGCATCTGTTGGGATGCCATTGATCAACGTGTCGCCGCTAATAACACCGACCGAGACACGAGTTGCGAGAACATCCAACAGCGTCGTCTTACCAGCCCCCGAAACGCCCTGTTATTGCATACCATTAGTCCTCTGAGCTAAAGAAATTACGGTATTTGCTTACCATAAGAGCTGTGGTCTTGCCTGGCGACACCCAACCATCCATGTGATCAAGGAGACGGCGCTCTGCGCCTCCTTTGACTTTGATATCATAGCAAAGACCTTCCCAGTGGAATACCGATGTACTTGCGGTGAGGCCTTTTGCGTTGAGCGAACCGTCGTTGGTATACAAGTCGCTTTTCTCAACCGCCTGGCCGCTTTGGGCTTGGGCCTCTGGGTCATCAACACCGTTTGACTTCTTTCCTTTGACAACCGAGGGCATCTGACCCTTTCTGAAGATGAGGATCTCGCCCTTGGTCTTTGGTGGCTTTGAGAACTCTGCCATGACCAAATAAGCACAAAAGAAGAAAATTGTAAAGCCACAAAGGATGCCGACGTTCCTCCATTTGTGCGAATGCTGGTAGTCGAAGGCGAGGGAGAGATACTTGCTTCCATCAACAACGGATGTTCCAGGTTCCGAGCCCACTACAGAACATATTTGTGACTCTGGTGATAAGTCCTCATACCTGGGCCCTCGCGGGACCATCGCTGCACATGCAAACTCTCTTCCATGGAACTCATTGACCATGAGGGCCTCGAAGGCGTAGGCTAGAGGGTTGATGTAGCCCATCCACCATGACCACCCGGGCATATAGGTTGTTGGCATGGTAAACCCGGTGTAGATCATAAGACCCATTCCAAGGAGAGCGCTAGGAACCATAGCCTGCTCTGGAGTTCTAGTGATGCTTGCCAGGGTACGGAAGATGGCTGATTGAGATAGTGTAGCCAACAGCGTGACAAGGCAGAAGAAAAAGAAAGGGCCTGGCTCTCGCCGCAAGTGAGCCATAAAATAAACAAGAATATTAAAAACAAACATATTCGCAATCTTGTAGGGAAGATCGCAGAGGTAGCTAGCAATTGCTTGGGCAGACTGGTGGTACAAGGCATATCGGTTCTGCTTCTCGACGACGGGGCGCTCGGCATAGATGGTCAGGACTTCGAGCTGGCTGCTGAAAGCGTTGAACATCAAAGAGAAGAAAATGATTCCGCCGCGGTAGTAGAAGCTCGAGGAATCTGATTTGAGATTGTAAAACATGCTGCCGAGAATTAGAGCCATGATGAGGTTGAAGAGTAGAGATGCGATGGTAAAGTCTGGGTCTGCGAGAAGCCGCCTCCAGGCCCGCCAGAAGGTAAGCGAGACCTGTTGGGCGTAGGATATCATGTACGGAGAACTGGTACGCTGTGACTTGGCCTGCTCGGTACGTCTGGATTGCTGGTATTCTTCGAGTCTCTCTCTAGAGGGATGTTTTTGTTCGTACTCAGAAATCTCTTGGATGATTTGTTGTCGTTGTTTGCTGGCCTTCCATCGCTGGGCGAAGTCGTCTGGCGTACGGGGAACCAGATGCTCAAAGCCTGGCCTGATACGACGCTCATGGGGGCTGGTCATTGACGTCAAGAAGTCGGGTACTGTCTGCCTGCCTGGGCATTGGAAACCTAGCTCCTGGAAATAACCCTTGGCCTTAGATCGTTTCCCAAAGAATATCTGCCTCCCTTCGTAGATAACAGTCACCCTGTCGAAGAGATCATATGCAGACTGAGGTGCCTGATAAAGGTTGACAGCTGATGCAACTCCAAGTAAATCTGCTTGCAGACGGAGGTTCTGACAGAAGCTAATAGCGTTGGCACTATCAAGGCCTCTTGTAGAGTTATCCCAGCACTGAAACTTGGCTCGGGTGAGTGCTGCTTCAGCGATACTAACACGCTTTCGTTCGCCGCCGCTGATCCCGCGAACTACAACGTCTCCCACCCGGGTATCAACCGTATGCGTCAAACCGAAGATCGCCATCATCACGTCACGGTTGATGCGGTCGAACTGTTGGCGGGAGAAGCCGGTTGGGATGTGACGGGGGCTACGGGCTCGGCTCGCAAAGGTCAAAGTCTCTCCAGCGGTGAGATGGGCGAGGTGGTTGTCAAGCTCGGCATTGTAAAGAACATCGCCACGGAAGGGGGAACGAATACGGCTCGTTTCAATTCCTGAGCTACCATGTTAGAAGAAAGTGCCCCCCAAACGAACAAGTAGTGAAGAGCTTACCTCGATAGTTGATGTACGCGTCTGGGCTCACTTCAAGATCCGCCGTTTGAGATGAAAGAGTCTTCAGGAATGTCGAGCAACCGGAACCTGGCGGGCCCAAGACCAAGAGCATCTCTCCCTTTTCGACGACACCCTCGAAATCACGCAGGATGGTCAAGCGCTGTTCCTTGCGCTTGCTATTGCTAACCAGCCTCACCAGATCCTTGACGACTCTGGCTACGACATTTCCGAAGGACATCTGAAACTGCGCTCCAGTGCTCGAGCCAAAGACACTGAGGTCCTTGAATGCTACGCCGAGAGCACGCGGCGGGGCAGAATCCGGATCCGACTCTGTGAGCTTGGTAAATTCCCTGGTCCAGGCATAAGCGTCGAACGTTGCTGAGTTTGGATCCAGATTGCTGGCAGGTCTTGGACTGAGAGGATTATTGGGGGTATCATCATCAGGCTGTGGTGACGATGTCGAAGTTCCCGACGAGTTTGGCTTCGCGTATGTGCTGCTGACTCTTCGTACGAGCTCCTCGATGTTCTGGTCTGTAACGGAGTTCCTTGGGCTATGTTTACCCGTGGTTCGAAGCTGCTGTTCCTCTGGTTCCTTCGATTTTTCTGTTGTCGAGGGACTGTTGGACGACATGGTGAAGCAGCCTTATCTTGAAAGAGCGTTATGCCACTGACTAGTTTGGTTAACAATACAATAGCCAACAACTTTATAGATGTGGTATAACATCTATCGAAAGATGTGACAAGAGAGCGAAGGAAGTGCGTCGTACGTGCCCTTTGAATGGGAGACACAGACCTCCCTGTTGAGTCGTTGATCAGGCCGCTTCGGCCCCGAGCCACTACATAGCTCGGTGTGTTGTATTCCGACTCCCACCACGCTGGCACTTTTGATCAAGCGCCAACAGGGTCCAAGTCTTGGTCGAGGGTGTGAGACGGAATCTCAAGGGAGACATGGGCGTGAACGTTTCGCACACAATCTCACTTCCCAACACAACCCAAGGGGAATACATGCCTGCATCGGCTGTGCCATGGTATCAATTCCAAGGATGTCTGCAGTGTCAACTGAAGAAATTCCTCCGCTGGCTTACGATTCGAAAGTGCATATACTTGGCACGGGGTCAGGAAACTGTCCGAATGAGACTAGTGTCTCGGTGTTCGGTTCTTGGCATTGTGAGAACGGGAGAAACTTGAGCCGCCTTCCTTCGACTAAGCTGATCGGATCCACAGACATGGATCTTAGACTAGGTACCGTACTCGGCAGACATAAGCTACATAAGCCCCGCATAAGCTTAAAAGTCGCAATTTTCTCCGACGAGTTGACTGTGCCTCCCCCCAATGTTGCATCGGTAGTGGTCCCATGAGGATTTAGCCCCAACCGGGGAACTGCTCTCATTTGAGCCGCTGCAAATCATGACAGCGTTAAAATTACGCATTCTTCTGATTTGAACTGAGTTACGCCACGAAGGTAGCAGCAGCTAATTGTTTGAGGACTTTTGGGTTAGATTAGGTTATACACCAAGTTTGGGTCCGTCATCGTGGTTCAAAGCGCATTACGTGGCAGTTAACTACAATGTTTTTTATCAATATGTGGCTAACTCAGATACTCAAAGCAAGGTAGGCTGTAGACAATGTATTTGATATATCGATTTAGAAACAAGTGAACCTATTGAGACATGGTCTATGCTAGTTTCTCAGACTATCTAAGTCGACCCATTCATGGACTCCTTTGCAGCAAGATTCTGAGCATGAAGAGCCGCAGAGCACAATTTCATCTGGCCACTGGATCCATTTCGTCGATTGTATGCCTCACATTCCATTGTTTCTTTGGCCCAGCTGCAAATCGATGCGGCAAGGTTTTCGACATCCTCCTCTGTATTGTGGCCGTGGAAAACCAGCCTGATCCGGTCTGTTCCCTTTGGAACAATAGGGAAGCTGATCGGATAGACTTGGAACCCTGCCAGTTGCAGATGTATGGCGAGGTAGAGGTTATGCTTAGGCTTGGTCCAGACAGGACAGATCTGACTGACAAATGGCAAAGCATCCCAGTCGTCTTGCTCGTACAGAGGAATCCGAAGAAAGCCAGCATCATTAGCCTTGTCCCATATAGGGTTTTCAGTGATCTCCTCAAGAAATAGCTTCACGAGATGTTGGACTTTGTCCTGAGCCTAACTCGCTTGTCAATTACGCTACTGAGTATACAAAAATACATGGAAAAGAAGGGGTTGAAAGAACATACCGCTTGAGTCTTTCCAGCCCTCATTAACCTGTATGCAGCCCGTGTAGAAGCCACAATAAGGTTGGGAGGCGAGGTTGAGTACAGGACCGGCTTGGCGTGGTTGATCAGCATCCTCCGAACCGTGGCGTTGGAGAGGATAGTGGCACCAGAACCGCAGAACGCTTTACCGTAGTTTTGGTTCTGCACGGCAATCTCATTCTCTAGACCAAGCATGCTAACGTAGCCTTTGCCTTGTGGGCCAAAGCAGCCAGAGCTATGGGCCTCATCCACTACAAACTGCGCATTACCCCCGGGGAAGATCTCCTTGGCGGCCTGCACGAGCTCTTTGAGTGGGGACGCGTCTCCATCCATGCTGTAAAAGGACTCAACGGCAATGACAATAGATCTCTGACCGTTTTTGATCTGGGGCTGGGACTCTTTGACTGCCATGAGGGTTTCCACGAAATCATTCACATCGTTGTGTCGAAACGGTTTCTGGCATAACGCAAGGCTGTTCTTCATGCCGTTGTGGATGCTTGCGTGGACGAGCTCATCATAGACAATTGCATCGCCAGGGCGAGCAAGGGCAGTGAAGATTGCTTCATTAGCCAAGGCACCAGAGCCGAGGAAGAGTGCTGACTCGACACCATGAAACTGTGCAATTTCTCTCTCAACTGTCTCAAGGTAGGTTGAGTTTCCATTGAGAGGTCGAGTACCAGAAGCACCCAGCTGAAAGTCTGGATTGGCCTTGAGCTCCTCAAGAAAAGCTTGCTTGACAACCCCCGAAACGCCGAGGGAGACGACGTCGCAAGAGGAAAAGTCAACAGTGGCATTGTTCGTGTGGAACATGGCGCATGCTTGTTGAGCTCTGTTGGCGTCAAGTTCCTCTTCAAGATTCTTGTAGAAGATTGCACCATTCTTCAAGTCAGGGCCCCGGACTTTCTGGGCCTTTGCCCATTCTTCCACAAAGGATGAGGTTCCAGCCGAGACAGTCATGATGAAAAGAGCAGTTGGGGCTGTTGGGGTTCTGTGTAGATGCCTCGTATGAATAGAGAAAGGTTAGTTGAATAACAGTAGTACGGAGAGAAAAAAAGAATTTGCGAGTAGAAAGTGTGTAGATAATAGTTCAGCAACTTGCTCAGTTAGCTCTTATTACAATTTATCCCACTTAAGTCTTTTGAGAGACGACCAGACGTTGTCTGAAATTCCACCATATCGCCCCCTCGCTCTCTCAATCGCCATATTTGCCAGATTCATTCCCAATGAGCAAGCTACGAAGGATTCATTCCTAGTAAGAAAATTACAAAAGGACGTATGTTAGCAACACATCCATCCATACATTTGGATGTAAGCACTAGTGTTGTCAGTGCCGCAGGCGGGCCGTCCGGCCCTTTCCACACTAGCTTAAGACTAAGACCAAGCTTAATAATTTAGCCCAAAAAGAAACAGCCCCCACACTCCAAATACCAAGAGATGTACTGCAACGTACAATGAGTCGATTATCAAGCAAGTGGTTGTCGAATAAATTCAATTGCATATCTGACGTTCGACTGGGGCAAGGTTTATTTCAGCCTAAATGGAGTCCGAAGGCAGACGCCAATAGAGCTATTATCACAGGGCAAGGTAGGCGCCTGTCCTCGCCAAAAATGTGGACACAAAGCAAGGTTCAAGAAGAGACTGTAGACTCTGCCTCACAGGCTCAGTCCAATCAAGGACTGCCGGCCTGATGGTGCTCTGTTTCGGGTGGTATCGGAGACTTCCCCTTGGTGGTGGGTGGCGGCCATGCAGCCTTCGTTTGATGCTGTATAACCAGGCAATGTTACATGCGTAAGGCATGTCAGCATGGCAGACTGCATATTTGACTACATGGGATTATGGTAAGCTTAATTTGGTCACTTTGTCAGTTAGAAGTTCTCGGGGGCCTGCGTGGTTCGAAAATAACGCAAGCGACCTGTAATGCCACAAGCAGGGTGCAGGAGACAGGGATATCATGAAATTGCATCAACTCAGGGTCTTTGTACTCTTTTGTCGCGCCAATGGAAGCAATTTTCTCTGAAGTTTGTTGAGACATGATTCAAAGAACTTCAAAACATTTAACCCGAAACAATTTAGCACAATGGGGGAAAGCAGACTGTAGCTGCACAGTTCGTCCTTTTCAAACTAGTTATAAACCATTTCCTAGGGTATCATGTAAACATTCTGTGTTAGTCTGAGGTCCTAGTACTTTGCCGTTGATCAACCGCGAGTATTTAATCTGCGGGGAGAATATGACGAGACTAATATGACTTGTCCTTTTTAGACAGGCATCCATCAGACTCGCTTGCATCCACTGTCAGGAGGATTCCAGCAATGCAGCTAGGATCGGTTCCTTTAAGCATGCTGACGGCCGCTATAATACATATTTCAAGACATTTCTAAACGACGCGTGGCGTATAAGTGTTTTCAATCTGTATAGGGAAAGGACCGAAATACAGTACAAGGGGAATTGTGAGATACTGAACTGATAAAAGGAAAGCGCTTGCAATTGAGTGGACCGGTTGAGTAAAATGAAGTGGGGCATGCTTAAAGGAATGCATGAAAGCTATGTGGAAGATCGTACGTGTAAGATTATGTCCTTTCATCGGACACTTGACTATGTCAGAAGGAGCCGAAAGCTTTCTAAGCAGCTTACTCGGGGGTTCTCACTTACGGAAGTTCAGGTCATAGGTTCAAGGCTTGGCTGACCTTCCTTGAATGTAATAGTGCTTAGATGTATCTTAGAGGCGAGGTTAGGCGCGCGGTTTGCGTCAGCTCTTGATCAGGTTCAACTCCAAATAACAGTTCTCAAATCACAACTCAGCCGTACTGTAGAGGCCATAGAAACATACGACGGTAAAGATCGAGGCCTAGAGGGTGGGGGCTGTCTCAGTAGCTGCATGGTATCATGAGGCAAGACACTCTCTTAGGCCCCCAACAGATGGTATACTCTTCCAGGATTTATAACCACTAAAGACCTCGAGAAGCCAGAAATCTTGTGCCACAGAATCTCTTTAGACAAGACTTCCTTACTCCAACCATCTTCCTAACTTCGCTTCAACACAAACATTCACAATGTCTACAATGGATACCTTGGACAGTGCCACGTCTACACTGGGGCAGTCCATTTCTCAGTCCATCTCAACAGAAGCCAATGGTGCCAACACCCACGGGACATCTAATGGTACTCTTACAGGTGCTGTTAATGGGCATCCCAATGGTCACTCAAGTGATCTTAATAGTAGCCATACTAATGGTCATATCAATGGTCATGTCAATGGTCATCAAAACGGACACACAAACGGTGTCAACGGGAATGGGGTGGCTCACTCTCCCAACCCGTCTTTGCCACAAAAGGATTCTCCCGTCCCCATCGCCATCTGCGGCATGGCACTTCGTCTTCCCGGCGGTTTGGAAAGTCCTCAAGATCTTTGGGACTTTCTTCTAGCCAAAGGTGATGCGAGAAGCCGCGTGCCTGAGTCCCGCTATAACATCTCAGCCTATCACTCTGACTCGGGCAGGCCCGGGACCATTGCAACTCAGTATGGCTACTTCCTAGATGACAACGTGAAACTTGGAAGCTTGGATGCAGCCAGATTCTCACTCAGCCGAGCTGAGCTTGAGTTCGCTGATCCGCAGCAAAGACGTATGCTCGAAGTTGTGCGTGAGGCCTTCGATGACGCTGGAGAGATAGACTTTAAGGTTAGTGCATCCCACAAAGACTGGGTAGAAGTATTATTAACAGAATCTAGGGTCGGTCTATTGGCTGCTATATGGGCAGCTACGGCGAGGACTGGCTCGAGATGCAAAACAGGGATCATCAACAGTCTGGAGTGAACAGAGTCGATGGCTACAGCGACTTTATGCTCTCCAGCCGTATCTCATATGAGATGGATCTCAAGGGCCCATGGCAAGTCACAATCTGGCTTTGTTCAAGATGCCCAAGCTAACTGGAAACTAGTATGACTGTCCGTACCGCCTGCTCTGCGGCTTTGATCTGTCTCAACGAAGCATTTCAGGCTATACAGAATGGCATATGCGAGGCAGCGGTTATTGGTGGGGCCAACTTGATTATGGCACCAGGCATGACAGCCTTTATGACTGAAAAGGGCGTCCTTTCACCTGAAGGCCACTGTCGAACCTTCTCTGCCGATGCCAATGGCTACGCCAGAGGAGAGGCTATTACAGCAGTCTTTGTCAAGCCGCTCGATGCTGCAATCAGAGATGGAAATCCTGTACGAGCCGTAATCAGATCGGTTGTGTCAAATAGTGATGGCAAGACCCAAGGAATCGCCCAACCCAGCACCGAAAGTCAGGAGGCCTTGATGCGAAAGGCCTATGCAGATGCAGGCATCGCTGACTTCTCCAAGACGGCCTTTGTCGAGTGTCACGGAACCGGAACCCCTGTAGGCGACCCGATTGAGACCAATGCCGTGGCCAGGGTCTTCGGTGATGCTGGCGTCTACATTGGCTCCGTGAAACCTAACTTGGGTCATTCTGAGGGAGCTTCTGGCTTGACATCCCTTATAAAGGCGGTTCTTTCACTGGAAAACCGCACAATTCCTCCGAATATCAAGTTTACTAGTGGCAATCCGAAGATTCCCTTTCGGGAAAGAAAGCTTACAGTTCCACTGGATGCGGCACCCTGGCCAGAGGATCGTCTTGAGCGAGTCAGCGTCAACTCGTTTGGAATCGGAGGTTCTAACGCGCATGCAATTCTGGACTCGGCTCGAAGCTTTGGCCTGCCGCTCGAGAAGTTGGATGTGACCACAAGCGGGGAGCTTGTCCATGATAAGAGCCATCTTCTTCCCTTCTCTGCCTCGTCGTCGGCATCACTTCAGGCTATGACAACCAAGCTGCAGGCGTGGATCGAGAAGAACCCCAGCAAGCTTGAGGAGCTGGCCTACACGTTGAGCAACCGACGAGAGCATCTGCCACACCGATCTTTCATGGTGGCCAGTCTGAGTAAGATCCCGGACGCAGCGTCCCAGGGTGTTCGAGCTGGCAATACTCAACCCAATCTTGTTATGGTGTTCACCGGACAAGGTGCTCAGTGGCCCCGAATGGGCCGTGAGCTGTTGCTACGCGAGGATCTAGCGTTTCAGAAGAGCATTAGATCTCTGGACAAGCACTTACAAGACGTGTCCGGCGGCTTGGAATGGACCATTGAGGAGGAGCTTCTCAAACCGGCGAGGAAGTCTGGCGTTCAAAGAGCCGAGCTTTCCCAACCCTTGTGTACCGCTGTTCAGATTGCTTTAGTGGACCTCTTTGCATCTCTTGGTGTTGTTCCATACGCAGTAGTCGGCCACAGCAGCGGAGAGATCGCAGCAGCTTACGCAGCCAAGGGTCTTACGGCAAAGGAGGCAATCGTGATAGCCTGGCAAAGAGGGCTTGCGGCTAGAGGGCAGAAGCGACCTGGCGCTATGGCAGCGATTGGACTTGGTCGGAACGAGGTCCAAAAGTTTCTACCTGAGCCCCAAGTTGTCATGGCCTGTGAGAACTCGCCTCGCAGTGTCACTATTTCTGGAGACACGGACGCAGTCCAATCCGCAGTCGAAGTTGTCCAAAAGGAGCATCCTGGTATCACGGCGAGATTGCTCAAGGTTGACAAGGCCTATCATTCATACCATATGGCCGAGGTCGGCGACTTGTACATGGCCACTCTTCGAAAGCATCTGCCAGAATTTGTCGACCGAAAGGAGAAGCCTCGCGCAACCTCTTCTGATGGTCCTTTGTTCTTCTCAAGCGTCAGCGGCACGGGTGAGGCCATCAAAGCAGACGAGCTTGGCAGTACCTACTGGCAAAAGAATCTCGAATCTCCTGTGCTGTTCAGTGGTGCTGTTTCGGGAATCATTCTCAATGTTCCTAATGCCGTGTTCCTTGAAATCGGGCCTCATGCAGCCCTAGCAGGACCCGTCAGGCAAATTATGACGGCAGTCAGCAATGGCTCAACCTCAGCATCGCCGTATTTCGGGGCCATGACCCGTGGCGAGGACTGTGCAGAATCTTTTTTGACTTCGGTTGGCCGATTGTACGAGCTCAATATTCCCATCGACTTCTCCAAGTTGACGACCCGGACAACTTCGCTTCCAGGGCTCCCTCACTATCCATGGGACCACGACGCGAATTACTGGCGTGAGTCGAGGATTTCCCACGAGTGGAGGTACCGCGAGTTCCCTGCCCATCCGCTCCTGGGCATTCGTCAGCTCGAGAGCACCACTTTGGAACCCAGTTTCAGAAACATGCTCTTGATTGACGATGCTAGTTGGCTGCGGGATCACTGCATCGAAGACAATGTCATCTTCCCTTGCGCTGGCTACATCTCCATGATTGGCGAGGCTATCAGGCAGATTAGCCCGCGTCAACAAGACCATTCACCTAGAGAGAACGGATATACCATTCGTAACATGGTGCTCAACTCGGCATTGGTTTTGACTGAAGGGACTCCAGTCGAGGTGGTCACTACATTCCGTCCCCTACGCCTGACCGATTCGCTGAATAGTCAGTGGTGGACGTGGACAATTGCCTCGCATAACGGCCATGTCTGGATCAAGCACTGCAGTGGCGAGGCCATGGCAGAAGAGCTAACACCTGAGCGACCTTCCACGCCCGCTGAAACTGAGCTGCTGCCACGCAAGGTAGAGCGACGAAAATACTACGACGTACTTAGTCGAGCTGGTATCGGTTATGGCCCCAAGTTCCAGCGCCTGGAGGACATCAGGACGGGGTCTCTGGAGAGTGTCTCAGCAGCGAGACTCTCTAGAAACCTTTGCGGCGACGAACAATACTACCACTTGCACCCTGCCGTCATCGACGCCTGTATCCAATCAGGCCCTCTTGCTGCTACCCAAGGCCATATCGAGGCAAAGCATTACAGAAGAGTCCCTACCAAGATTGATCGGGTGATTGTTCACCGAGTTGACCCAGAGGACGACATGAGAGCTGTGGCCTCGGCAGTGTTTATCAAGGGTAGCGGAGAGGTTATCAGTCGTGTCAAATGCATCGCCAATGACAAGATTGTACTTGATATGCAGGGAGCAAAGCTTTCGCCTCTTGAGGATGCAGATGCTGCGGAAGCCCCTGTCGAGGAAGTGCCCACTGAGAATGGTGGCAAAGCGGAATCAGAAGTTGCTCCCAAGGCTCTAAGCGAGGAGCTGACTTCAAGCCGTCTCACGTGGTCGCCCCATATCGACTTCCTCGATACTAGCACGCTCATCAAACCCGAGGTTCCACGCCATCTCTATACACCTCTTCTAGATAAGATGGTTCGCATGTGCTTTATCTATTCCCAACGACGCATCAACTATATCAGAGATAACAACCGGATGAAGGATACCCTGCCCGAGCACATGCACAAATACATGCAGTGGATTGACTCTCAAGTCATGAAGGAGCCGGAAGATACCCTGACCTCTCTGGATGACTCAACTCTCCTGAACAGAATAGAAAGCCTTATAAAGCAGATGGAGGGAACCCCCGTTGAGGACTGTGCATCTTCCATCGAGAAGGTCCTCAAGAACATCGACGGTTTATGCACTGGTACTACGGATGCCCTAGAAATGCTCCTCGCTGATGGAACTCTGACCAAGATCTACGTGGCTACAGATGCCTGCGATCGATCAGATTTTATCCGCCACCTTGCACACAGCAAGCCCAATCTGCGAATCTTGGAGATTGGAGCTGGCACGGGAGCTTCTACTGCCAGCATGTTGAAGCACTTGATCTTGCCGGTTGGACAGCCGCTGTACTTCAAGTATACCTTCACTGATATCTCAGCCGGGTTCTTTGTTGCTGCGAAGGAGCGTTTCAAGGGCTATCGAAACATTGAATACCGTGTTCTCGATATCAGCAAGGACCCCACCGAGCAAGGTTTTGAAGATGACGAGAAGTATGATCTCGTTATTGCGACCAATGTTCTTCACGCAACTGCGAGCCTTCAGGAGACTTTGAGGAATGTGCACAAGCTTCTCGACCACCGCGATGGTAGACTGCTTCTTCATGAGCTCGACAGTCCTTCCAAGTGGCCCAACTACATTTTCGGTACGCTCCATGGCTGGTGGTATGGTACACCAGACGGCCGGCCAGAGCAGCCTTACGTGTCTCCTGCCCGCTGGGAAGAAGAGCTCGAGAAGGCAGGCTTTGATGGTTTGGACGCCGTGATTCGAGATGCTGAGGAACCCCACCAGCTGAATGCCATCATGGTTGCTCGAGTACGACCTCGATCCAAGACCAACCATAGGCCAATTGTTCTACTCTGTGATGAAGAAGAGCCCTTAGCGGAAACTATGTCATGCCAGCTCCAAGAGAGAGGTTACACCGTCAATCGTCGCCAGCTTGGGCAAACACTGCCAGATGAGTCTCAGGATATCGTCTCTCTACTGGATGCCAGCACACCCTTCTTTGACGGTATCAATCAAAATCGCTTCAAAGCCTTCCAAGGTATCTTGGAAGGTCTTGGTACGTCTGGTGCAGGCATGCTGTGGGTGACGCATCTGTGCCAAGTTGGTTGCAAGGATCCTAGATATGCTCAGATCATCGGCACTGTTCGCACTATTCGCACCGAGTCGCTACTGGACATTGCTACTTGCGAGGTCGACCATCTCGATAGTTCCCTCAACACTGTCATAGACGTTCTTGACAGGTTCCAGGCGAGACCTCGAGTCGCGGACGAGTCTGAAGAGGGTGACGCACTAGACCTCAAGCCTGACTACGAGTATGCCATCGTCGATGGAATGGTCAAGGTTGGACGGATCTACCCCTTCTCTCTCAAGAGTGAACTTACTGAGTCTGCAACGGAGCCAAGTGCTAGCTTGGTGGATGGCACAAGGGTCTCCCTCTCTATGACAAAGCCAGGCCGTCTGAGCACTCTTCACTGGGCAAAGGATGGAGACGGCGAAAAACTCTTGGAAGGAGACGACGTTGAGATCCAGATCTTTGCTGCAGGACTGAACTTCAAGGACGTCTTGGGTGCCTTGGGCGTCGTGCCTTATCCTGAGGCCGGGCTTGGTCTTGAAGGCGGTGGTGTTGTTCGCCGCGTCGGCCCTGAGGTCAAGGACCTCCAGCCCGGCGATCGCATCATGTTCCTGGCCGATGGAGCTTTTGCCAGTCATGTCTTCACACCCGAAAGACTCTGTGAGAAGATCCCCGCCGACTTGTCTTTTGAAGACGCAGCTACCATGCCTGCTGTCTTTGCAACGGCGGTGTGTTCGCTCTTCAACATAGGTGGCCTGCGCAAGGGGCAGTCAGTTCTCATCCACAGCGCAGCTGGTGGTGTCGGCCTTGCGGCTGTGCAACTTGCCACTATGGCTGGGGCCGAGATCTATGCGACAGTTGGCAACGAAGACAAGGCCAGATATCTTGTTGACAATTTCGGTCTGTCGCGGAACCGCATCTTCAACTCGCGTGATGCAAGCTTCGTGGAAGGCTTGATGAGGGAAACCAATGGCCGTGGCGTGGACCTCTGTCTAAACTCGCTCTCCGGAGAGTTGCTTCATGCAACTTGGCGATGCGTCGCGGAATTCGGTAAACTTGTCGAGATTGGCAAACGTGATTTCCTCGGCCACGGAAAACTCGATATGGATGTGTTCCTCGCCAGTCGAAGTTACTGCTGCTTCTACCTGGACGCAGAGATGGCCAGAAGACAGTCCTTGGTCAAGGAGTAAGTTCAATTTTCTCTGATTCGTCTTGTTTCGGAACTAACAATGATGTCACTTTTAGGCTTTTCCAAACAATAATACTGCATCTTAGAATGGGTCATATCAAGCCACTCACTCCTCGCAAGATATTCGACGCCTCGTCTGTACAGGAAGGCTTCCGCCACCTTCAGCAGGGTACTCATATTGGCAAGATTGTCTTCTGTATCCGCAACCTCGACGGAAGTATCAAAGTCGACATGAAAAAGGTCGCCAAGTCGACCCGCACGTTGGAGCTTGACAGCTCGGCATCATACCTCCTAGCGGGCGGCCTTGGTGGTCTCGGACAAGCTGTAGCAAGACATCTCGTCGAGCAAGGCGCACGACGCTTGGTTTTCATGTCTAGAAGCGCAGGCTCAGGTCCAGGCGATAGCGACATTGTTCGTGAGCTCGAGAGTATGGGGTGCCATGTCGAGCTAGTCAGAGGCAGTGTCGTCAGCCGAGATGATGTTTGTCGGGCTATCTCTCAGGCTCCAAACCTCAAGGGAATCATCCAGGCTTCCATGGTACTGCGTGATGATAATTTCATCCGCATGAGCCTGGACCACTGGAACCAGGCTGTAGCGCCCAAAGTGGCTGGTACATGGAATCTCCATCACGCCACTGTTGAGGCCGGCATCAATCTCGACTTTTTCGTCCTCTTCTCGTCCATGTCCGGTGTCACAGGTCAGGCTGGACAAGCCAATTACGCCGGTGCAAACTCCTTCCTGGACACGTTTGTCCAGTACAGGACTGGTTTGGGACTCGCATGCTCAGCTCTGGATATCGGTGCTGTGCAGGACGTTGGATACGTGTCACAAGACGAGGCTCTACTCAAGAGGATGAAGGCCGTCAGCGCTCATGGTATCACTGAGCCAGAACTCCTCGAGGCCCTTACGGCTGCGATTTTGATCCCGCAGGCAGGCACAAGCGCCAGCACTAAGAACGAAGAGTACATCGATAGATGCACCATTGGTCTCGGTCTTTCGACAAAGATTCCCCTCAACAGCAAGGAGAGCAGGGCCTTCTGGCGTAAAGATCGCCGTATGGCAGTGTATCACAACAATGCCAGCAAGTCAGCGGCTGACACAGCGGGTTCTAGTGGAAGTGATGGTCTCAAGTCCTTCTTGGCCCGCGCCAAAGCTGACACTTCAATCCTCAAGACGGAAGAATCGTTCAACCTGCTTGCCATAGAAATCGGCAAGAAGCTTTTCGGCTTCCTTTTAAGGTCGGACGAGGACTTGAATACGACAGTGCCGCTGTCACAGCTTGGCATGGACTCACTCGTGGGCGTGGAAATGCGCAGCTGGTGGAGACAGGCGTTTGGTTATGATATTAGTGTGCTCGAGTTACTAGGTACAGGAAACTTGGATGGACTTGGACGGCATGCCGCTGAGGGTTTGTTCAAGGTGTTGGGCGGTGCGGCTGCATAGACGGTGCTTACTTACAACCACCTCTTTCTTGTTTCATATTTGATTTGATTGATGGATCTGGTTTTGTTCTATCTTGGTTCATTTCTAAAAACATAAAATAGACATTTCGTAACATGAACCTTGTTCTGGGCCTTTGTTCTATCCACGTGTTATGCTGATGCTGCTGACTTTGTTTGCCAAGGATGCAAGGTTACGTGGCTGACAAATACAGCTTTCTTTGCGCCTGAGGCATTACCACACCTTTTTGACACGAGGCATACCTGGCAAGAGGCATTAACTCACCATGACTTAGTAGAAAAAGCTAGTTCGTTCTGTACTACTAGCCAGCCAGTATATCGCAACTAGGCTATCCCGCTCTTATCAACACCCTTTTATAGACCAAGATATGACCCTCAACAAGTCTTGCGGCCAGTGCAGGCTACGAAAGGTTCGGTGCGTTGGTACGTGTCATCTCTGGCAGCTTCGATTGTATAGCGACGTTTTGACACCTTTTGCGTATTTCTAGTGCCGCCCCCGAAGCCGAACTCAGACCCGGCAACTCAAACCATCTGCGTCCACTGTTCTGTATGTTTTCACTAACCTAATGATTCAAATGCCTGACAACTATAGAACCGCAACGAAGCTTGCAATTTTAGCAAGTTCAGGCGCAGAGCTGGGGTCAAAGGTAAGAAGATGACGAGAGTTCATACTTGTTGACGGCGCATAAAATACTGACGGACTGGGATCGTAGTATCCTCGAATTTACTATTTCCTAACTCCCTGGTCGATAACGCCATCACTACCGATAATGAGCTTTTTGTTGATAAAATCCTCCGATGCGGCCCTCAAGATGTCGTCCTATGCGACGAATCTACAGTAGTAAAGGTCTACAGATATCCCTCTTTTCTTAGATTTTATCTGTTTTCTTTTTACAAAATATTATAAATATTCTGAAGAGTAGTACTAACACTTTTTACCTTATAGGTACCTGATAATATAGGTAGGTTAGCTAATAAGAACACATATAGACAATTATCTGACAGTTCTACAGTTCCAAGCTCAACTGTAACATTCTTCTCCGAAAATAGAATCACATCGCTGGCCGACAGGCTCGGTACTGAAAGCTTACGGGAGCTTGTGACAAATCTCGATGGCCTCATAAAACAACGTGTCTGCCAAAGACAGACTTCACAAGCAGAAGGGATCAATTTCCGAGAAGCCGACCCTGTGAGGACCGAACCTCAAATGGTACAAGCTTTCATCAAAGGTACCCTACACAGCTATATATCCATTGAACGTGAATCTAATTCACCTTAGCTTTCTTTACGAACGTCCATCCTGTCTATCCTTTTCTTAACCAATCAGAGTTCATTTCGCAAGCTACAGATGCATACATCGATGATGTGTTGCATATTAACCCTGCATTTTGTGCACTCTATCATGCTGTTCTAGCTCTCGGCAGCCAGTTCTTTCATTGTGGAAGCTTTGTACCTCACCAAGATCAGGCATGGGAGCTATTCCAAGTATCACTTGGGAAGATGTCAGAAATACTAGCACCACCGATTGGACTGATGAATCTTCAGGTATGCATGGTACTCCCCCAATTTTTTCATTTTCTGATACTGAATACTCATGCCATGTACTAGGCACTAACAGCAATGGTGAGTTGCATTAATCCAGAAAATCAAGCTTTCAGACTCACAATGTCTATCACAGTCGATATTCTCCATGAATGCTTGCTGTCTTCAACTCGACCAAACACTTATCTCTGAAGCTGCGAGAATGGCCCAAGCATTGAAATACCATAAATCTCGCAATTCTGATGCTACTCAAATCAAGTCATTCTGGACCGTCTACTTCATTGAGAAGTTGTCGGCCTTCTCAGAAAGCCAAAGCTCAGTAAGTACTCCGTTCTATGCGTAGCATGTACTATAAAGTCGCTGATTTCTTTTAAAACTAGATATTGGTGGACGAAGACATCGGTTGTGTTATCCCTGTCTCCCCTGAGTCAGTATTCGGGGACTACGACTGGTTCACATCCGCAATTCGTCTGGCCAGAATCTCCTCAATAGCATTCTCAGAACTCTTTTCAGTCAGCGCTTCTTTTAATTCCAGAGCAGTGCTTGCCACTGGTATCAGGCGCATACGACATCTCCTAGATGGTTGGCGAATGTCCATACCTCCGTTCTTTAGACCAGGAGAGGCTATCCAGTATAATGGCGATCTGACTGCGAGCATGAAGCTAGTGTTGTTGCAGACTCAGTACGCGTATTACAACATTGTTTTCGGCTTAGAGAGGTTGACTCTCCATTTAAACATGGACGAAACAAACATTCGTGAAGAAAGCGAGAAAAATCTGATAAATGCTGCTCGTACAGTTGCAGAGCTTGTTGTCTTTATTGATTTCGAGCCTCATATCCCAATCTTGTGAGTACATCCCAAAATACTGAGATAGCTACTTATCCGGCTGAGCTGACGCCTTATTTTAACCTACTGCAGCGTTTCTGGTATAATGCCGCTATCTGCGCTGTTCATTCTCTTTGACCACGTCATCCACAATCCATGCCATACCAGGACAGAAGAGAATATTACCCTTCTTGATACCGTTTCGCGTTACTTCGCTGTCATGGATTCTATATCAATAGGGGCATTACCAGGCAGCATAATTTCTGAATTTGCCAGCATTGCTCGACAATACGTCTCAAAGGTTCGAGAAGGGACGTTTGACAAGAACCCAGATGGTTTACATGTGCCTACATCAGCTGAGTGGACAGCTGATAATTCTACAAGCCTAGATAATTCTTTATCAAGTTATCTAAGCTCAGATAACAACATGTCTAAGAAGGAGGAAGATCAACTAAAGGAACTATTTAGGGAAGCTTTCCCGGATTGGGGAAACATTTCCTTCTAAGTTAGGAATCAAGGTTTATAGGGATATGCCTTTTTGGCTTAGTAATAGCGAGTATCTCTAGTAGGCAGAAGTGCTAGAGATAGTTATAAACCAGGGTAACGAGTCTTAACTCCTTAATAACAAGGGTATAATGTAGCTGGCTAATATCTGTTACAGCCTGCTAGGTTTAGGGATAACCTCTGTAATATTATTAAGATCTAGGAGACCTGTAAATAGTAATAAAACTACTTAGAGATTTTATTAAAAATAACTCAAGAGGAGCCTATTATATTACTTCATACTTTATAATAAACCTCCTGTACTAATACTATAATACTACTCTTTAGGCTTAATAATAAAGCTAAGCTTAGTAATATATAACCTACTCTCTATAATAATATTATAATAGTTAAGTTTTTAAATTTAGTTGTACTACAATCTTATTATTTTAGCAATACGTCGTGAGAGGCAAAAGGATTCACCTTCCATTACTAGAAACAATGAGATCTGACATTGATTAGCGGTACCTATCTGCTATGCTATACCGATCGTGATAATGATGATTCAGGCTTTCCTTAATCAGTTCACATCATTAGGACTTCATGACTCCAGTAATTTGCACAAGGCCTCATATAGCAATTTCAACGACAAGCATACAGTTGTTGAAGCCTTGTTTAATCTTAATTCTTGTCAATCTGGATGGTATACTGAGTCCGGGGAATTCCCGTGTTCAATGCGGAGATGTTCTGCTGTAAGTCCTCTCAGCCAATTGCGCTGGCTATTTGAAGCACATTAAATTGATGGACTGCCATTCGCTGCACAGCCTTGAATGATTATTCCGAGTCAGGAGTTAAATCGTTACTGAGAGATGGGAAGCATCAGATTGAGTCATGAGAGACCAGGTGAGACAAGACAATTCTAGACCATCATCCCTGACAATCTCTCCAATAGCCTGAACGAATCCTTGCTTTTTCAGCCAGCCACAAAATGGCAAGTTCCGCAGGGTCCAAGACATTTAATCGAGACATTTCTCTAACTAGAAAGCCTCGTAGTTCTATCAATTCATCCAGCGGTGAAGAGATAACCAACATGTCAATTTCTTTGGACCCCAATGAGTACAGCGTGGGAGTAGGCAACAGTGTTGTACCAACCCTGGAGGATCATCAACAGAGGTCTTTCGGATCTCAGACATCCTTGTCCGCGGGAGATAAGCTTGGAAATGTCCCAGCACGATGGTCCCTGAGCGCCGCGGATGACGGATCTGCAGATATTCTTTCCGTATTCCCAGCGCCACGTCAAACAGCACCTTCATACGCAACCCTCCCACACATGGTCTTCCGAGATTCTGGGCTACCATGGGCTTACAGAGCCGCTAACGGTGATCCAGACCCTGGAAACACAGCGGTACCCTGGTTTGCTTTGTTCATTTTTACTCGCGACGAGCTTGACCTTGAGCCGAACGAACAGGCCTCATTCTTCGGGCATGTGGAGGCCAAGATAAACGACACATTTGGCTGGGACATTTCCGTTGGTGATCTTGGATCTATCAAGGGCCCCGCACTAGCCAACCTTATCCCCGGCACAGATAGCGATGAGGATGCTGGAAACAAGACTAGCGTCATTGCTATTCGCAGCCATCTGTTCAAGGGTCTCTTTACGACCAAGTCAGACTCGGAAGGAGAAGCACTCTTCGATATATCGCCTTTTCGGTTCATGCCGCATGTGCGCAGCGGGCGTAGGGACGAGGATAATGACCCTGCTCATTCGAGTGTAGTCATATCTCACCGGCTAGGACCCGATGATATCGAGAACTCTACTCCCGTGTTCGCGCACCTGGTCTCGTTACAGGGTATTAACGGGCGCCCTGTCACGTCGTTGGACGGAAAGTCCCGTGTTATCTTGACCAGTCTGTATAGTTGGTCTTACAATGCTATACCGCCAAACACGGTTGATCTTGGCACTTCTTTAGAGAACCTAAGTTTGTCTATGCTCGGATCCGGGCACCGGAATTTTAACAAGGGTGACAGTACCGCTGTTTCTGAAAGGCTCAATGAAGGTTACGCTCTCGTTCGTCACCGAACCCAAACGGGCGAGCAAACAGCCGCTATGTACCGCGGTCCACTGGTGCCAAGACGGGTGCCGTATCCTTTGAACAAGGATGCTGCCAAGTTCGACGGAGATTTACGGATCTACGATCCGGATCTGGGTCTTGTTGATATCTCGTATGTTTCGGCTTGGCAGCTGGGTAAAGCCTTGGCGTTGGGAGACCGCAACTTCACCATTGCGCTTACTAGGCTGCGTGGAAGTCTTCAAACTCAAGGGCCAGAGAAGTTAACTTCTAGGCACGAGGTTATTGCTGGACTTTCTGGTCTGATTGATGGTCTTGATGCTTCCACTCGCTCCCGTCCCATGATGCCAGAGAATACGGACTCTGCCTCCATTCAAGAATGGGTTTTCAATCGTCTACTTCTCAACAGCGTACCTGTACACTACCTGATTTCCGATCCTTCACATCTACCATCCGAATCTCTGCGAATCTTTCACATCGACAAAAACTGGACTGATGCCCTTGTCGACGGTGCGTTAAGCTTGGCAAATCATCTCTCTAGCCAATCAGACAAAGAGGTCTTGCGCACGGCGATTATCCAAGCCATGGACAAACGGCAAGTTCCGTCATATGGATTCCTACTACGAAGCGAGATACTAGTGCAGTTTCCCCGGCTGGCAATGGGCATGGAATACTACCAGGTTCAGGGCTCAGACCCACCCAAAGTAAAGGTCCTTGGTCAACAGAAGTTAGCAGACGACACTTTGCTTCTTCTGTTAGATAGCCAGCCACGTGGTTCGGTCAGCCTCATATTTACACCAGTGGATGAGCCAACCTTTGCCGCTGCAGCGGGATTCCTTCCCATCAACAGGAACCGCACGATACCCGAGGTTGAGATTGTACACAAGACCAACAACAAGCTAGTACGATATGCGAGAGATGAATTGTTTGACTGGGCAACACGAACTCTTAAGATCGAGAATTACGCGGGGATTTTCCACAGCGAGAGCGAGGACAGACTAACTGCTGCCAGGTTGGCTTTTCAGTTGCAGGATTCAGATTATGCTATTGTTGTTGATACCGAGGATGTAGAGAAAGAAGCCTTCCCGGAAAAGAATTCTTCCGTAACGGCGTTCAGTTTCAACAAGGACGATATTTTGTCGCTGGCAGAGGAGCCGTCCTTTCGGCGAAGTTCATAACCTATAGCGAACTCGGTATCCATTATGGGTGATCTCGGGTAATGTGATGAAAATATTGTGCCTTCAACCCACAATGCAATAGCAATTCTACCCTAAAGCTCCCGAAAGTTCTTCCACTATGAAGTCATGATCGTGAAATCTCTCATGACAGATGGAGATTCAGGGTAATCCTTATCGTGATCCTTCCCGAAACAGCAAATCTATCCATCGCATCGAGTTTTAATCTACATCTCCATCTTCAAGTTGATCTTTGCACCACTTTTACTGCAAATCTTCCTACATCAGGGCCGATTCTGCATGTCCCGACGATATTTGACAGATACCAGGAACTGAAAAAAGGACTCAAAGTCCCTAGAAATTCGGTCCGCGCACTGACTTGCTGCCCAATGACTGTGAAACTTGAGAACGAAATTATATTTCACCGATAACAATCTCGGATAATCGCGGGGCTGTCTAGGAGAATTGAAGATCTACTGTAGATCTTGGCTTTGCTTGGAAAGTATTCGGTTGACTCGAGCTGAGATAGCTGAGCCAATGGCATTGACCTGAGACACCTCCCCTGCTCTGCCTGCCACTGGATTATGCTTGTTTGTCCACTCGATGAGGCTTGTTCCACTGAATCGGAGCCTCCATGGGGGATAATCCTCGGTGCTTTTTGACTGAAACAATCTGGAGTCGCAATCGGACCGTCCGTAGAATTTCTCCGTTCTTTTCTTGGGGGGTTGTATTTGTAAAGATCGACATGTATGATCCTTGACCGCGTAATCACCCTTGCGACATCCCGTAGATCAGTTGTTTATTCATCCTTCAGATAAGATTGTAGAGTTGTATACAAGCTTAAGAACCTTACTGGATAAAGCTTCGTAAGCACTTTATTTCCGACGTTACATATACGCGTCGACCAATGGTGGCTCATTCCGCCCACGTATAGTAGATGCTGTACTATAGCCCAAACATAGAAACCTATCATCTCTTCTCCATAGATCTTCAATTGAGGCAGTGATGTCATGACGCGTTCAAGTCGAAAAGAAAAATCTTTTTCGTTTTGCATCTTATCCGTGCTTCTACGTGCGTCTTTTTTAAACTTGTTGCAAAAATGCGAGAGTCAAAGCGATGTTGATCAGTATCTGTGTGTCTCAGGACAAAGACCCGCTCAACACGTCAAAGTGTCAGTGGGAATTTTAACTGCCGACCATCGTCATTTCTAGAAGCTTTAGTGGAAAAAATAGTGCTAGGACCTTATGTCGCTTAGACCGAGCGGCTTAGACGGGGTCCATATGTGACGACTCAAGCAGGTCAAGCCACTGGACTGGGCCACTCGGTCAGTGACGAACCCCTGCTAGTTGGGGGACAGTAGCCACAGTTGGTTCGCCGGGAAGGGGAACCGACTAGGAAAGCAAGCTTAATGGCCTTGACAGGTTTCAGTCAGAGTCTGTGCCTGCAACACTGTGGACCATTGGGTTCCTGAGGCTAATTGCTCGGGCTGTGATACATGCCCGTGTCCGGACTGTAACCTTTGTGGTGAAATGCACGATATATCAGCAATATGATAAGAAACTCAATAAAGTTCTGCCTCACAATGCAGGACTGAGTGGGATTATCCCACAGTCTCGAGGCTTCCCAGAAGAGCCGGCACTAGCGTTCGGCAGTACATCCACTAGCCTTTCCTCTTTAGGCAGTGACATGCATGCCAAGAATACGGTCCGACTAATAGCAGAGCCGCAGTGGAAATAATCCCAGGACAGGCATATCTGATATCTAAGAACACGCAAGCACGGACTGTATTACACCCCTTTGCTAAGCACGGCAAGTGATAGACACTCAAAGAGGATACTGTTACCTTAATCTTGTAGCGAAACAGGCAGTGAGCATGTAAACTGTGTTTGAGAGGCAGCTTGCCAGAACGGTCAGACAGGATCGTCAGGAGAGTGATGAAAGTATATAGACCGTGAGCAAGTCACTTGAGTTTATGTTAATCGCAAAAAACATTGAGATCTTCAGATATTCGCTAGACGATCTGATCTGAGACCAACAAACTTCTGTCATACACTCCTTCTTCCGTTCTCTTTCGTTTTGAGCCTAGCTCACCCTCCCCTCGTAAGATGGAACAGCTGATGCGCGAGCTCGGCCATGACAGCCAGTCTTTACGAGCCGACAGAGCACAGCTATTGGCTGCGCTCCCCACCACAGGGGAGTCGTCTACGCGGCCTCTCCAGATCCTCCACGATTTGTTGAAAGAGGAGTCTGGACCGCGGCCTGTTTTTGCCCTTGTCAAGTGTCTTACGCGAGTGTATAAACATCTTCCCGAGGATGTGAAAACTGGAAAAGATGAAGCGTCTGCTCTTTTGTTAAGAGAGACGTCGGATTTGGTCAAGGCTTCATATTCTTCCCTTGCACAGTTTATTGCGCCTGAGAATAAGCCTGCGCTGAGGGCATCTAGTGGTGGGGATGTCATCTCGCATCGCGAACTACACCAATTTGTCAACGACTTCCAACTTCCTGTCGACACAGCGCGCAAACCTGTTGTTTCTATCGCCGTGCCGAATGGACCTCTTCTAGCAGCGACTTGTATCGCTGTGACGACATATTACACAGCATCACCTATCAACCCCGCCGCCGGTCCAGAACAATTCCGAGCCGATATCCTACAAGCGCGAGCGGATTTTATCTTGACGACACATGAAGAATATGAGAAGCTACAACTCAACGCACCATGGGTGTCAGAGAATGGAATTCGGGTATTTTTCGTCGATTGGGTCGCTGGACAGGGTCTTTCTGTCAAGACGTTGAATGGTGATGCGTTATCTGCTGGTTCGGATCGTGTCGCTAATAAGGCTGATGACGTCAGTCTTATTCTCTTCACGAGTGGTACTTCTGGTACGAAGAAGGTTGTGCCGCTTACGACTCATTCTATCGTCACTGGTGTAGTCGCCGTTATTGAATCATGGGGTCTTACATCGGAGGACATTTGTCTGAACATGATGCCCTTGTATCATGTGTAAGTCTATCACTCCACACTTCGATATCCTACTAACATTTTACAGTGGTGGTTTGGTACGCAACATCTTTGCGCCTATCTTTGCGGGCGGTTCAACAGTCTGCTGTCCCTCCTTCGACGCCAATTTGTTCTGGGATGTCGCCGAGACTATCCAACCGACATGGTACTATGCTTCTCCTTCTATGCATTCAGTCATCGTCGCAGAAGCAGCTGCCCGGCCTGAAGCGCTTAGCAAGAGCAGAATAAGACTTGCTTGCAATGCTGCGGGTGGTCTCCTTCCTTCTTTGGCGTATCAGCTTCGCGATACCTTCGACTGTGTTGTTCTTCCCAGCTATGGAATGACAGAGTAAGTCACCTCACCTCGTTGCCAGATTCCCACTAACAGATTCAGATGCATGCCCATTTCCACACCACCACTGAACTACCGTCTCGACCGCGAAGGTACGTCCGGTATCAGCACCGGTCCCGAACTCACCATCCTCGACTGGTCAGAAGACTCTGTTCCAAACGGCACAGTCGGTCGCATTTGTGTTCGCGGTGAGCCCGTCTTCCCAGGCTATCTACGACCTGATGGTACATACGACAAATCCCCCTTCAACGCCAGCGGCTGGTTCGACACCGGAGATCTGGGCTACATGGATGATGATGGTTATCTTTACATCACCGGTCGAAGCAAGGAAGTCATCAACCGTGGTGGCGAGCTTATTTCTCCATTTGAAGTTGAGAACGCTATCATGACTTCTTCTCGGTCTGTGGATTCACCTATATATGGCCGTGTATCGCAAACATTGGCTTTCTCGGCAAGCCATGATGTTCTTCAAGAAGTCGTCGGTGTGGTCCTCGTCACACCACCCAATGTTCCTCGCGTGGATCTCAGGACTCTTCATGCGGCATTGAAGTCCTCTCTTCAGCAAGCCAAATGGCCTGTTCTCATCGCCTACATGAATGACGTTCCCAAGAACAACGGCAAGGTTCTAAGAATTAGTCTGGGTAAGCGCATGGATCTTCCCACCGTTACAGATGACACGCCTCATATGGGAAGACATTGGGATGCTGTCTGTCCTCCGCCTGATACCAAGCTCTCTGTATCAATTGAGTCTCAGCCTTGCCGGGTGGATTACCACACCCTCTCATCTCAGATCCAGAGCGTTGTGCCTGGTCATGTCGATGTGTTCTGTCTTCAGGGCTCTGATGGTGCGCCCCAAGCAGTTTTGGCTCCCAAGACGGGCGACATTACTGTCGATTCCTCCGTGACGAGTAACATTCGTCACGAACTTGTTGGTCTTGTTGACAACTATGCTATCCCCAGCGAGATCCACATTCTCGACCGCCCCCTCCCTCGCAACTCCTCCGGCGAAGTCAACATCGAACTTCTCCAATCTCAACTCGACGAACTTCTCCAAGCCTCTATGAAGCAACTCGAAGGAAGCACTGAAGGTCTCATCACCAAAGCCTTCGCCGAAGTCCTTTCTCTTCCACCATCCGACATCCCGCGCGATGTGGATTTCTTCACTCTTGGAGGTGACTCTCTACGCGCAGGACGTCTCCTCGCTGCTCTTCGATCCGAGTTCAATATCTCCATCCCCATCACTACCGTCTTCAATGATGGTACTGTGGCCAAGCTTGCCGCGCATGTTGATGCGAAGCTCGAGGCCAAGAAGGAGGGCGGTGATCAAGAAGACACCGTCGAAGGCTGCACCAAGACGTATAGTTCTACGAGCCCTCTTCTCATGATCCTCCAACTCGTTCCCATGATGGTAGTCTACCCCCTCCGTCGCGCATTCCAATGGACATGTTTCTTCGTCGCATTGGCATACAGCCAGAAACTCGCCACCAACGCCTCCGTCCCCGGTCGTTTCGTCAACTTGGTCGTCTCCATGCTGATCTCCCGTGCCGTCACCCGCTTCGTCTCTCCTTGGGTCGGTATTATCGCGAAGTGGCTCATCATTGGACGCTATCGTGAGGGTATGTATCCTATGTGGGGATTCTACCATACGCGGTGGTGGTTGGTGCAGAAGATTGTCGCTGTTTGTGGAAAGGGCTTCTTCACTACCAATGACTTTACTTTGAGCATTTACTGTCGTCTAATGGGTGCGTCAATTGGTAAGAATGTCAAGCTCAAGGGTTCTTCGATTGGAGAGTGGGATCTTGTTTCTATTGGTGATGATGCGAACATTACTGGATGTACTGCTCGTCCGTTCGCCGCTGAAGGGAACACTTCGATGTATCTTGGTCGCATCAACATTGGTGAGAAGTGCACTGTTGGGTTCTCGTCTATCGTCGTCCCGGGCACTACCATGCCAGCCAACACCTGTCTGGGCTTCAATTCTTCTACTTGGGAGATGCAGGATGCCAGCGAGGAGTACCGTGATCAACTCCCCAGCGAGCGCAAGAAAGGCCACTGGCTTCTCAACATCCTATTCACCTTCCCTCTCAAGTTTCTAGCCAGGTTCGTCGCCGCCCTTCCATGGGCCGGTGGTCTCGTCGGTATGGTTCTCACCAAGGCTTCCTCTTCTACATCTCCTCTTCGAAGCAGTGTCGATTGGTTCTGCCAGCCTACTCGTATCGGATACCACTACCTAGCTCGCGTCGCAGGTTGTATCTTCGGACCTTTCTTCCTCTTCGCTTTCGTCATGATCATCAAGTCCATCTTGGACTGCGTCTTCGGTAAGCTTCGCGCCACGTCTAAGCAGGATACTTCTACCGTTTCTGCTTGGAGAGCGAATCTGATCAAGGAAATTTATCCTACGGGTAAACTTCATGATTTGACGAGTATGTTCGGTACGCATTACGAGGCTACTTCCATGGCGCTGCGAGCGCTGGGTGCCAAGGTTGGACAGCGTGTTTATTGGCCTGGAACTGGTCCTGGTATTGGTGACTATCATCTCATCGACGTCGGCAACGACGTTGTTTTCGGCTCAAGATCTGCTCTTATTACTTCTGATGGCATTGGTTCTGAGAAGATCACCATTCAAGACCGCGCCATGATCGCTGATCGTGTCAACCTTCTTCCTGGCGTCACCATCGGCGAGAAGGCTACCATGGGCTCCGGAGCTTTGACCAAGCGAAACGGTAACTACGCTCAAGGTACAACGTACGTTGGTTCTCACGGCGGCGATGCTATTTGTCTGTCTACTGGTTCGAGTACCGAGAACAGCGCTCAATCGTCCCTGCGTGAGATGCAGTATGATGAGAAGAAGTTCCACAGTGACTCTGAGCCCAGTTCTGGTAGTGTCACTGATGAAACTCTCGACAAGGACGCTCGGGCTCAAGATCTATCTCCATTCGGACGAGCATTCTATCTCAAGCTTGCGCCTTACCATGTCCTTGGTCCTTTCGCCATCTTCTGCTACTCTACCTTGTTCGCTGTTTTTACCTCTGTTTACTGGGACGCAGCTAGTATTTCATCGATCCAGATCGTTCGTGTTGTGCTTAACCAGCTCATCAGCACCCATGCTATCTGGTGGAAGGATCTAGCCGCAATTTTCGTCACTATGCTTATCGCCATGGCTGTGCTTACCACTGTCCAAGCCATTCTCGCTATGGGTATCGTGATTGGATCTAAGTGGATTCTCATGGGTCGTCGAACACCCGGCAACTACGACTGGGACAAGTCTTCCTACTGTCAACGCTGGCAAATCTTCCTCGGTATCGAACGTCTTCGAAGGAATTGCTACGCAGGCAACGGCATTCTGGGTCTCCTGACCGGCACACCGTGGATCGTCTTCTACTTCCGTCTCCTCGGCGCCAAGATCGGCAAGGACTGCGCGCTATTTGCCAACGGCTCGCCAAGTCTCATGTTCACTGAACCCGATCTCATCAGCCTGGGCGACCGTGTCGTCGTTGACGACGCAAGTGTGGTAGCTCATATCAACACACGAGGCAAATTCGACTTGAACAGGGTTGATGTTGGAGATCGATGTGTTTTGAGGACGGGAAGTAGACTTTTGAGTGGAGCTAGGATGGAGAATGATAGTTGTTTGTTGGAACATACGCTTATTATGGGCGGCGATGTTGTTGATGAGAAGGCTACTATGCAGGGATGGCCTGCTGAGAGGTTTACTCGTAAGAGAGTTTAAACCTGGGTTTAATGGGGGCTTTTTGTTATTATTGCATTGCATGGTTGGGTTAAAAGTTTCATAGACTGCTTTTTCTGCATATTGGCGTTTTAGACTTTCATTTATTTACTTCATTGGATTCAACTTATCTCTATTGTGATCGCTGATGCCTGATCTGTGAGTTCCTAATGCCCTAGAGTCTGGCGGTGACGCATCTGAAGATGCCCGCAATGCGCACTCAACAGAAGAACAGTTTTGATCATGACGCTTCGGCTTGTATTGGTACGGTGCTGCTGAATAAGGACCCAATGGACAGGTGGCAGACGTCACTCTTCTGGATCACTCTGATCATGGTAGGCTGAACCCTCGCATAAGGAGCATGCATCTTTCATTGTCTTCGACTTCTGTTAGGATGCGCAGCGCGTCTCGCAGCGGCAAGTATGCACAGTTCTAGTGTCGATCTGGCTGAGGGGTGGGGTGTACTTCTCTGTGTTGGAGGTCTGCTATTAGAGCGAGGGGAGGAGGATATGGAGGAAGAGAAACAACTAGTCTCCTCGATCCGGCCCTTCGCTTACAGTCCCATCTTCGCCTTGACACAAATATCAATACTCCAATAAGTAGCCCATTCATCACCGCGATTCAGCCCGGCGCACAGCAGCCGAGGGACCGCGGCCTGTGTTAACACCGCGGGGACTTTCAACAAGCAACTGTTAAAGACTTGAGTCCTATCCCGATCGAGACCGAACCATTAACATCAACGTCGCAATGCATGGGACTGAAGCTCGGCTGTTTATTGCTTGGAAGGAGAAACAGATCCCCAATATCCAAAAGATTCGCAGCTTTACCTTGAAAGAGGATGACCAGTTTAAACAGTTTCACAACTATGTCCTTAGCATCATCGACTAGGACCGCAATGAACGTTTAGAGAGCATCCGATCTGCTCTTGATCTGGTCTTTCAGTAGTGGAGCGGGATCTGTATCTAATTTAGCGGCAGCGGTAATTCCGCCACAGTCGCGCATGATTGGATGCACGAAACCTCCCATGCACTTGCTCAAGGTTTATATAGTTACTCAGATTGTCCCACATACTTCGAATTCCGCAAGTATGCGGTTGATAGAGTTCGTGGGACTCATGTCGGGTCCCTTTTGTGTTCAGGTATGATCGCGTAAATCATCGTCGGTCTTCCACAGCTCGAACAAACACTCCACGCAGATAACCTGAACCACGACCCGTTCCCATTTTTACAGACAGTTGATATAACCGTGTCTGTGGAGACCATCAGCGGTCAAACCAACGGACGGAGTCCCAGCATCGGCCATAATGGATGCCCAGTCGTTTGAATTTCAGATGACTGCCGTCGGATCAGTCCATACGATCGGTGCCGGTGTGAGAAAGTAGAATATTCGTGCACCTGATTCCATTGTTCTGTTCATCTTGTTGCTTTGTGCCGCCCAAATTAAAGTTTCAAAACATCAACTCGTGACATCCCCTTAACTTCAAACTCAGAGATAAACTCGTCTTTACGCATAATGAAGTTTACACAGTAATTCTAGACAAAGACTTTCTAGATATAAAAGGGGGGCTTTCTAGCACAATTCAGAAGACTAACTCACGACCATTTCGATACTATACAAAACAAAACAAGTACCTCGGACAAACAGTACAATCCCTTCTTATTAACAAAAAGAACGTTCCATAATTATCATCATGACTCGAAACGACACCTTGCCCTCAGTCACCCCCGGCTACGGGCTGAACATGTCCACCTTCACCGCCGCCGCCCCCCAACCACAGACGACATCATACGAGGTCGTCACACGTTCACTCCTGCAATCCCACTTCTCAAAAGAGACAGCCAAGCCTCTTATCCTGGGAACACAGGAATTTCACACTCTCGTCAAGATAGCCACCCACGAGTTCGGCTTGTTCACAGCCGTCGTGGGTGATGATTCACGTCGTATCGCTGTTGGACGGTCACTCGGCGAGGTGCAGGGGTTGGCAGAGACTGTCGCTTATCCCTTCGGTCGAGGAGAGCGGGCTAGGAAGATGGCGTGGTTGGAGGCTATGGGCGAGCACTACGAGTATTTGTCTAATAAACCGCGTGGTCGTCTTCAAGGATCATACATCATCAAGTGCGACGAACTCCAATTCCGTCATGACTATCATCACGGCGAAATGCAAATTTTGCATATTTTTCAGCGAGATGATGTCACCTGCGCAAACGTTGAGCTTGGTGAACTGGAGGGAGTAATGCTCCTATCAACGAATACCTCAGCCCTGGACGCCCTGGAACATTCCTACGACCTTACCGATCCGAATGTCACGTTCAGAAAGTGCAACCCCAAGACATGCATAGCGCCACAACCGAAATGGTCTCCCTCAACAGGCCGACGCTTCTTATTCCGGCTGCGAGGAAGGGAGATTGCAAGTGGCGAGTTTGTCTCCGAGCCAGAGTGTGGCGAGATCGAGTTTCTCGATGATGAGTTTACTAAGTTTATTGGGAGGATCAATATTCCTTTCATGGGTGAAGAAGTTGAGTTTAGGGGGTTTAAGGTTTCTGACACACCGCATGATCAACCTTTTGAGTGGGAGTTTTTCTCTTTTGAAGAGCCCATGAATTCACGACGGTGTGAACATGGGGTTGAAGGCGAGTTTGACTCAGAAGCAGAGATTGATGACACGGCCTCAGATAGCACAACTTCGTCTTAATAGTCAATAAACAAGTTGAACTCATATTGTAACATGACATCTTTTTATCTGACGTATCTCATCATTTCAAAGTATCTAACTATTTACACGTAAAGCTACTCCTCCAGGCTTCCATGCTTAACCCATGAAAGCCTTTCTCTTCTTGGTAGTCTCAAGAACAGCAACACTAAGCTCAGGCATAGTAAACTTGAAAGCACCCTTCTTATCAGCCTTGATAACACTCTTGGTACTCTTAACAACATTGTTTCCCTTGTGAGGATCGTTGAACGCAAAAAGATCCTTCTCCTTGTTGGTCAAAAGAGTAAGCTCAGCCTGTGTACCAGCCTTGACACCCTCAAAGGCCACGGAAACAGGAACGTCAGCGTGCTTGGTGGTGTTGTAAGCAGCACCCTTCCAGATAAGAGTGCCCTTGTCCTCGTTCTTACCAGCGACGTAGAACAGAGGGTCGAGATCACCCTTGACGGGGAGGGTGTGGGTCATGGGGTGGCCGGCGAAGAGCTCCCAGACGTACCAGCTTGTAGAGCGGGTGGTCATGGCGGCGTCAGCGGCGAATTGGACCATGGTGATGGCCCATTGCCAGCGGTTCTCGTTCTTGAGGATGGGAGCGTAGAATGTTCCGGGAATACGGTCGGCGTTGCGCTCGTAGGAGACCAGAGCGACGGCCTCACCGACACCGGAGATCCACCAGGGGTAGGGCATGAGCTTGCCTTCCCACTTGGTGCCGCCGTTGGGGTGGGTAGATGCGACTTCTCCGATGATGTGGCCGTACTTGTTGTTATCGAAGAGATCGAATTCCTCGACGAGAACATCAGGCTCACGGTAAGGGTGGTAGTCACCGATTCCGGGGGCAGGGATATCGAAGCCAGCATCCTTGTTACCGACAGGGTCGATAGAAGCACCGGAGGAAATAACGGTCAAGTCAGGGTGGGCCTTGTTGATAGCCTCAAGGAACATGGGGAATCTGTACTCCTTGTAGCTGTTCCAGCCGGTAGGATAACCAGCAAGCCAGTCCTCATTACCGATCTCAACGTAAGAAAGCTTGAAGGGCTTAGGGTGACCAAGCTCAGCACGCTTCTTACCCCACTTGCTCGTAACAGGACCGCGAATAAACTCAATCTCATCGAGAGCATCATCGATGAGAGGCTGCAGTTGATCCTTGGGAGTAACACCACCATCGAGAGCAAGACCGGCGTAAACACCAACGATGATCTCGAGGTTCATGTCCTCAGCCCACTGGAGATACTCGAGAATTCCAAGACCGTGGGTCTGCTGGTAGCTCCAGACACCCTCAAAACCGGGACGGTTGCGAAGAGGTCCGAGAGTATCCTTCCAGTCCCAGTAGGTCTTGTTGGTGTTACCCTCAAGCATGTTACCACCAGGGAAGCGAAGAAGACTAGGGTGAAGACCCTCGAGAGCCTCAGCAAGATCAATGCGCAGACCGTTCTTGCGACCCTTGTAAGTAGGAGGAAACAGACTAATAAGGTTAAAGTCGAGCACTCCATCAGCACCCTTGGGATCATAAGTAATAGCAAAAGTGTTATTGCTGTTAGGAGCATCCATCTTGGGGGTAAGCTTAAACTCATGCTCAACCCACTTGTCCTTCTTAGCCTTTGACTTGACCTTGACGCTACCAAAGACATCATCAGTCAAGTTTGAGCGCAGAGATGCGGTGAAGTGGCCCTTGTAGGAACCCTTGACCCAGAAGCTACCGGTGTACTTGTGCTTCTTGACATCCATGCCCCAGTAGCCTTCGTTGAGGAAACCAATCTCCTTGGCGTTCTTGGTAGGCTTGACGCGCATAGACACGGGGAGTGCTTCGGAGAGAGGTTCGCCGGCGCGGTTGAGGGTTAGGTTTGCGCCGTTGATGGGACGCCAGCCGGAGAGCGAGACGGGGAATTTCTTGCTGTATTGGAAGGCGCGGTTGCGGATGAGTTCGGCGTAGATGCCACCATCACCAGAGTTGTTGATGTCCTGCCATTGCATTAGTATAAGTTTTAATTGGGGCCCTGGGAAGTGTGTGTACCTCGTGGAGGAAACCATATTGATGACCGCTAGTAGCATTTCCGCCCTTGGATGCTACCTCGATGTTGACAGACTCGGCAGCAACAAAGCATGCCGCAGCCGCCAGGAGTGAACTGAAGCGAACCATGATGAAAAGCTTACACTCTGCAGATGAGGTTGCAGTCAGAATGTCAGAGGACGATGATGCATATATATATAGTTGACCGTCTATTTAGCCATAAACCAATTGACTCGCCTATATTCATCCGCCCCAGTCATGATTCAATGCTTCCATGTGACGTGGGCTAAGAGAAACAAAGCTGCAGGTACCAAGCGGTCCAATGAATTAAGCATGATCCTTCTCCGCACTTTTGACGATCGAATCATGTCCAATGCCGAGGATGGTACTCAAGACATGTTTAACCGGTGAAGCTCAGCAAAGAACCTGGAGAATGATCAATTGAATGCGGGGAAGAAGACGATCATGGCGGGTGAATTCTGGGGTGGATAAACCATGAGGTGGATGACGTTAGACTTTTGCCGATCATGGCTTGATTCCGTGTTGGAGTAAAGACAAGGGTTGGAGGAATTGGCCATTTGGATTCGTGCGCGTCAGAGAGCTTGTGGGCTCAAGGTCGTATTTTTCAACGAAGCTCCATAACTGGCTCGGCCTAAGTCCCTGAAATGAGATTAGTTTTTGCAAGTCAAGAGTTTATTAATCTTTCCACGAATTGGATGGAAGTTTATCTGATGATCACCGGTTAATTCGATGCAGTCGCATGATGAGAACGTGCACATCATGAATAAAAATGTGCAACAGTGGTCATTGATCATAATCATTGTATTCCAAGACTTTTCCAGTCTGGTAATTCTATCGTCAAGCATAAACACAATCGCTTTCTTTTCGCTAAACCAATTTTTACTCATCACCCTCTTCGAGGTGGTCTGCCTTCTCCTTGCCAGCAAGATACTCTTGAGGAGTGTTGCGAGGTCTGTTCTTGGCGAACTTGACAGTCGAGAAGACTGATGGTGACTCCTTGAAGATGAGCTCAATCTCCTCGAGGTTGCGACCCATGGTCTCGGGGAAGAAGAAGTACACCGAGACGGGAACGCAGGCAGCGATGACGGCGTATACGATGTAGTACTGCCAGCCAATGCTCTCGAGAGCGACGGGAGTGACCATGACGACAATGAAGTTCCTGAAGAATTATTAATATTTGTTACTCAAGAGGTGAGGTGCGAAAAACTTACCATAGCCAATGGTTGGCGGTCGAGATGGAAGACATGGCCATTCGGAGGCGGATGGGCGCGACTTCAGTACAGTACAAGAAGTTGGCACCCAGGAAACCGATGGGAACAAACGTGTTGTAGAAGTAAATGAAGGCAGCAGCGACAATCATAGCAGGCTTGTTCTCAGGTCCGAAAGAGGTGCTAACAGCCAGCGCAATCATACAAGCCGACATACCGACACCGCTGATGATAAACACGGCACGACGACCGAATCGATCGATGGTGAAAAAGGCAACGAACGAAGCGAGGAACTTCCAGGTCAGGGCACCGCCGGTAAGAGCCTTGGAAGTCTCGGCGTCCAAGCCAAGGTTCTTCTGGAAAAGAATATTGGCGTACACGCTGACCAGGTTGGAACCGGACATCTGCTGGTAGAACTGGAGAAGGATACACAGGATGAAGCGGTAGAGGAGCTTATCGTCGCCCATCTTGAGCATGTCGCCAAGACGAGCTGCCTTGTCGGAGGTTTCTTCGAGGGAGTGCTCGATGCCGGCGACTTCGGCGAGGACTTCGGTGCTGTCGATGGGGAGACCGCGGAGGGCTGCGACGCTGTGGCGCGCTTCTTCGGAGCGGTTCTTGAGGACGAGCCAGCGGGGGGACTCGGGGAAACAGTAGATGGAGGCCATGAGGATGAGGGAGAAGATGATGGCGATGGCGATGGGAGGGCGCCATGTCACGGAACCGTGCTCGAACTCGAAGAAACCGAGGTTGATCCATGATTCGAGAACGTATCCGAGACAGATGAAGAGTCCGGTAAGAACGACTTGACGACCACGGTTCTGAGCAGCAGAAGTCTCAGATTGCCAAACAGGAACAATAGAACTCAACTGTCCAATACCAAGACCAATAATAACTCTTCCAACGATAAACTGCGCAAGACCAAAGCTGGACGCCTCAAGGATTTCTCCAATGAGTGTACAAACAGCAGCCGCAAAGATAACATTTCGTCGTCCAAACTTATCACCAGTCCACGAGCAAGAAAGCGAACCGATCAAAGCACCGATAACGAACGTCGCGACGACAAAGCCTTGCAGTGTTGACTTTGCGCTCTTCTCAGAGCCGGTGGTGTTGACGGTGTCGATCTCGGGGAACGTCTTTACCCAATCTTCTTCGGTGAGGAGACCGCCGATGCCAGCTTGGTTGTAACCGAAGAGGATGAAGGAGGGTGCGACGATGGCGGCGATTTGCAGGATTGCGAGGGGCTTGCCGCTTGCGCCGAGATATGTTGGGACGCTCATCTTGCCTGGTCTGTGTATAGGTGAACAGATAAGGTGATGGACGGACAATGAGGGGAGGTGGTGAGGAGTTCTTTATACAAGATGGATCATCGCGGAGTTGGAGCTAGAGGGAGTCTTGTTGCGGAGCCCCATGGGATACGGAGGGCAATTGCCCCGTATGTGGGGGTTAGTTTGAATCATGAGATATGGATCATTAACGTGATATGAATTTGTTATCGTTTCCAAATGCCTCTCTTGTTGTCTCGTACAAGTTGAGTTGACTGTCAACTTAGACGGATATTACGGCACGGTCTCTTTTCGGTGGCTTCGAAATATAGTGGAGAACCGGGTCCATCTTCGTCATTGTCGCGAGTCGCGAGTTGGAGAATCGGAGGGTAAAAGTGGGAGACACTCTGTTATGGACCAGTGGACGAGACTCGGAGTAACTGCTTTGGGACATTTTTTGTAGGGCAGGCTATGAGGCTCCCGCTAGGACCTGCGTCTACGGCAGTGGATAGCCAGGGTTACCTTGAGACTCCAGATATGTTCAACAGGATTATTTACGCCGAAGAACCATTGTCACACAGAATATCCTCTCGGCACGAATGACAGTATGTGCGTTGCATAGAATTACCTCGTCAATTGAGTTTAGACATCCCGCGGGATATATTCTAGAAGGTTTCTCTAGAAGCCTTTCCACGAAAACCATTCGGCCATGTCCTGTCGATCACATCCCGGCTAGGCACAAGCCTTGGCCGATTTATCCGTCTTGGAACAGCGGCAGTTGAAAGCTTAGCTAAGATCAACTATGACACAATAGCAAAAAGCGTGATAAAATAACTCCAATTACTGATTCATGGTTATTCCTTGCCAAGTTAGTACTCAATAACTGCAAGTTGGGGGAAAACGGGGAACTCTCGGGGAAATTGGAGTCCCAGCCATTGAAACACGGCGAATTAATAAAATTGTGGACAAACAAACCAAAGACCCTTTGTCTGCTTTTCCCCTCATTTCTGGGGTTTGTTTAATAAGCTTGACTTCTCCAGTTCTTTTTGCTTCGTGCTCAACAAAATTTTCTGTTCTTGATCCACTGTGGTGAGATTTCAAGGATGGACTTGGGGGAAATTTGGAGACGTGAACCTGACGACCGGACCGGAGTTAACACTCAGACCAATACAGACGCCGTCTAGGTATCCGTGTAGCTTGCTTGACAGGCACCAGTTTTTCTCTCACGGGAGAGAAAAGAGATCCACTGTCCTAGTGTCAACGTTACATGCATGTCTGTTCGCCTGGCCTCCCGCTTATCAATTTCTGCAGGTCAAGTTCATGCGAAATCGACTCACGCGGTTCGGAGGAATCTGTACGGTCTCGCGATGACTCCGCTTATGTGCGTGAGTTCTGATAAAAGGCTGTGACCGCCAGATTCGTCTATCGGCTCGCCGGCTTGCCGTTTTTATTAACCGTGATAGCCGTACTCGCTTGTCCACATACCGCTGTCTGAGTAGTCGGTCCATAGCTGGACCGTATCACGACCGCGTAAACACCGAGAAGAGAGTAATAAGAGGGTTCTCGTTTGATCATGGTGAATTCTCGGTGTTGAGGACAGCAGTAATTGACCGATGTATAGCTTTCTTGCGAGCTGTGGCCTTTTCCTGCATTCTGTTGATTGTGAACGTGGTGAAGATGGGTCAATCAATAATGAATGGACCATTGAGATTGAAGCATAAAGACGTGTTGGTACACTATGGCAGTTCAGAAATAAGCATAAATTAATCTCTACATAAGCTCAAGATGATCATTCTTAATCTCTATAATCTAGATAAACAACGAGATAGAGTCCAACAAAGAATTCTAGAAATGTTTTCATGAGATTCACATTACCCTGGATCTGACCCTTTGACCCAATCAGCAGCGGTGAGTATGTTGCTCGCTTCCACTTTCCTTTTTCTCTCGGCCGGGTAAGTAATTACCCCGACTCGTACCCTGACTAATACATATCAGCTAACCCCATGGAGGTATGCGACGGAGTAACTCTTTCAGGAATAGCTCATCTGGAGAGAAACCGGATTTTAGAATCCACTTCCATGATTCAATTCCTTCGTCTACTCCGGCGGTCTTACTTGATGATAATACAACTTGCCACTATCACTGAAAATTCATGATTTTAGCAGTCGGGAACGGCTGACCCCGATGATCAACATCAACTGCTACGGTAAATATGTAATTGCCGACTTGGCGATAATGATGGAGTTTGAGTAGTCATCATTGCTAAAGATTATGAGATTGGTCTTGCATATCGTAATCGACACTTTGATAGAATAGAAAATTGCTAACATCTCGCGATATAAGGAACCGGCGTGGATGGTGACTTCAAGTATATGCTAGCCAACTAGCAATGCTCAGCTATCACTTCAAGCAGCAGCATTCGCACCGTTTTCCTTCGCCTTCCTACTGTGACTTTCATTCAATACAGTAACGACTGAAATTCTTGGCAAAAAGAAAACTTCCAATTAAGCGGTTGAGGACAGCAAGAGTTCTCATAAGTCATCTATCATCCTCTTGAACTCGCCGATTTGGTCCTGAGTGGCTTGATCAACTGCCTTCTGAGATAGGTAAGGATATCAGAGTTGAACTTGGTTCATGAAACTTCTGGTAAACTCCTCGGCCACGACTTTCAACTAAGGCAGAAACGGGGTTAGCGTGGCTTAGTTGAACTAGTTGATAGGTGAGGTATAAGAGAAGAGCATTGACTTACTTCTCTGAGCCTATCGACCGTCACCTTCATCTGTGACTGAATATACTGCTTGCGGGCTCTCATATCGGTGCTGGGTTTCATGCGGGGGATAGATGCAGCAATCTTGTCATAGCACTCAGCCTGATTGCTGAAGAGGAAGCTGAGCTCCTTCATGGCTGCGATGGCTTCGGTCATCTTCTGATCGATGCCGGCGTACTGGGTGATCAATTGATTCACAAATATGATAAGTTGTGTCTCTTCCTCTTGGTTCTGTTGGTTTTTCGCAATCAGGGTTTCCAGCTTATCATAGTCGTTGCGCAAATCAGAAGCCTTGGTCGCCTGGATTCCCATGACAATCCATCCAAGAGGCTTGATCGAGCAGATGCCGACTGTAGTGGCAGCGTTTTTCTCCTACAGCAAACGGGTCAGTATTTGGTTAACTTCTAATATATGAAGGAGCCGTGGGGAGAAGGGGGTATCACATACCCAATCAGAATATTTGTCTTGGGCCTCCTTCACCTTGTTGTTGAAAGTGGCGAGTTTGTCGGCCAGGTCTTTGTTGAGGACTTCTAGGTAAGGCGCTTTTTTATCTGATTTGTTCTCAACGGACCCGGTATTGTACTGCTTGATAAGAAATTCGATATCCCACTGACTCTCTAGAATTCTGTCCCTGAACTGAACGGAGGGAAGAGGAGGTATGTCAGCCACGGCCCATATTAAAGAGGTTTGGGTTCCTGTAAAGGGGACAGGCAATCCTTACTCGAATAAGAGTCTGCATGACTTCTTCTGTGTTGCGCTGTTTCTCTCTAGCATCGTCTCGTAGCATGCTCAAAGTCATCTGGGATGCCTCTTTGGCATCTCTGTAGTTGTCATCAAAATCATTGGACGACTTGTACCTCTCGTCCAGGATGATGTCAAGTTGGCGTCGTAAGTTTATGAAATCATCTGCCGCCAACAACTCAACACTGCTATCACTGTATTGCATAGTAGTCCGGCCAGTAATTACTGTATACAAAGGGTTGATCAACTTAAATTAAAAACGAATATTTGAAGGGGTGCAAAACAGAATTGACGCCCTGAGTTTGGTAAGGTGGTTCTGGTGGTAGTTCCGGCAGGTGGAACCGACAGCTACCATGGCCTTCCTGGTTCGCTTTTCGGGAGAAGAAAGGTTAGTAAAAATCAAACGATAATCAACAACCGACCATTATGTCTCGGACGTACACTGTAGATTTCACTATCAAACTTGGAGAGCTTTCTGAAAGCGGACTCGGGGACTTTTCTATCAAAGTCAGTGGAACTCCCAGGGAAGTCCTTTCCGCTTAAGACATAGGCCTGAATATCTATTGGTTCAGGATTATTAGCATGATTCGATATGAGATCCGGGAGCAAGTCCTTTGAGGTGACTTGCCAAAGTAGCTCTTGGAACGCAGGATGAACCGATTAGACTGGGCGGGGCCAGAAGATGAAAGAACAACTTTATCTACCGAGCGACTGAGAGTATCGAACGCCTTCTTGACCTCGATATCATCGTTGTCCACAGGATTCCAAGTGACAGACATGGTTGTAGGAATAAGGATAAAGGGCTGCTGAGGGTTCGAGAGTTTAAGTATACAATAAAGAGTAGTAGTTGAAAGCCGTGCTCAGAAAATGTGCAAGGGCAATGATGATGCTTATAGACTTGATGTCCGAGACCAGCAGATGCAACACATGCCGGCCGAGCAAGCGACTAACTACTTTGATAACAGGCTGCATTTCTTAAGCTATTTTTCTCTTTCAGCTCGTAACTTCTGAATCTATCCCCCGTCTCAGCTCACCTCCATCCAGCCTCTTTTCTTCTTTGTGGCTAGCTAAGCTCTAGTTTGTACGCCTTAATTATTCGGCCAGTCAAAAGGCTCCAATAGCTTAGCCGAGCTGATCTAGACTCCCCAAGCGCAACGTGTCTAATGCATGTCTCAGAGAATATGCTCAATATTGAAGTGCTGTAACTATACTGGTAATAGCGGATATCTTCCAACGGGTAGTGTGATCCCGCGTATTTGTGGTTTCGTTCACCTGTGAGGGGGCATCGGGTTTCTGTTCAGAGGATGGCTAATAGCCTAAGAACCTTGGTGAATGGGTAGAAGAACGATTGAGGAATTTACCTGGACCAGATACCGATGGCTTCTCCTCTCCAGCTGTCAATACGTCAATCACAAGCGAATCCCTCAAGCTTGGCCATTACGTATGCATCTGTCAATTTCCAAGCATCCTCACGCCAAGCTTCGAATCCTTCTCGTTCCTGAACTTACGGCCAATAGCATTTTAAGCTTAAGTGCCTTGAGCATTATTCAGCTTGCTGACAGCCCGCGTAGTTCAAATTATTCATTGGTTGGTGGTGTAAGACGAGATCCACACTTCCGAATAGGAACACCGGTTTCCCAAAGGAGAAGCCGGAGCTTAACAATAGAAGGATCACAAACCTTGTGTTAGTGGCCAAGTTCTTGATCAAGACGAGAGAGAATAAAAATATAAGTAGGATCAATGAAGTCAGTTTTGAGTTTCATTCTTCAGAGACAAACCTCTTCAACACTCTTCAAGATGCGCTTCTTTCATTTTACACTAGCCTCATTGGCATCCGTCGCAACAGCCCTCTCATCATTCGACACTTGGTCTCACGGCCGAGTCGCATTAAATGATGTGAGCATTCATTTCCGCTACGCCGGCTCCGGTCCTCCTCTTCTTCTCGTCCACGGTAATCCCCAACATAGTCTTACATGGCAATTCATTGGTCCTATCCTCGCTCAGAACTACACTGTTATTGCACCTGATAACCGTGGTGCTGGGGACTCGAGTATTCCTCCTGATAATGACTACACCGCTGCTGCGTCAGCAGAAGATCTCAAGGGTGTGCTGGACTTTTTGAACGTTACGGAGACGTATGTCTTTGCGCATGATAAGGGTGTTGGGATGGCGACGGCGCTGGCTATTAAGCATCCTGATATGGTGAAGAGATTAGCACTGGCTGAATACCCTCTTCCGGGATTTGGGTATGAGCAGTCCGCCAACCCAGCAGCGTTCTGGGATTTATATCAGAACTGGCAACTAGCTTTCTTTCAAGTCACAGACCTCGCAGAATTTCTCATGTCAGGAAAAGAGAAGCAGTTTCTTCAGTGGTACTTCTACCATGGCAGTTATTCTGGTGTTGAGAGCTTCAGTGAAGAGACGGTTGACAGATACACGAGCAGTATTTCGAAGCCCGGATTCCTGAGAGCTATGCTTGGTCCATTCTCCGCTACGACTGTTGCCAAGGATGCCGAGTTCTTCAAGACTTCGCTGAATGAGAGTAAATTGAGCGTACCGCTTCTTGGAATGGGTGGTGAAGCGAGTTTGGGATTGGAGTCGGTTCTCAAAGACTCATTTGAGCCCATTTCTGAGAATGTTGAGATTGATATCATTCCTAAGGCTGGACACTGGATTGGTGAGTTTTACCTTCGTACTGACTGGAGAGGTTGATTGATCGCTAACGATGTCTGTAGTGGACGAAAACCCCAATTGGACTGCGAAGCGTGTCGCCAAGTTTTTTCAAGAGGATAATGAGAGTCCAAAGAAGGTTGACTTGGCTTACTTGGAAGATATGGTTACTTTGGATGTTGGATACTTTGGTACGAGACGGAACTTTAAGCTGGGATCTCAGTGATCGGATTGTTTGACATGGTACCTGCCAAGAAGCTTGGCATCGTGCCGCTGGATATAATGGCGGGCTTAATACGGGAACGGGTAGATCTAGATTGCGAATTCTGCCACATGCCAAGGCGATGGCTTTACTTGGAAATAATTGACATTCGTTACTTGAACAAAACTAACCTCACCTGTGAACAGAAATAGTATAACTTGCGCTTGGCAGATAGATACTCTGGTAAAATAGATACAAAGAAGTGTCGCACCTGGCAACGTCCTATCCAATCTTATATACAACTCATTCCTCCACAATCCTCTAGCATCCAATGCGCTTAGAGCTGACAGCAATGTCATCGTACCAGAAAGTGTTAGCAGCACCACTGTACGACTCCCAACCAAAGTAAACACCCTGGATCTTGGGCTTGGGCTTGCTGTTCTTCCAGCCGTTGGTGTAAGGCGCAGGGTCGTTGGGCTTGTAGACAAGGCCCTTGACAGGGACGCTGTTGAGCCAGGTGGCGATGGTACCATCGGGGGACAGATGGTACTCGAGGCACTGCCAGGTGTTGGCGGGGATGTTCTTGGAGGCGGCGATGCCGTCGGGGGACAGGTCGGGGAGGGTGGCGTCGTCGGACTCGTGGTTGTACATGAGGATCTTGCTCTGGCCGCCGATGCGGAGGTGCTTGCCCTTTCCTTGAGCGGCGTCGGGCATGGTGATGAAGGTGACGTGAGAGTCATCAAGAGCCTTCTCAGACTTCCTATAAAGTTATTAGCACCCACTCATATCCTCAAAAAGAAATGACCTTTGTACTTACATCCAAGCACGGACGTAGACATCGCCGCTGGGAATAGCGTCGGTACCAAAGAACTTGTGACCGCAGAAACCGTTGGATCCACCAGTGACCTTGATAGAGTTCTTTCCGCTGTGAGCGGTAGTCTTGTCAAGAACAACCTTTCCACCCTGATCACAGTCAGGAGCGTAGGTAGGCCAAGCAACCTGGTCCCAACCGCTCTCAAAATCCTCGGCGACCTGGCCGAGAGTGAGAGGAAGCACAGAAAGTGCAGCAAGAGCAATGTTTCGAAGCATGATGAATAGTATAAAAAACGGTCAAAGTGGAAAAAAGAAGTGAAGTGAATGTGAATGGAATGATAGAAACAGAAAGCCAAGCTGCCAAGGACACAGCTGAGAGTTATATATAAGAGATGTTTATACTTGGCGAGAGCAGTAATATTAATATTAGGGACTGGAGGCCTGAAACAAGGCGGCTCTTTCGTCCGATCTGTCATTGGGTCGTGCTGGGATTGTTACGGTTAATTCGGAATTGAGTGCCCGCAATTTCCTTGTCGGGATCGGACGGTGGTGAACCTGAGACAGAAAGGGCATTTTTTCCGCGGAAGGGGTCTGAAACGGAGAATTTATCCGTCTCCGTTCTACATTTGTTCTACGGCAAGCGATATTTAATGGCTACGATATACCGCCTTTTGGGTTTGGAGGTTCTTCCGGATGGTCTTTTTGGGCAAATGAAGTCATTTTCAATGTGTTATCGAGCTGAGAATGCGACCTTGAGGTTGTATGGAGATGCAATTGATGCCGTTGTTCCGGCTCGGCTGATAAGATAAGATAACTCGATAAAAAGATAAGATAAGAGCAAGTATCGATGAAAAGAGCCATGATCTTTCATTTTCTATTTTCATTGATCAATTGACGAAAAAGGCTTTGTACCTATGATATACCCCCTGAAGTTCGTTTTCTAATAGAAAAATGCAAACAATATCATCCACAGTTAGCCTGAAGCGGTGAACCTGTCGGACTGGCCAGTATCACGATCCTTTCGGAAAGACATGGTCGCGGGTCACACGACGTTTGTGCAGATCAACGTAGTCAACAGTACAGTGAAGTTTTTTCTCCCCTAGGCTAGTGTGCCACCCATTGCTGCGATAAAGGTCAGCTTTGGGACAACATCGACCACCGTTCAACTTACACCACCACTGCCTTCGCAGTTCCAGGTGGGGCTTTCGCCAATACCAAGTTCGTGATGGACAATTTCTCAGATACTTTCCCTCCATACATGTTGTAGGGTCTGAAGATAACGTCGTGCACACTCATGCTCGGAGGTGCCTTGGTACTCTTAAACCGACCATGGTAAGCTAACTTGCTGGAGGTGATGTGCCGCAAGTTGTCGGTGATAGGGCGACGTCGCGCATGTCCTGCGCTCCACCAACTGATGAGTTTCTGACCGAGAAGGGAAAACATGTTGATTCATCAAGACCTGATAGTTAAATACAGTGTGTCGCTTGATATTGTGAGATGATCAGTTTTTGTTCTTCTCAATAGTTTGAGTCTGAAGATGGTGAGGGACAAAAGTTGACATAGTCGACAGTAAAAAGACTTATTCCTCCTTCTACTACGTATCTCCAGATCACCTCTGATGTGCTTATCAATGGAATTCATGATATTCACTAATATCTTTTCCCTAGTTCACATTGACATTTCGATATGAACTCTTTGTGTCGTTGACCATTGCGAGGCGTTAGTGCGACTGCCAATTCATCACTGTACACATGCTTTTGTCCCGCACCATCGACGGCAGCGGCGAAATTCACATGACAATGCCCCTCAGGAAAATAGGAAGAGTCAGAATTTCTTTAATTCACTTTCTGCAAAACATTGCAAGCATTTCATTGTTTTTGTTATTCCCTATAGAACAGCTTTGAGTGGTTACCCTACGACAAACTGACGTCGTGCCTTAGTCAGCACAGACCAACCATTCACAGATCTGACCACTGAAGATTTACTCATCTCATCATCATCAGCCAAAACACGATGAGATGGCTTCTCCTCAGCGACATTCACTTCAAACATCATGACCTCGACAGAATCCGCCAAACAGCACAATGGATCATATCGGCCGCCGCCCACCACAAACCCGCCCGGGTAATCGTCTGCGGCGACCTGTTGACAAGCCGCACAATGCAACCCACCCACGTCCTATCCGCCTGCTACCGCTTCATCAGTCACCTAAGCGACATTGTCCCACGCATTCACATTATTCTCGGAAATCACGATCTCGCGTATAAACGTGATTATCAGACAACCGCCCTGGAAGCGCTGAATTTCAAGAGGCTTGCCCCACATGTTTCGGTTCATAGCGTCATCGCGAAACATGAGTGGGATGGACGACGGGTTCTATTGTTGCCGTTTCGGGAGGAGCAGGAGGAGCTTACGGATGCTGTTGATGCGATTGACGCTCAAGAGGCGCGTGAGACGGTTGCTTTTGCGCATTTGGCGATTAACAAGGCTATCACTCAGAAGTTTGTGCCGAATGGGACGAATTCTGTTAGGTATTATGGTTTGACGGGGCCGGATCGCTTTGCGTCTTTGGCGAGAACTTTTACTGGCCATTTTCACAGTCCTCAAACAATTATTCAGGATGGTCGCCAAAGCGATGATTTGCAGGGAAGTCTTACGTACTTGGGCTCGCCTTGCCAGTTGAACTGGGGAGATCTTCATGATGAGCAGCGCGGTGTTGTTTTATTGGACCCCGACACGCTTGAGCATGGAACGCTGGTTAATCCGCATGCCGTTGGGTATATCGCCGTTGACTTGGAAAAGGTTCTTACGGGCGAGATCGGCGAAGAGACTGTCAAGGACAAGCATGTCATGCTCCTCGGCAGCCCTTCGCACCTCAAATACGTCACCGCTCGCGATCAACTTCTTTCTCTTGGTGTTCGAAGTGTGCGTAACTGGACTCATACGAATTTTGCCCCGAATGCCAATCGACGGCCGGTCGAAAGTCTTGGTGCGTCAGTACCCGCCAGCGACGCCGCCATACAACCTTTGGAGGAGCCTGTCGAAAGCGCGACCGATAAAGGTCTGGTTCCGGCGACCGATGGTACCGCCGAAGCTACTCTGGACGCCCCGCCTGAAGTTGAAAGACTTGATCTGCTTGCTGAAGCGCGCGAATATGTCGATTTATTGGAACTGGACGAGTACCTTCACCCGCGACGAGAAGAATTAGTTCGAGTTGGCCAGCGCATGATCCAAGCTTCACGCAACATGCCCGACCAGGACAGCGAAATGGAGATCAACTACGAAGATTTTCTCGACAGATCAGCTCAAGCTCTTGGCACAAGTTCCGACAGCGGTCTTGCAGGGGAATTTACCAACATCTTCGTCGCGGAGCCCCGCCGGCTTACAGTCACCAACTTCCTCGGCATACAAGACACCATCACTATCGATTTCCAACGCGATGTTCCACGCGGACTGACTTTACTCGTCGGTGATAACGGTTCTGGAAAAAGTACGCTGATCGAGGCTGTAGTATGGTGTCAATTCGGCCAATGCATCCGCAATGGCCTGGCAGCCAACGACGTCCTCAACGATACCGTTGGCAAAGATTGTTCCGTGAAACTAGAGTTCGCCAACGGTTACGCCATAACACGCTATCGGAAACACAAAGTCCACAAGAACCGCATCGTTGTATCTCTACATGGCGAAGATCAGCCTCATCTCGAACATCCAACCTCGCGAACGACACAGGCTGCCATTAATGAGCTTCTGGGAACAGACTACGACACATACGTCAGGATTGTGCTACTGAGTCAAGAAAGTGCAGCGAGCTTTTTAAACTCGACGCCAATTCAGAGACGAGAATTGATCGAGTCGTCGCTTGGACTCCCAATATTGGATCATTGTGGACAGATGTCCAAGATGCTGCTGAAGGATATTGATACACAGGTTAGCGAGGTCGAGGGAAAGTTGGAGGCCGTCAAACGGACTATGGAGTACAGCGAGGAAAGGCTTGAAGAGCTTGACAAGACGCGTCGACGACTTGAGAGTCAGGCGGCCAAGGTTGTTGCGTCTTTGAAGGCGAAAGCTGAGGAAGATCAACCAGAGCGTCATGAGGAGCGAACCACCGCCAGCGAGGAAGATGAGCCTGAAAGCCACGAGCAGGAAACCCCGGCCGCCACCGAAGAAGCTGAATCTGGCGTGGCTACTCGCGATAGAATCGCGACACTCCAGAAACAGATCCGTGCCAAGAAGGATACCCTGCGGCAGCTGAGGAGCGAACTTGATGCTATGGAGGCGGCTATTGACGCAGCTCGTCCCGTCGGTCTGCGGAAGTTCCTACTTGACATACAAGCTGCTATCAGCCGCTTTCTCAGAAATCTGCGATCTTTATTCGGATTCAAGGATGACCTGGAGGAAACTGCGTCGCAAACTCAAGATGAGACTGCAACTATTCGCCAAAACATCGAAACCAGCACATCACATATAGAAAGTCTTAAACGCAAGGAAAAGGCAGCAATCAACCACGCATTGATGATGAGCGAACAAGCCGCACAAGCAATGAAAGCTCAAAAAGCTCGCGAGAAAGCACGAGAAGACGCTCAGAGAGCTCGAGAGGAACAACAACAAATAGCCCAACAAGCCCGGGAAGACCTACGTCAACAAGTCGCTGTTAAACAACGCGACGCAGTCATATACAAAAACCTGGCCGAAACCGAAGAATCTTCTCTACAATCTTTGAAGTCGGAGTACAAAGCGCTTCGGAAGCAGCGACATGGTATTATCTCTGATCGCGAGCTCTTTAATTTTTGGTCCTCGTCACTTACGAAACGTACCAAACGCGCAACGAAGGGCAAGGCGGCTACGACTAATTTCCGGGAGCATATTCTCCACAAGGTCATTTCTGAACTCAACAGTCTTCTCGCACAGGTTCTTACGGTGTTATACGATGACACGCGCCACCAACACATAGCAACAGGAATGCTTCGCTCCCTCCTCGAAGAGCCCGACGTTCTCGACCCCACTCTCGCCGTATCTCCTTCTCTGGCCTACGGTAAACGGTCCAGCGGTGAACGCAAAAGGGTTGACTTGGCGCTCTTTTTCGCACTTCTCCAACTTGCCCGTGCAAAAAGCGCACATCGCGCACATTATGTGTTAGTTGATGAAGTTTTCGATAATTTGGATAATGCGGGGCAAGCAGCTGTTATGAGATGGCTGGGCGTCATGTCGCAGACTGTTGTGGGGTGGGTTATTGTTATTACGCATAGTCAGTTTTTGATTCAGAGGGAGGTGGAGGAGAAGGTGGTGGTTGTGAGAGCGCAGATGGGTGGGGAGGGGACCGAGTTGTTTGTTGGTGATGAGAGGATGGGGAAGGAGTAGGCCATTGACGTTCTTGTCTATGCTGGGGGAGATGTTTGCTGTTGTGGCGTTGGACAATAGCGCTATGATATGCGGAATGGTGTTAGGCCATTCTTTGTTTGAGGTACACATGACAATTATTTAGATCATCCCAATTTCGCCTTTGAGCAAAACTGATGTTTTCATTTTTCTTAAACTCGATCCAAGATGTCGTCTCTCTCTACACCTCCTAATGACAAAGAGCTGAGATTCGACAAGATATCAGCTCCGTACGAATGGCTTGAGTCATACCGTCCTGGAGGCTATCATCCTGTCCATCTGGGCGATGAGTTCAAAGATGGCCAGTACAAGGTCGTGAGGAAACTTGGATGGGAGACTTTTTCGACTGTTTGGCTCGCGCGGGATGTGAAGTCAGTATCTGATATCATAAATCCTGATTGCTTTGCTGATTCGATGACTAGAAACGCACGCTATGTCGCTCTAAAGATCATCACTGCAAACAGTGATACAACTCGAGAACTCGATATCCTAAACCATCTCGCCAAAACAGACAGCAGATATATCACCCATCTTCTCGACCACTTCACCCACACCGGTCCAAACGGACAACTCAAATGTCTCATCTTCGAACCAATGGGCCCAAGCGTAGACAACCTAGTCTACGAATTCCCACAATACAACCGACGGCAGAATGCCATGGTAGCGCGACATCCTATGAAAATAGCAAAGAGTATCCTGAAGTAGGTTTTGCAAGCGTTGGTGCAGATGCATGAGAATGGGATTGGGCATGGGGACTTGAAGATGGGGAATATGCTGTTTGCGGTGAAGGGCGTTGAAGGGGATGTTTGTCAGGAGGAGAGGTTAGAGGATCGGTGTGTTGCTTGGCCTGTTGAGGGAGGGGAAGGGGAAGGGGTACCGAGGTGTCTTTATGCTGCGCAGCCTTTGACGGGGTTTGTTGATTTGGAGGATTTTGAAGTTAAGTTAACTGATTTTGGTGGTGGTAAGTCATCTCTGCTCTTTTATATCCTTTTGCGTGATGAACCCTATCTCGATATCTTACTTGAGACTAATCAAGCTTAACCAGCATACTTCATCGATAGTTCCCCAACGAGACTTCCCATGCCAACCGATTTACGATCACCAGAAGCCATTCTCAAAAACCAAATCGGCAAAGAATCGGACATTTGGGCCTTTGGCTGTCTAATTTTCGAACTCATCACAAACACTCGACTCTTCCAAATCCCAGATGTGAATAAAGACGACGAGCAGCTTCTTCAATTCCACGAACGGCTTGACCTTTGCCAAATGATTTGTTCAGTCAGTGGAATAGGTCTGAGTTGTATTTTACAACTGAGAGGAAGATGTTTGATAGAAAGGTTAAGGGGGGACAGGAGGGAGAGGTTTCTAGGTGTTATATGGAGGAGATGATTGATGAGTTGCGGTCGGATCTATCGGGGATGGAGAGTCAGCAGGTCAAGATGTTGATTAGTTGGATTTTGCGGAATCCTTGGTTTAAGAAGTCCTAAAGACGTCTAAAGGTAAATAGTAGTCTTAAATATTTCTATTATATGTAAACAGCTAAGATTCGGGTAATGTAACTTGAATAGAAAACATGGCAGGATTATTATGTTTATGATGTTGTATCTGCAGTTCGGTTATAGGGACGGGAACCTCAACCAATAAAACTCCCCTGTTCTACAGCCAATGAAAACGTCATTTCCTTGTACTGCTGTCACAATCGGGCGATGCTCTGGTGGAAGCCGCAGTATAGGGAATCCTTGCCTCAAAATCCACGCCTGATCGGAACTGACCCCCAATCCTACAGGAATCGCGTCTATCGCTGGTTTTTGTCCATCCCCTTCGGTTGGGTAATGAGGGATAGTAAAGTCGCCAAAGTCGGTTTGGAGACGAGATTTGTTATTGGAGTCCCACGCGAGTTGAGTAGTATATCCTTCTATCGTGCACAGACAGTAGCCTCGGCTTATGTTCCAGACTTTGACTTCGTTCCAATACGCTGAAGCAAGCATTTTATCGTCCAGCGAGAAGGCCAAAGCCTGAACAATATGACCCATATGCTTTAGTGTTTGTTGCTTTGAACCGTTTAGTCCATGAAAAATGCGGATGAATCCTGAATGAAACCCTAACGCCAGTCTTTTCGAATCACAAGACCATGCTATCAAGGAGATTGAACTTTTGTCGAGTCCGAATTTGTTAATGATGCATCGACAGACGCCATTGGCAACATCCCAGATACCGACGGTATCACGATCACACAAAATGGCCACCCGCCTGTTGTTGGGCGATATGGCAAGGGAATTGACTGTTCCATTGTATATATCACCAAATGATTTCAGACAGGCCCCTGTGACTGGATCCCATATTCCCACAGTGCCCTTGTTTGACCCAGAGGCAAGAAATGCATCGTCTGAAGAGAAAGTGACGCAAGTGATGCCGCCGTGTTCTTCCTTGAAATCCTGAATCTGTGTACCTGTAGACACATTCCAAATTCCGAGACAGCCATCGTTTGACACCAGCCCCAGCCATTTGTCATCCGAGGATAAAGGTAAATTTAAAAACATCCGTCGGCGTTGAGCTAAGCGGTTTTGAAAAACTCTTAGGCACGAACCTGTGTTTCGATCCCACACCTGTAAAACCGAGATTTCATAGTCGGCTGAGAGACACATATCATCAGATAATACTTTAACAAATCTAACCGGGGGTGAGATCTTTTGTCTGCCTTGCGTCGGTAAATTCGTAGCAGCATCAAGGTCCCAGATCTTGATTGTTCCGTCGTATGACCCTGATGCAAGTTGCATTCCCTTCGAGGTAAAAGCCAATGATGAAACGATGCTGGTATGCCCTTCTAGAGTTTGCAAATGTTGGTGGGTATGAGCATCCAAGACATGAATCGTGCCAGATGTCTCGAAAGCTACTCGTGTGCCGTCCGGTGATAATGCTACTGAATACATCGTATGGTCATCGTAGGCTTTGTGTGCCCACTCACCTGCGAATAGATCCCAGATCCTGAGGGCACAAGATGACGCAAGTAGCACTTGAGAGGTGTTTGCCGAAAAAGCAGCCGCGTGAACGTGAGCAAGGTCAGTACCGTCGAACTCGACTATGCTTTTTAGTTTCCAAGTAGATAAGTCCCAGACATCAATCCTGGCTAGATCCGAGACCGAGGCCAATGTGTCCGTTCCATGTAGAAACGCCACTGATATGAAACGTCCAGACGCATTGTAAGACAGTGTCCCAAGACAGGCTCCTGTGGTGACATTCCATAATTTGATGCTGCCATCATTTGAACCCGATGCTACCGTCGAGGAATCTGGAGAGAACGACAGTGAAACAACGTTTGAACTATGGCCGTATAAAACACCAGTACATGTTCCTTTCAACGGGTGCCATAATCTAACAGTCTTGTCAGATGAACCCGACGCTAAGAAGAAGTTGTTGGGTGAGAATGCCAGAACGGTAACAGAGTCTAGATGACCCTGAAGCGGCTTTAAGCATGCACCCGTCGATGTACTCCAGACTTTGATATCATGCTCACCTGAAGCTATCCATTGGCCATCTGAAGAGAAACAAACCGCATCCAACAGCCAGTACTTCCTATTTGCATCGAATACCATTGTCTGGAGACACGAACTCCAATCTAATCCCGCAGTATTGGGAGGAACTATACGGATCAAGGATTCGCTCTCGTACAGTTGACGAACTAAGCTTCCGGTGGGGCTAAACACAAGTGCTGAAGCGTACACCTGCAACGGATCAACTTCTATGGGAATTTTATAATAAAGAACAAATCGACGAGCATCAAGGAGCAATTCGGCCAATCCCGTCGCTTTCGTCTGTGTCACCACGGTAGTTAGACAATGGTCAAAGGTTGAAAAGTTGGGTACTTACTGCTAGGAACTCAAGATTCTGGACCGCTGAAATTCCCTCTGGAACTTTAAGTAAGAGGCTTAGCGCCTCTAGCCAGTTCAAGTATTTGGATCGAAAAAACTGATGGACAAGACCACCATCTTCCAGCTCGTTATCGCTCGTTTCACACTGCGATTTTGAGCTCTTCAGATGATCGACCCAATAAACGCAAGAGTATCGAATCCGGGCTAAAGGATCAGGATTGGGAGTAGGGAGCTGAGCACCGGCCAATCTGGAATGGCCTAATCCATAAATGTCTCGCTGAAGCGTAGCGGAAAGACCTTCCAATGAGTTCAAAAACATGGAATGGTGTTGAAACCCGATACCCTCAGGAAAAATTGTGTCAGGGATGTTGTTGACCAAGAAGTCCCTGGCAGACTGATGGATGAGGAATATCTCGTTATTCTGGCAGTTGAGAAAGGAGCCACACCAGTCGACTGCGTCGGCTATATCGTCTTCTTTCATATCACCCACCAGAGTCGCGAGCTCTGCTGGGGTCAGTCGTCGATAAGCAACGCAAACCGTAGCCAGAATCCGAATCAATCGATCTTTCTCTTCTGAGCCCAGAATTCGCGTCATCATAGCGTCGTACAGATCATTGAGGGTAGTGGGGAAAGTTTTGAGTACCTCTAAAACACGACGTTTGGGGATTCTTGAACTAGCCAGTCTCTGGCAGACGAGGGCGACCCAAAGGAATGTGTTGTCTGCGTGTGAGTACATGTACTCAGAGATGGCTTCTTTCAGAGCTGGATCATCTCCCCATTTTCTAACCAAATTGTTCACCGTAGTGACAATGTAGGATTTCACGGCTTTGGAAACCGACTCCTTTTCATCTTCGAGACTGAGCAAGATCATTCCTTGGGCAGCAGACAGTTCTGTTTTGATCTCAGGCCAAGGACGACTAGTCAAAATCCATTGAGTAGAACACGACTGTGACAGGTTGTTGATGACATCAATAAGATCGGATCTTTCACTGCACTCATCAAGAGCGTCTATAACCATGATTGCCTCGTGCAAGCATGAATCCTGCAACATCTCGGTGAGAATTTCGACCAGCATGATACTGCTATTGTGGCTGTCGAAGAGTTTCTCTCCCATCCTTTCGTAGTGAGGGCGTACAATTGACATTAAAGACGGCTGATACTCAAGAAGCATGTAGAGCAGGCCTCGGATGGCTCCAGACAAGTTGTCCTTTGCCGCCGAACCCTCAAAGAAGAAGAAAGCGAGTGGCCTTAGGGACTTCTTCAACCTGTCAATAACTCCGCAAGCCAACATTGTTTTTCCTTTGCCAGGAAGGCCGTTGATCCACAGGACTCGAATTGAGTTATCCGTCATGAATTGCTCGTAAGCAGTGCTGGTGAAAACCCAGTCGCATAAATCCGTCTGCAGACCATGCTTCTGATTTTGGATTCTTTGCTTATCCAGCTGAGGGTCCGTAACATGTAAGGCTCGCAAGCACTTCTTGTCCTCTTCGTTTTGTTCCTTCATCTCCCTACGTCTCGCTTCGTCTCGAATAGCAGTGTAGATATTCTCGAGGGATTCTGCCTGTAGTGTCGAGTTGTCTTCAATACCAGCAAGCTTGACCTTGACATCTTCGCTGTTGTATTGCTGGATATCCCTCCGAATAGCGGCTTCTGCGTCCTTCAGTTCGGTGAGTTTGCCGTTCCAGTCATCCAGTTTGACTATATCTCGGAGGATAATGGATGCCCAATTGCGATAGTAGAGGCAAGCGCTTCTCATTTGGAACAGAAGAAGCTTTTTGAAGAAATCCACTATATGACCTTCGAGGTTGTTTCGCAGTGTATCGGGGGGAGTCGATGGAGACGACGATTGTTTTTGGCCGAGGGCCACGTCGGCCAGGTTCCAATACCATTCCATCTTCGACAAAACATATGCGATAGCCTTCCTATTGAGACCTGGCTCTTTCATAGGATTTGAGAGGACCTTTGACCTTATCAGTGGCAGTTCTCGGGTATATATCATTGTTGCTGCGCCTTACCTCGAGACCAAGACTAACGCCAACCCATACGATGCTAGCTTCAGCAGAATATTTGGCAACCTTGTCAATCAAGCCCTTGATGTTGTTGATGGCTTCCATGAAGCTTGATGCGGTTTCCTTGTACTCTGCCTGACGCTTGGTCCGTTCCAGTCCCGCGTAGACCAACTTCCACATCTGACGAGCCTTGTCATTCTTGCAATGTTGCAGGCTATCGATCTCCGAGGGCGTGGCAGTTTCCGTCCATTCTTCCTGGACTTTGGAAAGTATTTTCTCGTACTCTTGAACTAGATCGGACTCCTTTTCTTTCAGACCATCGTAGGCCTTGGTCCAGAGTTTCTCAGAGAGGCTCAAGCAAGTATCTTGGTCGCGAGGAGCTGTTTGAAGAGGCACAGTACTAACGGATAGTTCCTCAATCGGTGGAGCAGTACGGCTATTACACGCACTATCATCAGTCGAACCCGTCAGCTGAGTGAAGGAATTTGGCGTCTGTGTTGTTGAGGCAGCTGGCTGTGAAACATCCGGCGTGTTGGCTGATCCAATATCGTCATCGCGAGAGCGAAATCTCTGCTTGAGCCTGTCATATCGCTTCTTCATTTTTGATCGCTTTAGTGATGTAACAAGAGAGATTTGTCGAGCATCCAGGAGAAAAGGTGAGCGGGGAAACGGGGTCAAGTCAGGCATTGGCTTGATGGTCATACAGAAAAAGCAAAGAACGTTAGCCAATGATGTGCCGACACATCTCCAAGAGACAAGGGAGAGCAGGCTGCCAACCAGGCTTAGGCATGGCTTATTTCCTATGCTTGGCAGACAGACGAATGTCGCTCCTCTAATTGCGCGTTTGCGCATAACATAAACTCGATTATAAATGCTACCGTATAATCCCTCGAAGCTTACCGACAGTCCTGCAGATTTTCAAGAAGCCTCCAGCAGGAAAGATAGGTAGTGCGGTACTTACTTTTGAGCATATAGAAAGGTGCATGCAAACACCAAAGCAACAAAGGCTTCCTGTTCTCTTCGTTGTTTTATTCATGCCGGCGAATGTCATCCAAATGAGTCTAGTCAAGAAAAAAAGGGTACTGGCAAGAGTGGGAAAAATACATGTATCATGCCAACCCAACCTGTAAATAAGCGTATTTTGTCTAACAGTAAGTGAATTGAAAATATCAAAAAGATATCGAGATAAGATTAATCGCGAGACTTGCTGATGCTGTAGGTATGGCAAAGCAAAATTTAACCACAGAGAATTTATATTAGGCCGGGTTCGATGCACACTCGAACCAATAAAATGTTCAATCGTATGGGCCCTTCTATCCTCAGATTGAATGCTATATTCGTTGTGAACAGGGAGAGCTGCTCGAATAGTAGCCTCCGAAAGTGTTTTACTGCTACGTCCTACCTTCCCCGTTACCTCTAGTATAATTGACAAGACTTAGTTGGATAATCTGGTGAGCTTCCAGAATCATTCCTCTAGCCGCGCGCCTATATTACTTGCCACAGGCCATCGGATAAGCGTAAGCCAATTTTGAGCCTGGGTTGATTACAACATTAGCCTTCGTTTTGAGATTGAGATGAAACTTCAAGGATCCTAGTGTTAGTGGTTTAGTAGACGCCGTGTAACGACAAGTTGAGAAACACCTGAAACTGGAAGGGGGTCGGTGTTAGTAGCCAGAGAAGAGACACAAAGGTAGGTAGTCATCAGAGCGTTAGTTCCGCAATAGCTACTATTTGCCGTAGGGCTTGTCGGGGCTTTACGCAATTAAGTCAGTTGCAATTATAGGACTAAAAGGTTGTCGTTTCACTAAGGATAGCTGGTAAATTGAGAGTTCTGGGGATAATAAACTCGCCGAGCCTCGGCCTGAACTTTGGGAATACGGTCAACTGGACAAGCCCAAACACGTGCTCGAAAACGCATGAGATGGAACGTCATTTGACGGATTTTCTGGGCCAATCTTACTTGGCTACCAGGGATGCAGACTACGAGTTAGCCTGTAAGCTAGACTGATAATGCTGACATCTGCAAAGGTCAACTATTTGCTACTCCAAACACTTGCATCATACTGGTCCATCCACTCAACGAACTCGCTACCAGCTTTAGCCCAGCCAGTGATACCTTCAGATAGAATCACACTTTCCATGGAGCTATCCCCTTGCTCGTCCAGGTAGTCCTTGAACCACCCGGCCGCCCTTGGGCCACGGCCGCGAGAGGATGCTGGGGAGGTTAGCATGCTTGTTCCGTAAGGCTTAGAGCTGGGGGGTTAGTGAACCAAAGACGTACAGCAGTACCAGATGACCTTCTGGACTCCCGCCGACTTGAATAGACTGTACAGCGTCTTTATCGTCGGGTAAAGGCTTTGTGCTGGTAGGTTGATAGATCCGCGAATGGTACCGCCCTAGATAATGGAATGGGTAAGTTCATGCTTGCTTCGTAAAACGAAAAGGGTGATTGTTACCTCGTGATCTGTGCGACGGAGATCAACGAGAACGTAGTCCTTGCCCGCGATAAGGTTGCTGTCCTTCATCATATCAAGCACCGCATGGCGTGTCATAGCCCCGGGAGTCTTGTTGATCGGAGGAGGGTAGGCAGCATGCCAGGACGTGGAGGCATCAGTAGAGGCCATCTTGGACCAGCGGAAAAGAAAGAGGCGAGGACGAGTGCTCGATTTTAAGAGAGAGTTTCCGAGGTTCATTGATCACTTGGCAGAGGGGAAAGAAGGCGCCCCTGAACTTTAAGCCATTGAAGGGCCCAATACATATCGGACAATGCGAAACATCAGGCCTACTAGAGTGTGTCATACCCCCACCATGATTAGTTGGAGTTCAAAATTACGTGGGATTCCAGGGACACTGTCATACCTAAGCCTTGATTGGTCAATTGGCAATCGAGGAACCAGGCAAATTCGCTTAGCAGGGGGCCCTGTCAGGTCGAGGCTGCGATTGGCTGACGACAAGTTTCCAGCAGCGTCCATTGGAATTGTCTAAATTGGTGTAAGTCTTGGAACGTAAGAGAGACCGCCACAATTAACACATAAATAAGATTGTATTCGCGTCCAAGTTTGCAGGACTACAAACAGATACCATCTACCGCACAGCAAAACTGCATTTCTTCAGACCTCCCACGCGCCGCCACCTGCCTGCTTTCAAGATGAATCCGGAGACGAAGAACGAGCCAAGCAATTATGAGCCGAGCCCTAGCCCGCCACGCGCAGGCCCAAACGACGAAAGCACTGAACAGGCTGGCCAAGATCCAGAGTCCACAGACGTGACCACAAACCACGATGATTCAGCGAAGCAACAACAGTCTGCCTTCAAAGGACTCAGTCTTCTGGACCGCTTTCTGGCCCTGTGGATATTCCTGGCAATGGTCATTGGTATACTTCTGGGAAATTTTGTTCCTGAAACCGGACCAGCCTTACAAAAGGGAAAATTTGTTGATGTCTCTGTGCCGATCGGTATGTTTTCCCCAGAAGCTTTAATCTCTTAATCCATGGAACTAACGCATACGCAAGCTGTTGGTTTACTCGTTATGATGTATCCCATCCTCTGCAAAGTCCGCTATGAGTCCCTGCACGAGCCTTTCTCTCATCGAGAGATGTGGAAGCAGATTGGCTTTAGCATTTTTGTCAATTGGATCATTGCTCCCTTTCTTATGGTGAATCCTTTCCATCGAGACGTCGCTTTTCACAGACAAGATACTGACGTACCTCACAGCTTGCCCTAGCCTGGGCCTTCCTCCCTGATAAGCCGGAGCTTCGCACTGGTCTCATCCTTGTCGGTCTTGGGAGATGTATTGCCATGGTTCGTTCATCGCGTTCAGGCATTGACAAATAACACTGACACCTTGCCTTCAGGTCCTCATATGGAACGGTCTTGCTGGCGGCAACGACGAATACTGTGCCATCCTCGTTGCTATCAACTCAATCCTTCAAATGATCCTCTTTGCCCCAATGGCTGTCTTCTTTATCCGCGTCATCAGCCACGAGTCGGGTACGATCGATATATCCTACAGTGTCGTTGTAAAAAGTGTAGCTGTATTCCTAGGCATCCCTCTCGGAGCAGCCATCATCACGAGAATTGTCCTTCGCAAGATTGCTGGACCGGACTGGTACCAGCACACCTTCCTCAAATATCTTGCACCCTGGTCTCTCATTGGTCTACTCTATACTATCCTCATCCTGTTTGCATCCCAAGGTAGACAAGTTATTCACCAGATTGTATCAGTTATCCGGGTAGCAGCGCCACTGATTGTGTACTTTGTGCTTATTTTCTTCATTACTTTATTGATCAGCAGGATGCTCGGTTTCCGGCTGCCGATGATGGTCACGCAGAGCTTTACTGCTGCGAGCAATAACTTTGAGTTAGCTATTGCCGTGGCAGTTGCGACCTTTGGCCCCAACAGCGACCAAGCCCTGGCATCCACCGTTGGCCCACTCATCGAAGTCCCGGTCTTGATAGTCTTGGTGTATGCTGTTCGCTGGATGGCCAACAGATGGGGTTGGAAGTAAAGTGTTGAGCCAAAATTGGACAGAAAACACGGATCCAGACATGCTGTAGATGATTCTGTATTTATTGATAGATGAAATGTCTAGTCTCTCCCAATCTTCTCAATCTGAAGTCTGTGAATCCATCAATAGTAGCGTGTTTCCAATCCTCGGTCGAAGTAGCAAAATTCAAGGTCCTGGGCGACGCGAACCTAGTCGATATCATCCATGAGCCGAAAGATTTCGGTGTTCTTCACAGAACAGCTACCAACCCCATAACACCCCAGGGCCACACGAGCCCACGACGAATCTGCGTGGCCGCGAAGCTCAACAAGGATTTCTGCCGCTTTGTCACACGGGGTCTCTAGCGGTTCCGGATGGTCAAAAGAATGAATAATGGAGTTTGATGGTTCGAAAGTGTCAGAGAGCACGTCCCTTTGGGCTGGAAGACTGTCAGACGCTTTGTGATCCATCCTGGTCCCCTTGTGAGTTGGATGGTGCAATTCTGGTTCCTCTTCTTCAAGCATGAAAATTCTGTCATCTTCTTCGCGGGTCTGTATTGATACGGTCAGTGGCTCGGTAAATGATGGCTGTTCTCGGCCAGGTGTTGGCAGGATCGAATTCGACGGTGCTGAAATGAGGGTCGGCACGGCCTCTTCAGCCGCGAGTGACGCAAGCCCGGACAACCTCCGTGGCGGATCATCCGTCAATATAGCTCTTGTTTGAGATAATCCAGGTGAAAAATGTCCACACGTGTTACATCGGCGTCGAGAATTAGATACCGCATGATCTCCCTCTGGGGAAGATAGATACTGCACAATTTCAGGTTCCGAGACTCCGTACATAACAAGCAACCTCTTCAGTCGTTGGTTCTGGACATTGACGGCCTGAGCAACGCGTTGCATCTCTATAGAGGCCGCTACGCCTTTCCTATCGTACTCTTCTAATCGACTCTGCATGTCCGCAATCAGCTCTTGTCGCCGGGCTCTAGACCTGCGTTGAGCATCTCGGTTTTCTGCAACAGTGGCTGCGGTTTTGTTCTGTAAAGGATGAGTGGCAATTGCCCATGTTTGGCTTGTTCAACATACCTTGCGGGGCATTGTGCCGTGGATCTCGAATTGCAGACGGACTGATTTATATCTATCTAGTTTTATGCAAAAGACTAATGAATGCTGGTCTGCCGACACTTCAAGTGATGATGTAAGGATGGGACAAGCAGAAGCAAGAGTCTTCTGGGTCGACACAGGCAGTAGGTGGATAGGTGGCTAGATTGTTGTGGCGCCCACGTGCTTGGACATTGGTTTCGTGTGGCTTAAATACTCTAAGCCAAGCCGGAGACCCCACCCATCCAATCCAATTCAAGAAGCTAAGTATGGTTATTAAGATTGAAGCTGAGTTTTTTATTATTCAAAAAAGTCCAGGGAAGGAACGAGCTTTTCTTCTCCTCGACACAATGTATCGCCCACAATCTTGATATAGCTGAAGACTTGAGTCTAGCCTGTACTGCCTTCGGGGCATTTCCACAAAGCTTACTGCTTACATGCTGTAGGGAGGATTGTTGCGGCCCAGGCAAGAGCGACTACTGCTTGGAGACTTTTTACAGCCGTGGCTTCTTCGGACCAGGGGCTAATGTTCTACATGACTTTGGCAAGTTCTACGCTGGCAGAATGTTGAGTCAAGTTGGACAAGGCCATCTAAGATACTCCCAAAATTACCTCGCAAAATATAGAAAACAATAATGCAAGCCGAAATGACTTGGCCAATAACCAGAGACAAAAACAAACAAGAGCAGTAGGGTTGGAGTTAGCTGAACATACAATTTCATGCGACGAACGGAATGTAATTTGGAAATCTTGCAAAACGAATGACTATGGACCATGGAATTACACATACAATAGTCTCCGCCATGTCTCGAATCCATGCAGGAGCGCCATGTGCTGAGAGTCCAGATCTGGTCAATCGTGTTCATATGCAAGTTATCAGGCATCAACTTTAAGCATTGTCAAGCGCATCTTGGCTCCGGTAGACCTTGGCCACTCGTTCGGCGAAAGCTGCCAATATTATATTGATCGTAAGCGCCTCACCTGCGCTTCCTCATTTGATGCTTATTCCGTTAGCCGCGCGTGTAAAGCTTCTGTTCGAGCTTGCGGGGTAAACATCGCAAGAGTTCAGCGACGATCTCAGAAGTCACTTCAGAATGAAAGGCGCCATTTCGTCGATACTCTACAGTACGTAATACCAATTCATTTGGTTCAGAACACCATTAATGTCTATTCAGTATCCACCATTCTGTTTATAAGGTTGCATCAGCATGTCTTCAAGGTTAAGAGCAAGATGGCTCTCCCAGACCCCGATATGCCCGCTGGTCGTTTCCACCACGCGATATTCGTCAAAACTGAAAATGATGGCTCTGGTACCGTCTATCATGTTACCGGCGACGTCACATCGAGACAAGGAATGAGCTATGAGAGCAAAAAGACTGAGAATCCAGAGGAGTTGGAAACGTTTTACTCCAAGGAACTGCTTGGTTACACGGATTCTATTCACCAGTGGGACTCGGTTCTCAGTGCCCTACCCACGCCGCCTCAACAAAAAGCCTCAAACCCGAGCAAACAAGGGAAAGTCGAGCCTTTCAAGGAGAAAGTTGGAGACTACGAATATGTATTCTACAGTCCAGGCGAAGAGCGAAAACCTCTCTGGAAGTGCACTGAGTGGGTGGAGTGGTATGCCATTCCGACTCTCTGGCAACATGGTCTTTTTCAACATGAGTGTGTTAGGCTTATGACTACTGATGACTGAATCGAGCGGCTCGAATTGATATGTTCACAGCCATTGGTGGACCGTTGGGTATGATAGTATTTACTGTCAAGATGGCCCTACAGTAGGCGTCCTATAGTTTTTATACTTCATACTATAAAGCAAGTCTCGCCGCGTTGTGACTTCGAAGATCAATGGACACGTCAGGCTAACACGTCTACCTGACCACCATCTTGGCCGAACCACCGCTCCGCCTGTGACTGCTGCTACCCCACCATACTTTATTGATTCATGCCAAGGAATGGTGCAAACTTGGGAGCGAGGTCTGCGTCTAATGCCGACATTATGAGTAGTTAATGAGAAGACAGTCTATGATTGATGGTAATGATAATAGGTGCATTGAGAGTAAAGATGATTATCTGTAGGCGCCATTTACTTGTGTATTTGAACAATGATTACCTTTCGTAATTCTCAAGTAGGACTCTTCCTTGGCCGCTGCCTGATTTTGCGGCGTATGCATATACGCGGATAACGTTGATGTTCGTTGCCTCCTTTGTGAATAAAGGACCTAGGCTTAAAATGGTAGCGTTTTGCCGAGATACAGCGCCAAGAGGATAGGCTTGTCTAAATTGCCTGGGTTGGAGGAAAGATTCTAGTGTTATCAATACATAAGCTATCTCGTAATACTAAAACGACTATTATATGTTTTTGATCTTTCGCATCCTACATCAAACCATGTCTCCATCTCTCTCCTTAGTCTGAGCGCCTGTAGGAGACGGCCTAACTCCGCCCTGACGTCGCCAATTGAAGAGAACATGAGGTTTGTTTCTGATAGACTCTCTGAGCTTTTCCTCACTGTACTCCATCCATGTGTGACCCACAGCAGAGCTGACAGGGTGTAGTGGCGTGCCTCCAAGCAAGAAGTGATCGGATCCCCGTCGATCAAACGAGGCAGTGATGTCTAGATCGTTTGCAATCTGTTCACAGAAGACATCAAGCGGCAGATCATTGACATCATGACCAAAGGGGTTTTCAATCTCCTGGCCGATAAACAGTAAACCAAAGATGATATAAGCCGCCGTGATAGTAGCCGGGATGGCGATCCAACCAAGTGGGCCAGTCAGTTGGAATGGCAAGAGCATGACATACACAAAGGTGATTTGACTGATAGCGATGGTGTATGCGACAGGCAAGGGGGTGTTCAGGACACGATCACAACCGACAGCGACATCGTTGAGAGTGGTGAGATGATTGTAAGCGATGGTCTGGTGGATAGAGACTGGGAGCTGTTTGTTGGCAATGATAGAGTCAAGACCTATCGCCAGATGGTTTAAGATCTCAACGGGAAGGTTTCCTTGGTGTTCTTCAGCTCTCTTGAGATGCTTCCGAGGATCGCTTTGGGCAAACGAGAGACCAAGATAGTGGCCAGCAACCTTTCCAAAAGCTGTGGCCTTTTTGGTTGGTGCGGTTGTCCTCCCGGCGAAAGTGTCCAGGTGTGCGATGTATGGTTGCATGTCTGGTTGACTAGCACAGTGTTCGAACCGGAGGGTATGTTTAAGAGCAACAGCATAGCCAGCGATAAGCTTCAGCATACCAAGCTTCTTGACAAGAATCTCCCGAGGGTCTTGGTTGCCAGCGCCATTATCATCAGCATGAATCCAGATAACACGACCAAGGGTCTGCGACGCAGTAGCCAACGTTCCCCAGTATCGACGGCCCTCAGCGTAACGTTCGTAGGCAGTAGAAGAACGGAATGAAAGACTGAGACCGACTACAAAACCAAGAATAGTAAGAAGAACAGAGTTGACACTTAAGTCATGGACCTTTTTGGAGATGACGGTGATAGCGGTTGCCCAACCGGCGACGAGCAAAAGAGGGAGGATCAGGGATGGCATGATAGAGCCGTGGAGCTGTAGCATGAGGGGCCATTTGGAGTGCCTTTGAAGATCTCGAGGACCACTGAAGTAGTTGAGATCATCTTGTCCATCGTCGGGGATAGGTTGGTTGATGGGATTGACGGAGGGAGAAGGCGGGGAAGTGTGGTGGTGTGAGACTTGTATGCGCTCTCTGATTTCCGAAGTGGTATGGGACTTGGAGTGCGACTCGTGATCACCCGCGTCGGACATGACGATAGAGGTCTTTGAATGTGAGCTGGAAGAAAAGAGCTGATTACGCTTGTGGGGTACGGATGAGAAGTTCTGGGGGACAACAGGGGCAAGGGAGTCAGGTTATATACCCAACGAGTACTGCGCCGCTCATCAGGAAGGGCAATGACATTCCTTAATGGGTAACGGTACTTGGTAAAGATGGCTGGTCTGGGGAATTAGCGTTCAGACTATTGAGACATGAAATAAGCTCAAAGATAAGCATTTGCCAAGATGGGTTGGACCGAAACATGGTTAAATGAGGACCCTGACCAGAAGTGGAGACTCTTGCAAGAAACAAATACCTGAGCTTCGCAAGGGCGTTACAGTTGGCTCGGAATCGGCCAATACCGATTGAACTACCGATCTGTCTTGATTTAGTCTATTGACGGGAGGCAGCCAGGAATGGGTGGTGACTTTCTGTAGAACGGTCCAGCCCTCAGGGGTAATGTAATTAAGGGAGCATCATACAACACGCATTTGATTGGTCAGACCTAGTCTGTCTGAGGTTAGCCTGGAACCATCAAAGCTGAAATGTAAACTCGGCCTATTAGATCTACCTCTATGAGGCATGGCGCGGTCGCGTGACGCTTGACAGGGCATCGTATTGCATTGTACAACTCACCATGCAGTCCAGCTGCTTACTAGGATACATGTACTCCTCTTTCCTGTTACCTGGCGTGACATTGTCCTCACAACAGAGACGGCAGATGGGCCTCAGATATATCTCTCGTCATCTTTCACAGTAATTCATGATGGCGGTTGACCATTGCATAAAAGATGTGGCTGGTTCTGGTCGCCGAATTGGACCCGATCGTTTTCGGTGCTAGGAGGTTTGTGCGATGCGCCATCGTTCTTGAGGGAGCTGCACAGCCCCCTTGAGAACGATCTACATTGACCCTGTAAATTGAATTATTTCCTTTTGCAAACAAGACAAAGTTCGCGACCTTTTAGACATTTAATTACGAGGAATTCACGAGCTAGAAGTTTCAAACACTCATTTCTATTAACGGTATTTCGCGGAAAGGTGAGCAAAAGGGGTGGATGAATGTAGTGTCATGAGCTCATCTATCTACTGTATAGTTAAGTTAAACACATCGGTCATACTATTTCTACGATTCAAATCTATTATATTCACTAACCGTCAGTACATTTAGTAATACGTGACGGGAGGCTGAGATGTGGATCAAATATTACCCTGGAGCACTTTGCTGCAGCCTGCGAAAACGTCGGATCCGAACGACGCGTTTTGAGTCCTAGCGCCAGAACTTCGGTTAGACAAGCGAGGGTGGCACGTGATGAGTTTTGGATCTTTACTACATTGGGATTAAATTCCTACATCGGCGTAGAGGAGAGACGCATCGGCTTCTCGACCCGAAAAACCCGAGAGTCCCGACCCTTCGGGAAGCAATTCTGGAAGGACAACGGTGTATAAGGTGTTTTATAAATATATCATGTCAACGAATTAGTCTAGGTAATTCTAATTTATTTATCTTCTGAAGCGTTGGATACAAGTCGATAAGTTTTAACTTGATTTATCTTCCCTACCGTATTAAGGTCTCAGAATGTCGCCCTTTATGTTGCCTCAAGAATTCAGTCTTGCCGATGTCAAGTCACACAATACCGAGGATAATATTTACATCGCTATTCACGGCAAGGTCTACAATGTAACTTCTTTCCTACAAGAACATCCGTAAGTGTCTGTACTCCAATCACGCCTTTTGCTATCTTGTATCGTACTAATCTGGAGACCTACAGCGGAGGCGCAGAATTTCTGCTTGAAGTTGCGGGTGAAGATGCTACAGAAGCCTACGACAATGCCGGACACTCAGACGAAGCACATGAGATTCTCCCCGAGCTTGAAATTGGCACCTTGAAGCTGGACCCAGCCTCCAAAATGGATCCTGTACAGCAACTACCTGATCCTATTGTTCAGCACGCAAAGGAGACTGGTATGAAGATCCTGAAACCGGACGTCTTTCAAGAGTTTGAACTTGAAGAAAAGACTCTTGTTTCTCACAACGTCGCTATGTCAGTCATGGATGCTCCTATATCAATGGAATTCTGCTAACTCGAGACTGCCAGATACCGGTTCAAGCTACCCAGACCCGACTCCATCTTCGGTCTGCCCATTGGCCAGCACATTTCCATCGGAGAAATGATACCCCAACCCGACAGAACGACAAAAGAGATCATTCGGTCCTACACACCAATATCAGGCGATCACCAACCTGGATATTTTGATCTCTTGATCAAGACATATCCTCAAGGGAACATATCTCAACATGTGGCCTCGCTTAGAACAGGAGACAAGATCAGAATCCGCGGACCAAAGGGTGCTTTCATCTACACACCCAACATGGTTCGTCATTTTGGCATGATTGCTGGCGGCACTGGTATAACGCCCATGCTCCAAATCATACGAGCAATTATACGTGGGCGAGGCGACGGTGACAAGACCGAAGTTGATCTCATCTTTGCCAATGTGAATGTTGAGGATATCCTACTAAAAGAGGATTTGGACGAAATTAGTCAAGATGCCGGCATTCGAGTCCACTTTGTCCTTAATAATCCACCCGAGAACTGGACTGGTGGAGTTGGTTTCGTCACAGAAGAGATGACACAGACTTGGCTACCGAAGCCGGAGAAGGATGTCAAGATATTACTATGCGGACCTCCTCCTATGGTCAGTGGAATGAAGAAAATCACAGAGAGTCTAGGGTTTGACAAGGCGCGGCCTGTCAGCAAATTAGAGGACCAGGTATTTGCTTTTTAGTTTATAGATGAAGCGGTCTCAAGTCCGTATTATAGAATATGTCTGAACGAGATTCGTCTATCACTAATACCCCACTTGTGCACTGCCATCATGTCTTGAAAGACAGGAAAGAGATTGCTCGGTCCTGAATTAGGTGGTCAAGTTAGTGGGTCAGGAGGCTGTCAGACAAGCAGAAACAGGGTGGACCTTTCTAGAGGTTCCACCAAAAGCATATCCGAATGCGTAAACATCGACAACCAATCGATTTCTCGGAGATACCGTATCATTTCTTCATTGCATTATTTGAGGCTGCAAGACTGTCGGGACGTCTCTAGTATATAAAGCATTTCCTTTGCGAAATTGCTGGTCTTGGACTTTTTAAACATTTACCCGTCATTCTTCAGCACACCTGTTAGCGTTATTATCATTTCTTCAAACGTTGTCGACACACACACACCTCACTCTCAGAGCTATACCTATCATACTACACGTAAACCACTCGAAGACCACCATCAATCTATTGGAGCCATCCACCGGAACAAACCATGGCAAACGATACATCAACACCGCAAGGCTACGCCCCTTTTGACTTGTACCCTTACAATCCATCTCAAGCTCCAGCATATGCCTTCTTAGGCCTCTTTGCAGCGGTCGGTATCGCGCACTTTATTATGATGTTCCCTTATCGATCAGCCTTTCCAATCCCCATGATCATAGGATGCGGCAGTAAGTAGCCTCTCTACCACCTTCTAGTAGTTCCCGGTAGCTAATATCATCTGTAGTGGGGGCTACCGCCTATTGGTTTCGATCACGATCTCACGACAATCTCCGACAAACACTGCCTTTTCTAATACAAAACCTACTCGTCCTTGTGGCACCACCATTCCTCGCCGCCACCATCTATATGTGTCTCGGTCGAATCACGAGAGCTCTGAAGGCTCAAGAAACCTCCCTTATAAGTTTGCGCTGGAACACCAAACTGTTCGTCTTGATTGATCTGATCTGCTTTGTCACGCAGACTGCAGGTGCCATCATGTCAGGCAGTGAGGTCATTGAAGAGGCGAAGCGAGGTCAGACCATCATCATTGCCGGACTGGTTCTTCAGATTCTTGCTTTTGCCTTGTTCATAATCTGCGTTCTCACTCTGCAGCTCAGGATCCGCTCAAACCCGCCTGTCGAGTGTCTTGCAGGTGTTATAACGCATTATCGCCGATATTTTATCACGCTATACTGCACGAGCGGCCTGTTTTTGATACGCAATTTGGTCAGGATTGTTGAGTATAAGCAAGGAGGTGACGGCCCTCTTTTGTCAAATGAGGCTTTCCTGTATGTTTTCGACTGTTGTTTTATGCTGGCTATTATCGTAATCATTCTTGTCATACATCCGGGTCAACTGATTATGAAGGCTCGACGGCTAGACGTTTTGAAGGAGGATCTGCCCTTGGTATCGAGATAGTTGGACATACAGAAAGTTCTGTTAGTTTAGTTTTCGGCCCTTTCCGTTCTTATTCCTTGTGCTCAGATTACTAGGAGATATCCTATTTTCAGCCTTACATGTATAACTATTGATAAAGTTTAATTAAGCTGTCAATGAAAGTTACCTCTAATTTCAATGCGATTCCCAGATAAATGTATGTAAAGTCTGACCTCACTTTTGCGATTGACTTGACTCCGAGTGATAAAAAGCAGAACGCCCCATAACCTCCTGTCCCTGTCGGCATTTGGTAACAGTTTTGCACTCATTTCATTCCCGCCATATGTCAGGCGCCGTTCGTCGTGGTCCAGAGATTGACCAATCATGTGTTTACGCTTTAGATGCGTATAAGCTAGTCTAAGTGCAGTGATCCGTGCATCCGAGAGTCCGAGAATACGCGTATTACCGTCATAGAGAGTTTTCAGTCTACCGAGTTTCTACTCTGCCAAATCATCAACAACAGGACAGCCCACGTCAACATACCGCTGCAGGTCTAGTTGATAAGTGAATTCGCCGCTGAACTGCCCCTAGGCGCTGGCTCTTGTACGAATATGCGTAAACCCCACAGAAAATCTCGGCTCGGCTGCCAAACCTGCAAAAGAAGAAAGATCAAGGTTAGTAGTGTTGACCTACCCAGCCATTGCTCATCCCATCTCATCCTACCCTTTTCTCTGCGCTTACTCAAGATATGCCATAATACATCATTCTGACCATCTGTACTTTTCAAGTGCGACGAAGTGAAACCGCAATGCGGAAAATGCATCCAGTTTGGTGTCTGGTGCGACTTCTCTCCCCAATTACCACCACCTCAGGCTTCTCCCAATCCCCGATCCGAATCTCAACCTCGGGGTCCAGGACGTCCCAGATCAGATTGGGTATCTTGGGCTGATCAGATTCGATGCCACGCGGCTGAGTCTGCTATAGAACGCTCCGAATATCTAAATACTATGGATCTTGAGCTTTTCCACAATTACATGACCAAGACTGCAGACACCCTTCACGACGGGACCCAACCCGGTCTTTGGTCTGAAGGTGCTCCTCGAATAGGTTTTCAGCACAACTGTATACTGAAGCTTCTACTCTCGTTATCATCATATCATCTGGCTAAACTCAAGCCTATTGAGAAGTCGCGATATTTATTAATTGCGGAAACGCATTTGACGACTGCGTTGCAGCCAGCGACGGTATTGATCAGCCGCCTTGGTGGAGATAATAGCCCGGCGGCTTATCTGACATCCGTCCTGATATGCTTTGTGGCTCTTGCCAAAGGCCCGAGCCCTGGGAATCTCCTTCTGACCAATATCGAAGGGCACGTTTCATGGCTCCATCTCCTTCGGGGTGTACGTTCAGTTGTTGAAGTAGCAGGCTGGCCGGCAATATTCTCAGGCATACTGGCAGAATATGCTCCAGTACCAAGCGGCGATATATCAGGAGACAGCACCCCGACCGACACGGCCGAGGGCATCGAAGACTGGCGCTCATCCTTGATCAATATCTCGCATGCAATCACTGGAACTACCGAGGAGAAGCTCAAAAACGCCTACGAACATGAGCTGGAAGTGCTTGAGAGCTGTTTTGAAAGGACGCTTGGCAATGGGCAACACGCTGCTTTGGATGCAGTTGGCAAACTTGAAGATGTTATATGCTGGATTTACCAGCTTGGGGACGATTACATGGAAGGGTTGCGTCAAAGAGACCTAATCCCGATGGTCATCTTGGGACATTTCTGCGTGTTACTTTGGACAGTTGAGTTCCGGCATTGGTTCATACATGATTGGGCATCCCATATCATAAAAGAGATCCTCGCTATTACAGAAGATTCTCGTCAGTGGCTCTCTTGGCCAATCTCATATCTCAAGTTACAAGAATAGTTGAAATATATGGGACATATTAACAAGATGTCGCAAGCATCATGAGCGAGGAGATAAGTCACATGAAATGGGCTGTAAATAATGATTTTGTCTAGAGAGAGTATGGGTCAAAGGATTCTGGTTATTAGGGGCCTGGGAAATATAGTATCTGATGATATTAAGTACGCATGGCCGGGTATCCTATCACCAGATGTGTCACTAGTAGACCCCGAGTAGATGCGTAAATAAGCCGATTTGTTGGGACAGTACCCATCCGCCCTAAATGGCTTGCATGGGGGGCCACGTCAACCGATGGTATCTGCCTAGAGTTCGCCGAAGCTGTCGACCAATCGCCTTATTTTCGTCTTGGTTCCGAAAATAACCCAGTCTTTCGGGGCTCAGAGTCAGAGTTATCCCGGCGTACCGGAATAAGTATTCTGGGACATACGTCATCGTTCCGGGGATTACGGTAAGAATAGAGTTCTAATTCTAGTATAGTTAAGCTGTCAGACTAAGGGACGAATAGGTCAGAAGGGGGAGAGCTCTTGTGAGCAGGTCTATATGACTATGTAGGTGTCTAATCAGAAGTGTCCTACCCACATTATGTTCTCCCGGCACGATGCTTTCTGCCATGAGGTATGGTTTTCTCTAACCGGGCCTTGCCTAGAATAAGCCAATTAACGCTCTACTTTACAGGTTCTTCACAGGATTGACTACCTTGATTGCGATATCAGGTGCCTCTGCCTTGTCCTTACTCCCTCAACGAGAAAGAGTACGTTGCGTGGCAGATGACAAGACAGGTGCTCTCTTCGTTACGGCAGACTGTGTGGATCCAAACTACGACTCCCCCATCCTCGATAACGAGACGGACGAGACGATCCCTACACCCCATCGCAGGATTTCCGGCCATTTCAACGGCACCGACGTCGACTTCAACATCTATCTCACTCCCAAGTCGAAATGGGAGAGGCGGTTCTTCCAGCTTATGTACCCTCTCCAGACATCTATCGCCGAAGATGATGCTATTAAGTTTGGAGTCGAGAGTGGTGGCTACACGATTCAGGCCTCGGGAACGATAGGATACCGCGCCGACGCAGCTCTTGCCAAACTTTCCCGACAAATTGCACAGGAGTACTATAATACCTCCTCTGGCCAGATTCGCGGATATGTCTATGGTGGTAGTGGTGGCTCTCTCAAAGTCATTGGAGCCGCTGAGAACACGCTTGGAGTCTGGGATGGATGTGTTGCTCTCGTGCAGGCAACGCCGATGTCTATACCTTATGACTGGGGCATCAGAGCCTTGGGTGGGTTGATCCTGGAGAAGCGCGCCAAAGAGGTCATCGATGCAGTTCAACCTGGTGGCAGTGGCGACCCCTATGAGGTCCTTGATGAACTTGAACGAGCGGTTTTGATCGAGACGCAACACCTAGGCGTCCCCACCAGAGCATGGGAAGATTGGGAGTCTATCGCAAATAACCGTACGCAACTGTGGCAGACGCTCAAGGATACGACGGTTCCCATTCTCCAGCGTATTGATCCCACTTATGCTGACGACTTTTGGAACAAAGATGGGTACGCAGGGTGTGACCAGTCTGCACTGGGAGAAAGATTTCGCGCTGCCCTCGTCCGGTTTGATAGTGCCATTGAGACCGTAACTGCAGGTCACGATGGGTTGATATCCGAATTTGTACTGAAGACTGTGCCGGGGAACGTTACCGACGTTGTAGGCTTCGGCTTTTCCGTCAGGGTTAATGGCTCACGTAGTCATTTCTCGGGCATGCTAGATGTCAAGACGAGAACCGTACACATCTTGGCCGGCGCTTCCAATACTACGCTTGGCGCTCTAGTGCCGGGTGCTCGCATCCAGGTTGATAATCGCTGGTACCTCGCCACACATACCTACCACCGTCACCAATTACCACCGGAAGACAGCGGGTTTTACGGCTATGATTATCTTCGCGATGAGAACGGTGAACCACGTTACCCTCAACGGGATATCTTGATGGGACCAATCGTCTCAAAATCAGCCTCAGGAGGTGGTACACATACAGTTAACATCACGATGAAGTTGATTGTCATGGACAACCTTTTAGATTTTGACGCCCTACCCTGGCATGCAGATTGGTATAAGAACCAGGTTCTTAAAGCCAAAGGTAGCCTTGAAGATCACTATCGTCTGTACTACAGCGATAACGCAGACCATGTCATGGGAAAGGTTAAAGCTCCCCACTCGAGTCGGGTCGTCGATTTCACCGGTCTCTACCAGCAGCATCTGCGAGATATGATGGCGTGGGTCGAGAATAACGTTACTCCGCCGACGCCTACAAATTACACTGTCGTCGAGGGACAAGTTAAGGTCCCCTTATCTGTGTCGGCACGTAAGGGCATCCAACCTGTTGTTGAGCTCTTTGTGGACAATTCGAAGCGCGCCCATGTAGCTCCAGGAGAAATAAAAGAGTTCCACGTCAAAGCCCAAGTACCGGATGGCGTTGGTCAGATCGTTGCGCTTGAATGGGATCCTCTTGGCATCGGCGAGTATACCAAAATAGACATTGACGTGGGGCCTGAGGTTGATCTGCGCTTCTCGTGTGCGTACAAAAGACCTGGGGTTTATTTCGCTGGTGTCCGAGCCGCCTCTCATCGGGATGGAAATACTGAGACAGAGATTGCTCTGGCTTGGAATTTGGACCGTGTTAGAGTTGTTGTAGAATCGCGTTTAGTAAATCAAGCACCCTAGAACAATCAGCGACATTGGAATAAAGTTCATGGTACGAAGACAAATTTCTGGGTGATGGTTCAATTTATGGCACTCCTACACCTCGGTACATGCGCGTATTTCCATCCACGATAGCAAGATTCTCGATCCTGGCTATGTAAGGACACTGGTTTGTTGTTCATCAACACAACCCTCGCCTAAAGCCATTTCAATATCAGGTTCGCGGCGCCTTACTGCCAGTAGCGGGCATAACATCCCACATAGAATCTTTCTCACCAACAATGATCGAGTACGCGATCTGAGCATAGTGCTCGGCTACAGGCACCAAGTACGGGTTGATCTCCTCGTAGCACTCAATCAGCTGGAAGAAGAGCCACGGGATGTGATGTTCCATCATTCCCCACTGCTTGACTTCGAAACGAGCCTGGGCACTACCATCATCGGGAGGAGTTGCGAGAATGACGAAGCCCATGGTCTCGAGTGCCTTGATGAGCATTTCGGCAGCTTCTACAAACTCTCCATCCTGACGACAGCGGATTCCAACGTAGGCGTAGAGGTCTGCGATGCACCAACGAATCTGCTTAGCGGCTTTGCCGCGGTAGGTCTTCTCAACAACACGCAGAAGCTTGGTGGCCTTGTCGAGGTCGAATTGTTTATCGGAAGGCAGCTGCTTGTTGAAGTCCGCGTTGAGCTCCTTACGCTGGACGCGAACAGCCTCGGTGGTCTTGAGTCGGTCCTTGCAGAGTTCACAATCACATTTGAATCCCCACTTGGCCAAGCCCTTCTGCACATCCTGGTACGACTCCGAGTGAGTGGACGGTCGGTACGGAAAAGTCAATTCCGTATCGGCCGGGATATCTCGAGCAGCCCGGATGATTTGCATGTCGCCTATGAACGAGCGGCGACAGTTGCCGACACAAGAGTGGTTGATGCGAGCAGCCAGAAGCCAGACGCCGACGGAGGTGAAGAGAGGCTTCTCGCGGGTTGAGGCGCAGACTTCGGGGGCAGGGTTGCCGCTCCAGACATTGTTGCCACAGAAGTCGCGAGTGGATCGCGGGGCACCGAATGAATTGAGAGAAAGGATCTTCTCGACAAGAAAGCTACGACACCATGATCAGTGAGTATTCCATCGGGAACCAGGGACAGGTCAACTTACGCATCGACAACAGGACGTCCATCCGCCTCGGTAGCCGCCACTGGTTTGTACTTCCCATGGTGAAGATCAGTAAAGGCAGAGAGAGCTTCCGGATCATGGTACAGCTTCTGAACAACCTTGGGCCAGAGATTCGCCGATGCACCAGACGTCAGGCGCTTGGTATTGAAGTTGACCATGTGGGTACATTTGTCCATCACTCGAGTCTCGTCGATGAATGAATACTCAAAAGCCTTCTCAATGAGGAGCAAGTCGCCGGCCTTGACAGCCTTGGTGGTGAACAGACCGCGCCCACGACCAGGCGACTCCCGAATCTCAACAGGCTTCGAGTAGGTGGCGCAATCAATCAGGGGAGCACCCTTTGCTGCCTTGGCTGCCTCATACATCTTCTTGAAGTTGTACTTGCCAGTGTGCTGCTCCGTCAGTCGTGTCTTTACGGACAGAAGAGTCGTCTCGGCCGCCTTGCTGTCGGGAAACTTGTCCAGGATGTCGATGAGCATGGCTTCGCAATCCTCGAACCGGTTGAGTTTGTAGAGGGCAGTGGCAGAACGGAACAAAGCCTTTTCGGTAGGCGCTTCGGGATCGTAAGCCTGAGTTGCATCCAACAGTGCTTCGGCGGGTCGGCCAAGCTTGAGGTTGGTGAGCGCGCGGTTGAGGTGGGCCAACTGCTTTTCTTCGGGAGTCTCGGCGACATCGAGGGCTTCGGAGTACCTGTAGTTCAAGATGTTAGATCTTATTGAGGGAATAGAGGGGGTGTGACTGACGAGTGGTGAGCTGTTGCCCAATTCTTCTTGCGAAAGGCCTTGTTGCCGTCATCGCGGTAACCCTGACTGGTCTTGTCATCTCGGCATGGATCAACCTTCCATGTCTCGGGGATTCGTCCATCGCCATGACGCAGGGGAACGATATCGCCGGGATGATCGACTCTCAGTGAGTAGTAAGACTGGGGGATCTGAGAGAAGTTTGGGGAGATGGTGTCATTAATCAGCTGAAAGAAAGGGTTCTTGACGATGCAAACACGATAGTCCAACATTGTCGTATTGCAGGATATCTCCTTCTCCAAGGGCTGGTGATACAGCTTGAGCAAAACAGCTCTACCCGCCTGATCCTCAGCGATGAACATGACAGCCTCATGACGGTCGGTAGACGACATCTTGTGCAGGAGGACCTTTGATCCCCAATGGTGAGTTTCGAGGCGCATCTCGGAGATGCTGATCGGCTTGAGGTCCTTCTCAGGAACAGTGCAGGGTGGGTAAGGTGTTTCGACAGTGGTGATGGGGTGAGCCATCATATAGTCCTCGACAAGCTTGGAATTCGGGAAGGGGTAGTCACTTCCGCAGGCCATTCGAATAAAGTTGCCAGCAGGGGATAGGCCAGGCGTGATCATGGCCTTTCCGAGTGCTCGGATCATGAAGGTTGAGTTGACGGTGTCCTTGTCAGGATGGTCGGTGGCAAGCTGTCCTTTCTTCGTCTGGGCCTCGGCCAGGGCCGTTTCGGTGGTCTTGACCCATTTGACAAAGGTCGGGTCGAATGAGCCGTCGACGAGATCCATGGTGGCGGCGGCGCAATTGCGTGAACGGTGTTGGTGATAGGGGGTGAAGAGCGATCGTGGTGGTTGAAGAGGAGAAGTTTGCTGTTGTGGAAGAGAAAGTTGAAGAGGAAGAAGTTGCAAGAGGTGTTGAGGAGGGGTGGGATGTTGAGATGAGGAAGGTCCGGGACTGATGTTGGACGGGAAGGAGCGCTGGTTATCAGGTGGCAAGGCCACAACTCTTATTTGCAATGAATTCTCGCACCTTCCAGGGCAGGTGCATTGCAACACCGCAACTGCTGGCAAACAGCGACTGCCCGCACCGACAAACAGTGTCCGCAAGTGCAAGCTGAATGCTTGGTTTTCAGGGTTGCATAAACATTTATAGTGGAGTCAACTTGGTGTCGGAGGTTACAGCTAAATCGGCTGTGGATTGAAAGTGGCAGTCGGAAACACCTTCCGGGCTGTTGTGTCACCGTTTACAATAGACATCTGCCTACCCGATCAATCCCATTTGTGCCATTGTTTCGCTTATGCTTAATTCCTCCCGTTGCATGTTTCATCTACGATATCCTGCCCGCTGCAACTCGCACGGCTGCATTTCCCGATAGAAAATTCCGCCGTTTTGTTGGGGAACAGAGCAAACAAGCTGTTGGCTAAGGTCGTTGCGGATTGCGGAGAACATTTGTTGATGTTTACGTATTTTGGAGGTTTCCAGCTACAAACCCAGTAAACTGAGCAAACGCAACCGGGAATGAATTACCATGGCACCGATGAAATTGCACTTAGCAACATCCGACGAGTCCATCGCGACGCGATACTCAGTTAGTCACAAATGAAAGCTGGTCATTTTGAACTCAAGGGGAGGCCGGGACCGTTGGGGCCCGATTGCCGAGTTATCACGTGTCTTTTGACAACTGGGACCGCCACTGTCAATTGGACTTTAGTATCCTGAACCTTGTCGCACAAGACAAAGGGTGGCATTCTACGTCCATGAGTTACAACAACGGTCGCGTGGTGTTGATCGTGCGCGTTGGCTGATAACTTATCTGAGCTTATCGATTAGTCTCTTATCGGTTATCGTCTCTTATCGGATGACCTACCGATTGCTTATCGTGTCACTTTTGCCCGACCTATTTCCGTTGACATCTTAACCTAGACCCGCCCAACGTCATTATTTCCATCGTCAGCAACAACAGATCACAACAAGCTGTAGCCCTACATTATAATTACCTATGTGAAAGGTGCACTCACTTCTGAGGACTTTGATGCGGTCGTTCTCTCTGATAAAACAACCTTGATGGACCAGAAGTCTCTTCAATGAGCACGTGAGAAGTCTTCTTGTTTCAAATAGCTTACTGACAAGTCCAAATCACTATGACACACCATATGTCATTTCTCACATCGCAACATAGAATAACACACTCGTTGTTAAGCTGGATAATAGATACAAGCGAAAGTTCAGAACTAAACCTCCCGTCTCAGTTCCACGAGGTACTCATCGGGTACTTTGTCAGAGAAGCCAATGCGATCCTCCAACATTCCCTGCTTCACTGCAACCTACTTGGAAGCATTGACACGGCAAAGAATCCATCCGAAGTCGACACCCTTGGTGCTGATAACAGCGCCCTTCTTGGCAGTAAAGTCCTTGCTGGCGGGAACAGTGCCGTACTGGTCCTTGTACATCTGGCAAGTGACCTGGTCGGTCTTGGGAGCCTTGACACCATCAACGGTGGAGTAGACGCGAGCGATTTCGATCTCGGTAACCTTTCTCTTGTCGTGGGTGAGAACGCCGAGAGGGACGTTCATGGGAAGGGAGTCGTCGCCGTTGTAAGTCATGATGGCGACGCCGACGTAGGGCTTCTCCGTGGGGACTGCGGCGACGGCAGTGGAGAAGGCAGCGATGCTGGAGAGAATGGTAGGGAAATGCATGATGATGGTTTGGTTGTTTGAGTATTGAATTGATTGATTGAAGTGAGATGTTGATAGTTTTGTTATACGGGATTAAGCTTATTCTTATAGTTGTCGCGGCTCGAATTCTAGATTACTTTTTCATCTAAGCCTCTTCCTTTGCCAAGCACTCAATCCAATAGTGGATTTCTCCCTTCGAAACATTCGACACTCTGACATTTTTCAGCTATTAGCCGAGAACTCGCGACCAACAGCCACCCCAGTCAAAGACGCCTCATTCGGCAATTACCACTTTGAGACATAACAATTGCGGCTGTGTGGCAATTTATTACGTCCCTCCACCGCTCCCAACATTGAAACAGCGACATACTTTACCTAAGAAAAACAATTACAATTCGATTCAATTCAACAAGAGCAGCTACCGTATCCTACGTGGTGAAAGAAGATACATGCCACAGCACGAGACGAGGTTGTGTGTGGAGGAACACGTCCGACCACTTTCGGCTCAATTTTGCTCCGCTTAGCTTTGCCTGTGGATAGCTGACGTAGCTTCACAAGCGAGGAATCCTGCGACCTAAATCTAGAATGCGCAAGGCTTTCTGGAACCTCACTTACACGATGAAATTAGCGCAATAGAGCTAGCTGATCATCCCACATACCCTGTTATCCTCACACTGTACCTTGTCATCAGCTCGGAGGCTATGCTTTCATACCCTGCAAAATCGCTCTTCAACGTTCGTCGTTCGCTTCTCGCTAATTCCACCACTCGGACTATCGCAGTACAAAATAGTCCGAAGAGTGTTAGGATACATTCTACCTGATCATCCAAAAAATGCCTCTCCTTTCATAGCTGACGATACTGTTGGACTTGACGAAGGCCATGGATCAGATGATGAAGATGACGCGTTTGTCTCCGGCCAATTCGTTCTTAGACGAAGCAAAAGAGGAAGTTGCCACTTCAGTTGCTAACTCAACTTGGTCCAAGACATCTGTAGTCACAGATTATGAGAATCCATCAGGAGCATTGCAAGGTAGTAGTCCCGTGCCGCTCGTGAGTTGAGGAGCTTGGACCTAATCGGCTCAACAGAAATTCCCGCAGCACTCGTCTCTGGACCTCAGGGCCGACGGACAAAGCGACTCTATTCCCCTTTCTGTAGCGGGTGCTATGAAAGTCGCCGCCTTGCAATCAGGGAAGTTGTCTCTGACCGCCCTCCAGATTCCTGAAATCCAGACGATGCCAAGGTATTGGTGCGTTTCTTACGCCCTGATCTTTCCCAATACAGGAATATCCCCCATATTGAAAACGTAATCAGCATCAACGGGCTGGTGATGCTGAGATCTTTGTTCCTAGAGACAAACTTGTATCTTTTGAACCCTCATCTGGGGATCCCCAGTCGAAGAGAGGAATACTCAGTAGGGACGAGACAAAGGCGGGTGGAACAAAGATAGCTGCTAAAAATGCAAGCCCTTTCATTACTGACGTATCATTCCGTGCAAGTATGGCGAGACTGTGCGAGTCTATTGCGATATCTCGGCTTGTTAGGTTCCCTTGCTCGCCGGTCAAGTGCAACATCTGACGTAGTCAGTCCCAGTATAGTAGAACAGACCATTGCTGGTTACTTACAGCTTGTAGAATTTGGGTTCTCTTTTTGAAGAAGTCAACGTCTAGCTGCTGCATAGATGAGTGTTGCTGAACGGTGCATAGGACCGCCGTAGCTGAAGCTAGGTTGGTCTCGTCTTCTGCCGCTACATTATCGGCCCACCTCTGTAGTATTGCCAAGACGCCCAATCGTCTCGTGAGGACTGCCAGATCTGACATAGAACCGCTCATGGCTGCCGACAGCTGCACAAGATCTCCAGAGGCTGGCATCTCAAATCGGTTGGTAAAACAGTGGTGGCCTGTTTGGATCTCAGCCTGCCGTATCTAATTCTTTACGTCAATTGACAGGCTATCGATCTCCCTGCACAATACTATCATGCATACAAGGACAGAGAACGTATCAGAAGCTGCAAGTTCCTGCGCAAAGCGACAGGTTAGAGGTTCCTGTAGCATGGTGATTTCGCTTGGTCGGGCAATAAATACAACTTTTAAGATTTAAGAATTCGGGTTATGCAACCAGGGTTACAGGCAGATATACCTTACTTACTTATTTACTATTAAGAGATTGTAAAGGAGTACTAAAAGTCCCCCTTTACAGAGGTCTTATAAGGGCTTTACAGAGGTTTAGCCTCTATAAGCTACCTTTACTCAGCTACCTATAACAATTATAGGAGCTAAGACTGCCTTTTAGCAAAGTAGCTTACGTAAAGCTAACAACCTTATTACAGAGATGTAATACTTTGTAATACTTAGTATCTATACTCTACGTATCTGCTAACATAAACCTAGTACAGACTAGTTTATCCCTTAGGAACCACCACTGTCACATAAAGGATAATTAGTAGTTTCTAAAAACTAGCAGTCTATTGTTTCAGTGTAGTAATGGGCGGTGTTGGTGGAAGGAAGAGGGAAAAAGCCGGATGGAAGCAACGCATTTTATGCACAGCCGAAACCCAATATT